ATCTGGGACACTCTGGAGAAGCCCCTGGGCTTTGAAGACCTTGCTCTTGCTTGCCGGACCACCACGGGCTGTCGTAGCTGTGAAGTTGGAGTATACCGACCCTGGCGTTGCGATGCCATTAGGGCGTCCGAAGTTACCGGGTCGTGGGGTCGCAGAGGTATAGACTGAAAGTGCGCCGGATGACTGAGGCGGGAGCATGGGCGCATTCAGCGATATGATGTCGTCGGACTCGTCGGACAGGTCTCCTGCATCGCTCTCCGAGAGCTCAGACTCGAAGTTGTCCGTAGACTCCTCGTCGGGTGGAGAGACATTGCGCGAGTTGTCCTCTGCGGCCGAGTAGAAGGTGTCATTGGAGGTGTCGTCAGCTTCATCATCGTCGCCAAACCCGTTGGTCGTCGGAGGTTGTTTCACCGGAGGCATGATGACGGGCTGCTTAGAGCTGCTTCGATGCGACTGTAGTATGACGATCCTCGTGCTCGGTAGCAGGAGACCTTGCGACACGGGTTCGGAGGCGCTGATCTTGGCTGGTGGAGGTGGGACGTGGGTGATGGGATGAGCGGGTAGCTTCAGTGGAAGCAGATCGCCAGTATGAAGAACAGTAGGTAGTTGTAGGGCTTCGCGTACGGCCTGTCGCCAAACCTCCTCTTGCGCCGCGAGATCCACCGCCTTGCCTTTTGTTCCGTTCGCTTCCAGATAGCGGCTTTTGGGAGCTCGTGATGAGCCATTCATCTGAGCAATGAAGCCTCCGCCGAATTTCGCATGCACCTCGTCCAGCTTCCGCAGGGCTTCCGTGTCTAGATTGACGTAGACTGTGTCCAGCCCAACCGGCACAACATCGTAGATGCGCACCTCGATGGGCGTATCCCGTCTCTGTGTCCTGTTCGGGGCGACATTTTGGAGGAGCTGGGAGAAGGACTGTAGGGCGAGAGAGGACGTGGGGATCTGGAGTGACGAATGCGGGCGCGCTGTGCCGGTTTCTGTCTTGTCGGCTGGTCGCACAGGCAGGATGGTCCAGGGAGTGTTCTGGGAAGCGGCGATGGAGGTCGGCAGCCACGGGGTGATTGCGACGTGTTGGATGCGATCCGAGTCTGGAGTGTCTCCATTGGCTATTCTTCTTGTCAGCCACCTCGCCCATCTACTACCAAATGTTCCTTCCACATACCAGTGCTCTTGCTTCTCGATCCAGGGAACAGGTCATTGAACAGGTCCTCCGACAGCACTCCGACCTCACCCTTCACGCGGTCGTCGAGGAGTAATCGCGCCGAAATAGGAGGGCGGTCAAGACGTCTTCTCCGTCTTCGCTTTCGTGGGTGGACGACTCCGTTCTGCGCGTCCATGATGGATTAATGAGGGATGTCTGCCTCAATGGACAGTGCTATGAGCATTAGAGGCTCTGTTTGTTACGTGCGATCAGCCCGGCCGTCAGATAGCACCAGAGAGCCGCATTGCCTCGGCAGAACTAGTCCGCTCGGACATGGTTACCTGCCACGAATCCCCGCGTCCACTCAACTGATCGGGAGCAGGAATCCAACGGGCACACACGACTCAGGACTCCTTGTTGGCTTGCATGATTCGAATCTGTAGTCAAGTTGACACTCCACGCTGAGATTCAATAATGCTCCAATTGGTCGCAAGCCTGTCCCACGTTGGACGTCATACGTCGAACAGAGCATGTGCATATCCTCAACCAGCAGTACACCTGCCACGTCAATTATAGATACTGCTGTACTGACACCTTTCGACGGAATTGTCAACCAGATGTGCTATCTCTAAGAACGCTTGACGTTGAAATTCGCGATGCCGGAGTCAAGTCCGCAGCCTCTTCACATGCCAATAAATAGTCCCTACGACATGCGAACCATGGCCACAAAACCGCAATCCCTGCTTCCATCTCCCGCTATGGGGCTTCTAAACGTGGTCGTTGAGATGCATCTATGTGCAGCATGTTTGCTGATTTGCCGCTTCCTCGCCCATTCCTGACGTAATGCTCTTTCCAAACAAGGCGCGAGCAGCCACCGCGTCAAAACTGCGATTGATAAAAAAGCCCCAACATGTCTCTGAACCTCGCTCCTGCGACTCCCAGCCCTTTTGCGCGTACAACAGACTGCGACCCGTCCACCTGGGATTACAACACTGGAAGTGTCCAATTTGCCGATATCCGTACCTATGCTCCACGCGACCCTGGACGCTCCACACCACCGTCGCCGAACCATAGGGCTTTCCCCAGATCAACATGCCGAAGGCCTCTATCACAGCCGCCAAACATCGTGTTGAAGAGCAGTTCAACCACCATGAAGATAAGAAAAAGTCCAAGACACAGGCTGCAGTTGATTTCGCACACCAGGCTAAGCGTCTCGGACAATACACACCAGAGCAAGAAAATGAGAGCACAGGTTCCACACAGGCGGTGGAAGCACGGTTCATAACTCCACAAGATCCTGTCATCGAAACTGCCGACGGCCATCGGTTACCTGCTGTTCCTCTTGAAGAAGCGACCAAGCTCAATGAATTGCGAGACATTATCGACGACCGTGATCCTGCTAAGAAAGAATCCTTCTCACCGCGGCTACGCGAAGCAAAAGATGGAACAATACACGGCATACCTCCGAAAGAAGCAGAGATGAATGGCGAGGGGAATTCTGATGTCCCATTGAGTGATTCGAAAGCGCCTTCGAAGACAAATCCTCTGTTCCCGCCTCTACCCATGTACGGACCGCCGACGCTTTTGAGGAAATGCCAGTGCTGGTTCTTTCGAATCTCATCTGGCATCTTGTCATTCTTGTTTCTTCTCGTCATAGTTCTAGGTGCAGGCTTTACGTCCCTCCCCGGCATGTGTAAACACCTGTTCCTACTGCTCACTTTCCGTGACGCTGAGAAGCGAAGACCATTCTACCAAGAGGAGACCAAGCGAAAGCAGGCGAGAAGAGAGGCAGAAAGAGCGTGGAAGAAGCGAGACGCTATGCCGTCAGCTAAGAAGCTGGAGAATGGAGAGGATGGTGGAACGACAGAGGAGTTTGAACCATTAGAGGGTGGTCCCGATCCTCTGGTTTGCGACGTGCGCCACTATGCACGAAGAGTGGGATTGGACTGTGAGATCTTCGACGTCCAAACAGAAGATGGGTTCATCATCGAACTCTGGCATCTATACAATCCTCGCGACTACAAGCGCACGAACGCCACTCAGCGATCCCCGCATTTACCAGAGCTTTTCCCCAAAGATCGTACGGGTGTCGCTGGTTCACAATACGAAGAAGGCGAAAAGAAATACCCCGTCCTTATGATCCACGGCCTCTTGCAATCCGCAGGTGCATACTGCACGAATGACGATGACAGTCTTGCTTTCTTCCTCGCAAAGTCTGGCTACGATGTCTGGCTTGGCAACAACAGATGTGGTTTCAAACCTCGCCATACCACTTTGCAATATGGAGACCCGCGCATGTGGGCATGGAACATTCGTCAGATGGGTGTCATGGACTTGCCTGCTCTCATCTCTCGCGTGCTTTCGGAGACCGGATTCGAAAAGCTGGGTCTCATCGCGCACAGCCAGGGTACTACACAAACTCTTGTCGCACTGGCGAAAGAACAACGACCTGAGATTGGCGAGAAGATATCTGTATTCTGCGCTCTGGCACCTGCCGCCTACGCTGGTCCTTTGATCGGGAAGGCGCAGTTCAAGTTCATGCAAGTTATCAGTCCCAACATGTTTCGTACTGTTTTCGGCATTCACGCGTTCATTCCGTTCATGATGGTCATGCATGGCCTCCTTCCCGGGAAGTTCTACGGCTCCATGGGATACCGTGTCTTCGCCTTCCTGTTCAATTGGACGGACGACCGCTGGGAACGCGATCTAAGGAACCGCATGTTCCAGTTCTCCCCCGTCTACGTCAGTGCTGAGAGTATGAGGTGGTGGCTCGGACGGGAATGTTTTGCAAAGCAGAAATGCATCTTGGCTACAAGAGATGAGAAGATCATGGAAGACAAGGAAGATGAAGAGATGGAGCACACGAAAACCAAAGCTAAAATTCCGCCGCACGATTCCGACGATGAAGACCAGAACAGCAGGAAAGAAGCTGAGCGCTACGCATGGTACGGTCCGCAAACTCCTCCCTTTGCACTGTGGGTCTGTGGCTCCGACGATCTAGTAGATGGTCGCCGTCTACTACGCCGCTTCGAACACGGTCGAGAGCCACATGTGGATGTCGTACACTCCAAGGTCATTGAGGGGTACGAACATCTTGATGTTATCTGGGCCATGGACGCTATTGAGAAGGTTGGCAAGGAGGTTAGAGAGGTGATCTGGAAGACGGCGTCTGCTGATGCTCGCAAGCTGTGCAGGACACCAAAGGGATGCGAGGATGTTCATGAGTTTTACAGCAAGCGTGGACCCAGGGAGAGTGCGACGAGAGAGATTGATGCGAGCGCTGGCGAGTGGAGCAAGAAGGGTGAGGAGGCAGTGGCTGATGGGCCTGGAGAGTAATGCTGAGATGTAAGGAGCTTTGTCGTACTCATTCTGGAAGACTTCTACAGGATACGAGACGAGCGCGAACACACAGAGAAGCACACATACGGGAGGCGCATTTGGTTTCCTTCAGCACATGAGATATCCCCCTGTCCGTTCAATCGAGGCAAATTAGACTAGAAATGGAAATGGTTCGCATTATCACCGTACTTGGCGCGCAGGGCTTACGCTCAAACCGTTAGGATCGGCGGCTTTATAGTTCACTAATATACAGTTGTTAGCTTCACACCGTAGATTGACAGCTGTAAAGTCCTTCGAAGCGCAGTATCATCGGCTCATCACACCGCAAGAAGAGGGATCCCTGGCAAAAGGCGGTCTCCCCGCTGTGCCGCAGGGGCGCCACGGTTCTGTTGGTTGTAAGTGGCAAGGCGCCTTTGTCGCGACGGTCGCGTAAACAAAACCGTGCGGCCCCTGCAGCGACCCCACCAAGCTAGTCCAACGCGGCGCTCCTCACCGCTTGAACCCAGAACACTTCTGCCTCCAGCGTCGACGCCGGAAACTAGGAGGTTCCTTCGACAGTCGTCTGTTTGACACAGCAACACCGTAACCATGCGAGGAGAGGTACGTCAAGTTGTGTTGTTTTCGGTGGAGTGTTCAATCGCAGTATGCGCAGAGAAGCGGGGGGCTTCATGCGCCGACATGGACGAGACGAAGCTCTAAACGGTGGCCAAACAGCAAGAAGAAACGAAAGAGCTTGGAGATTGGAACACTCCAAGGATCCGAATGACCCCAGCACGCGCAATGCTAACACCAAACTCGACAGATCTGCCACCTTCACATCGGCCAAGCTGGCACGCAGCTGGGTAACAGCGCCTGGGAGCTGTACGTTGTCGCGAACCGCATGCGCCCTGAAGCCTACAGTCAAGACTGACACGATAACCTAGGTACCTCCTCGAGCACGGCCTGCTGCCCGATGGCCGTCCCAACCCCGATGCGAAGGAGCTCGGCGAGGGTGGCTCCTACGAGACCTTCTTCACTGAGACCGGCAGCGGCAAATACGTGCCCCGTTCCATCTTCGTCGACTTGGACCCTTCGCCAATTGACGAGATCCGAACTGGTGCCTACCGTCAGCTGTTCCACCCTGAGCTGTTGATCAGCGGCAAGGAGGATGCTGCCAACAACTGTGCGTCTTGAGGAGCTGTCGGGAATGCAGAGATACTGACGAGACTAGATGCTCGTGGTCACTACACCATCGGCAAGGAGATGGTCGACAGCGTCATTGAGAAGATCCGTCGCGTTGCTGGTGAGCTCCACACCCTACTTCCACTCAATGCGCCTGCTAACAAACACAGACAACTGCTCGTCCCTCCAGGGTTTCCTCATCTTCCACTCCTTCGGTGGTGGTACCGGTTCCGGCTTCGGTGCGCTTCTCCTCGAGCGCCTCTCGACCGACTACGGCAAGAAGTGCAAGCTCGAATTCGCCGTATACCCTGCTCCTCGCGTGTCTACCTCTGTTGTTGAGCCCTACAACGCTGTTCTGTCGACACACAGCACTATCGAGAACTCCGACTGCACCTTCCTCGTTGACAACGAAGCTGTCTACGACATCTGCAGACGCAGCTTGGACATTCCCCGTCCCAACTACGAGCATCTCAACCGCCTGATCGCCCAGGTTGTCAGCTCCATCACCTCCAGCTTGCGCTTCGATGGTGCGCTCAACGTCGATCTGAACGAGTTCCAGACCAACCTTGTGCCATACCCGCGTATCCACTACCCGCTCATCAGTTACGCCCCTGTCATCTCGGCCAAGAAGAGCTCTCACGAGAGCTTCAAGGTTTCCGATCTTACCTTCCAGTGTATGTTTCAGTACCGTCTCTATACTCTCTGGGCGTTTTGCTAATTCGAACAGGCTTCGAGCCCAACAACCAAATGGTTGTCTGCGACCCGCGCAACGGAAAGTACATGGCTGTCGCACTTCTGTACCGTGGAGACATTGTTCCCCGCGACTGCTCTGCCGCCGCCGGTGCCCTCAAGGCCAAGTCCTCCTTCAACTTGGTTGAGTGGTGCCCCACTGGTTTCAAGCTCGGAATCAACTACACCAAGTACGTCCATCCTACCTCATTACGATGGATCTTTTCTAACAACCCCCGAGGCCCATCAGCGTTCCCGGCAGCGAGCTCTCCTCCGTCGACCGCAGCGTGGCCATGCTTTCCAACACGACCGCCATCGCCGAAGCTTGGTCCCGCCTCGACCACAAATTCGACCTCATGTACTCGAAGCGCGCTTTCGTTCACTGGTATGTGGGTGAGGGTATGGAGGAAGGAGAGTTCTCCGAAGCTCGTGAGGATCTTGCTGCGCTGGAGAAGGTAAGTTCTGGACTGTACGGAATGCATGTGAGACATGTACTAACTTTGTATCTCTGCAGGACTACGAGGAGGTTGCTGAGGACTCGCTTGATGCGGATGATGTTGAGGAGGGCGAGTACTAGGTTTTGGGGCCCAAGAGAAGGATACATGGACATGGATGTTGTTGATGGCGCTTGCTACGACGAGCTGGAGGAATCAGTAGCCTTGGAATCGAGAAACTATGTGCGGTCGCATAGTCTTACTTTCAAACCATGAACTTGCTGCTATCGTGATGTACAATGTTGTGGGCTATGGCAACAAATGGCACAACCACGATACTCATTTGCAAGCGTAAGTAGTGACATTGTCTCAATTTATTGCAAATTTCGTTGTTATTCAACGAGGAGTAAAAGAGCTGAAAAAGAATTATTTACAAATCTACAAATTGGAAAAAAGGAGAGGAGCCTGGCGCGCTGCCCTTGGCCATCTGTCTGTCTGTCGACTAATCTAGTGTAAAAGGAGTACTAAATAGAACGCTGAGCGATATCGCTGTACAACGGGAAAGGAATTACAAAAAGAAACTTTTTTTTTTGGCTTCGAGAGCCGTTTCTTCATCTTTGGACCAGACGTCGAAGAGAGAAAGAGGGCGAGAGAACTACATCTCAATGAAACCTCCTCATCTCAATCCCATCCGTCCGACTCCTCGCCGGCGGGCCAAACGTCCTCTCACTATCCGCCGTACTAGGCGCCAACGCACCCGTACTCCTTGGTACATCCGCACTGCCCACCCTCGTAATAGGCACCTCATCTTCGCCGCCACTGCTCCTCACAGCACGGGGACTAATAATGCCACTGCGCGGATCAAGCGTGTTCTTCTTCTTAGGTGGGGTGTCGTAACCGCTGCCTTCGGGGATATCAGCCATACCGGCTTCGACGTCATTACCGCCGCGGTTGCGGCTGAAGAAGCGGTTTCGGTGCGTGCGTTCGCGGGCAGTGGAAGAGGCGCTTGTGCTGACGCGTTGGAGGCCGGTGCTGCGAGCGGAATCTTCGGATTGGCGGGTGTTGTTTCGGTCTTGGGAGCGGGACGGCGAGGTAACACGGACGACGGTTGCGCGGGCGCGGGAGGCGTTTTCGCGGTCATCGAGGACGTCGCCGCTGGGGTCGTCTAGGCCCATTGATTTCATGCCGAGGGAGAAGTCGACGCGGCGGCCCATTGCGGAGAGCGTTTCTGGCTTCTTCAGGATGGAGCCTGTGCGGCCTGGTGCGCTGCCTGCTCCGGTAGCAGAGTCTGATGTGCCTTCTGCGGGTGCGACGAATGGTTGGTCTTGGGCTTGGTTGTGGATGTTGCCGTTGGGGTGATCGGGTGTACCATTGATGCCAACACCAGGTGTAGCAGGGTTCTGCAGATTCTGGAGGTAAACTGGGAAAGATTCCTTCTGACCGGGGTAGCGCATGCGGGGGCCTTCGATCTCGCATTCCTGGATTGCCATTGTGAGGGCGCAGATGAACTTGTTGCGGCGCTGCAATCTGAGCAGTTCGTTCTGCCAGTTGGACTTGTAGAAGAAGACGACGTTGAGTTCGAGCCAGTGGACTTCTTGGACGGCGCGCAGTTCGGTCAGGATGTTGGTCTGGTACTCGCGTTGCTCGGCGGTGACAAACTCGAGGAGCACGTTGCGGAGCTTCTCGATTTGCTCGAGCGTTGTACCGAACTTGATAATGATGGGGATGGCTTCGGCGAGAGCACCCGATCGACGGTGGTTAAGGATGAAGAGCGTGTTGAGGTAGCTGTTGGGCGCTTGGACGACATGACCTTGCATCTTCTTGAACTCGGTGTAGAACAGAGCGATTTCCTTGACGAAGTAATCATCACCGCGGCCGAGATCTCCGGTGTTACCGTAAATCATGACACGGTCACCGACATCGTAGGGGTGCTTGACGAAGACGAAGATGCACGACTGGAGGAACTCCTGAGCGGTTGCAGAGAAGAGCCAGGATAGAGCCAGAAGGGTCGAACCAGCGGATGTTAGGACACCGGCGGCGGAGGTTGAGATCAGCGAGATGAATACGATGATGGTGATGATCAGCACTATGAACATGAAGACATCATCGAGCTTGGAGACGACGCTATCGAGATCCTTCAGGGAGGCGGTAATCGATTTGCGTTCACGACCAATCTCGACGCAGACAGCCTCAAGTTCCTCCATGGAGATGTCGCCATTCATGTCCTTGTCGAACATGGAGAACGCGGCAGTAGCTTCGTCATCGCTGTCGAAAGCATTGTTGAGATCCTCGGAATGTACAGTCTCAGTCTCAGGTCGTGCAAAGGTACGATACAGACGGCGAGCCAGGACCTGAGCACCACTGGTAGTACCAATGAGTTGCAGAACAACCTGGTGAGGATGGCCGCTGCCAGTAACCGCACGACCAGTGAAGTCCCCAGCGACCTTTCCAGCAATGTCTCCAAACTTGTTGAAACCGACTTTGATGTTCTTTTGCGCCTCTGTAAGAACCTGGCCGGGAGTGCGTGCGCCCGATGGAGCATTTTCGTCACCCTGCTCAAATTCGGAATCTTCCATGGCAATCTTCTCCTTGGAAAACTTGTACAGCTTAGCCAAACTGCCAATCTGGAACTTGTTCAGCTCAATACGATCCTGGTATGTTCGGAGGTGGAAGCTGATGGCGATGAGCTGGATGATGATCTTCTCGATGAAGTTGAGGACGAATCCGACAAACAGAGCTACAAGAACCTTGTTCATGGTGCCTTCCCATTCTCGTGTGGTCTTGACGCCGTTGATGTGGTGGTTCGTCATTGTTGGGAGGAAAGACACTTCAATGGCCAACCACCAGAAGAACAAAGTAGCTGGGAGTTCGAGTTGCTTTCCCATGTCTCTCCACTTCTTGCTGTTGTTGGTGAAGAGGGAAGAGATGAGACCAATAGGCCAGGGGAGGAGTTTGGCGAGCACCTGCGATGTATGTTAGTGGTTGTCAAATTTTGAAGACAGAAGAACCCACTCTTCCAGCCCACAGTGTTAGCCACACAATCATGAGCCAAATCGAAAACCAGACAAGCTTGACTCCTCCAACACTCGCATTCGGGAATGCAAATATTCCAACCATCAAAGGAATGAGGATCACGAGCACCATGGGCGTAATGTACGTAAAGTACCTGACAAGCCATGACGAATTGTGAACCTTCTTGAAGAACTTGGAGAAGCTCGTGGTTGGGTTTTCGGGTGGCGTGTAGCGAGCCGCCTGTTCGTGCAGTGGGTTTGTCGCCGCATCGAAGTCGTCTACGAGGTCCTCACGGCGGGATCGCACGCGTGTCATGGATGGGTTCATCGAGGCATTGCGCCTCAGAGCCTCCTTCTCATCTAGACCTTGCTCAATAGCGAGCACTGCAAGGTCATCGTTGAGCCTGCTCGCCTGCTCACGCGTTTGCGATGGCGATTGTATGCCTTTCATGGCTGGTATATCGTGTGCGGTTTCGACGGTAAGGTGGGTGCCAGATCGTGATCTGTTGTGCGGTGGCCGTGCGGCAGTATCTACACGCAATGGCCGCTGATGATCGTCCCCCACAACTGTGCCGTCCTCGTCGGAAGATCGCTGGTGGTGGTGGGACATGTTACTGTCCATGTCGTATGTCGGCTCTGGCCGCTCATAGTTCGGCGTACTCATAATGAAGAGTCGCGCTCAGGCCCAGGTTCGATAGGATATCCAGTCAAATAGCCCCCGTGGGTGAGCAATGAGGTAACGACCGTGTTTTGATTTTGCGGCGATTTTCTTTGCAGATAACGCAAAATACGATTGCTGAAACAATGGTATGCTTTTCCACGCCAAACCAACAGTCAATGGCTTGCGCTCGCCCTTCCGGTGGTCCAGGGTCAAACGCGAACTGCTGCAACGGGATGACGTCAAGCTCGGTGCCGACTTATCCAGAAAATGTTTTAGCGAGTGACGAAGAAAAATGGGCGTGTTCTGTAGTGATTAACCGGCGATAGAGGTAGTGAGAAAAGAGAAGAAGATAACAGTGGAATGGACAGCAGCGATGTTAGCAACTGAGATGTGGAGCTCGCCCGGGGTTAAAGGAGTAGGAGCAGCGCTGGGCCAGGGATTATTTTTGGGGACTCCCGATCTGCGATTCCTCATTTTCGACGCCAACCCTTCGACAGTGACTGGCGCAAGGAAAAATGGGTCATGGAACCGACGGTGGACGCGTGTGGCCATGGCAAACACAATGGGTGGGCCGCGTCGCTTTGTCTAGAATCTCTGTTGGGACTGAATCTGGTACAGAAAGCTGTAGGGATACGCGTCTGCACCAACCACAGCCATCGAATATACTAGAATAAGCCCGTCGCTGGCCCTCAACGACGGCTGCGGCTATCTATCTCGGTCGAAAATGCCATGACAGCGGCGTCGCATACGCCGTTAGGTCTGCCAACACAAGTTCTTAGCGACAGCCACCGACGTCACGCAGCATCGCAATGCAGGTCCCGGACGCTTCGTGTGTCGGTCCCTCAAAACTCTGCAAAGTGTGTCTATTTTGAGCTTGCGCAGTCGATGAAGGTCGCGCGGCAGGGCGAGAAGTTAGAAAGAGCGCCAGTTCTCGGCCGCCCAGTCGGTCGCAACGCGTTCTAACTTTGTCAACCGCTGTTCTTTATCGTCTTTCACATGCCTAGGAAGCCTTATCCTTAATTTCCAGGGTCATTGCCGTTATCGCGGAAGGCTGTTTCAAACCGCCCGTGGCGTTCGAGCAAAGCTTGTCGCGTGCCGATCCTAATGCCGCCCCTGCATACCAAGGCTCTCCTTGGATCGCGTCGTGGGGGTCAGGATCGATGTACAACACTGACACCACCAGAGATCTCGACTCCAGCGTGTCAGCGTCCAGACCCGCTGGATCTGACTGTCTCCATCTTTCTCCCCAGATGTGATCCGACGATGTGCGCAGGATGAGCGGTCCCTGTGCTGTGTCTGTTCCAGACATCGGATAAGGCGGCAACTACCTCACCTCTCGTCGTTGCACCAATTTAACGACATGTCGGACAGGAACCACTCCACAGCGTCTCCATATTGACGAGTCGTGTTTTCAGCAGCGGACGTGTCCTCGCAGGAAGACGTCTAAGCGATACGTCCTCAGCACTTGTGGTGGAGGGAGGCCACTCGGCTCGTACAAAGCCCGATTTCCGCTTGTGCTAAACGTGGTGGGTCGCTCTGCAATATGTCATAACTCGTATCTTGTGCGGAAGCGTCTTTGGTAACTTGCTGTTATGTAAGCTAGAGCAACTCTCTCTTAGTGCTCTACGTCAGAGCAGACTTGTTCCCTGTCACGATTGAGCGCCGCGGAGGTTACGATGGAGCATGTCGGCGTGAGCACCTTATTGCTGCAACTGGATGGTAGGTCGAGAGTTGACATCGACTATAAGGACAGCATCATCGACTACGCAAATACAACAGTATCAAGTTAGGGCTCTTTCTAAACACAATGATGCTCTTGATCGTTGCGATGGATAGTGAACTTACGATTTACCTACCATGTGACTATCTAACAGTTGTCTATGCTGCGGATTGAGCTTCAATGGGACGAGGAAACCGTACGTAATATCAATAACGTTAGATTGAATGCAACATCTCTGTGGGTTCATCAAGAAGTCAATCCGCCCATCCGCTGTTCTCAAAAAAATTGGTAAGGTCGATGGGCGAATACCGTTGCCGGTCCATACAGCATTGTTCCATACAATATGGGACGACACACTACTGCATCAGGCAATATTCGGCTTCCGTCGATTGTAGCGTCCCTGTCTGTGAAAAACAAAGCTCTCGTAGTGGTCCGGTTCAGATCAGGGTGAGATTGGCGAAGGAAGCTCTTCACCCAAAATTCGCAGCAATCGATGGTTTTCAAACAATTGCCTATCTGAGCATGCATTCATTTGATCTGCTTTCTGTTGGAACACTAATTAGACAGGCAATATTTAGAAAGGCGTAAATTGCTGCAGTAGGACGGTGAAGTGGATAAGAAGAGCCCGCAGCACGAGGGAAAGCCGAAGGACGAGATGAAGCCCATGTCCTTTATCCTACATTCTGCTAGAATCTACACCTTAGCGAACCTTCCTGATTGGGCAAGAAGCAATTTTGGGTGCAAGCCTCATGTCTGTGATGTACGGTTTCGGCGTGAGGAAGGTACAGATGCTCTAGAGTTACTCAATGCATTGTAGGAAAGTGGGAAGGTGAACATTGAGGAGTGAGGTGAACGGGCTCCATCCACACCTGCCATAATCCACGCTCACAGGTCACTACCCAATGCAGTAATTGAGTGCTGGCAAACCTCATGTATCTTGAAGCATGTAGGAGTAGAGACGAAGGAAATGTTGCAGGTGTGATGTTGCTTGGGAACTCTGCTCATCCCGATCGGGCTAATGTCGCGAGGACATCACGTCATACCAGAACGAGCAAGGCGCGACGCGAGCTCTCAGATGCGCACCTTCCCCGCAAACTCTCTTGACTTTTGCAACCGCACAGACACGATGTTCAGCTTACCAAGGATATCACTACCTTCTTTCCTTCGCGCCGGCGAAGGCACACATCTTACTGTCGACCTTCCCTCCGTAGAAATCCACGACATCGAGACCTCGGCAGAGAAACGACCGCGAACCCTCAAGCATCTGCTCAAAGCGAACCACGCCAACTACGCAATCATATACCACAACCTTACTTTTCACAACCATACACCGCACGTATGCTGCTCCTCCTGTAAAGGCTGTAGCTGCTAAGCATGTACCCTAGATCCTGGGATCGGCTTACCTTCTGGGAGGCACCGCAGAGCATCTGAACGAGATTTACGAGAGGGAGGCGGAAGTGCTGGAGCCTTGGCATGATGCGCCTGGTGAGATTACAAAGGACGACTGGCGAGAGTTTCTGGGGAAGCGCGAGTAAGTAGCTACATGATGGTGCGATTCAGTGGGTTTGGGGTCAGTCGCTAATGGGCAGCCAGATACCAACGCGCATTCATTGATTTCTTTGAAGATCAGCTCGTGACCAAGAAGTACAATGTCGAAGAGGTTCTCGAGGAGTTTCTGCTCAAGGGCAAAGAGCCGCTGATCAATGGCCTCATTTCAGGACGTAAGCTTGTGTTCTTCTAAAGCCCGAATATTGCTAATCCTATGCAGTTGCGCATCCTCTCATTCATCTCGGCTACGCTTACGAGCTCAACTCCAAAACCGTTGCGATAGAAGCCCTGGCGATGGGTTCTTGCTTCTACAGCCCGCTCCATAAATACATCGACGACCCGAAGTACACAAAGCCCAGCCCTCACGAGGCAAGTGGAGATCACACCGGGCTGATCAATTTGTTGGACAAGGTACGTAAGGATAAGCGCTTCGATGGACTGTACGATCACCGCAGCGGCGATATCACGAAAGTGCTGGAGGAGCGCGAGGAAGCATTCTTGGAATACTGGAACGCATGGGAAATCACAAACCCGAACAAACAGTTCCAAGCTGCTCAGGAGGTTGGCTTGGGGCTTTTGACAGGAACACCACTACCAGAGCAGGGAAAGTACGACTTCTTCCTCGTACATGTGCTTACGAGCTCTCATGCCATTCGCATCCTTCTCCCGTTGATACCGGCCAAGTTCCATGTCAGTCTTCTACGGCAATGGTGGCTATTCGCACTAGCTGTGTACATCGCGCAGACGAGACCGGAGATCGATATGAGGAGAGCGATGACTGGTGGCGATAGCCAGACGAAGACCTGGAAACATGTCGTGGATAAGGCCTTGAACGGGTCACATTCGACTGATGCGCATTACGTCAAAGGTATGTTACGAGCCTCTTGCCGGACTGTGGTGTTCTTGACTGACATGGTGCAGCATTGCGTGCGTTGAAGGTAGCGGAGGAGACATGGGAAACGGGTAATAACAAGTCAAACCACTGGCTATGTGCGGCAGTCAAGTTTGCCGATGATTTTGAAGGCTGGGGAGGATTTGGAACGGCGGAAGACGAAGCAAAGATTGGATATCCTGAGAAGCAGTAAGATTTACTATGCAAAATGGGGAAGATAATGTATGCGCAGGCCTCTAGTTTCATGGAAAGTTCATAACCTGCTTGACGGTGACGCGCTCACGTGGTCTGATGTAAAATCGGCGTGGAACTGATCATTCACCACTTGCTGCCTCTTGTCTGCTGACTCTATCCCCTGGCGATAGCCATCATCATTACCCATAGCACGCAATACACTCCGGCACCTGACAGCAAGGACTACCTACTTCTCTCCTCTGGAAAATCATGAGTACCAGCCTCCGCCATTCAGCTGCATTCAACTGTACAATGGAAGCGCATCCCCTTACCACCACTCCAATTCCATGCACTCAATACAAAATTTACTGGCGGGAGTGCGGCCACGAGTACAGCAACGTCAACGATGTAGTCCCCTGCCAAGCAGCTGCGGACAACCTCCCATGTGCATGTAGCACAAATCTAAGAATCGTGCGAGACACGACTACTTCTCAAGGCGTAGATGGGCATACTAGAGTATTGAGTGATGGAACTGAGACTGGGGTTTGCAGGTCGTGTAGATTGAACAACGAGAAGGAGAGGAAGGAGGCAAAAAAGAAGAGGAGTACGAAGGTAGATGGTGGTAGCAAGGTAACTGGAGAGGGTGGTGGAGTTGAAAGTGAAGGCGGAGCTATGGTTGCAGGGAAAAGGAACGTTAGGGTCAAGAAGAAGTATGTCAATGTAGATGGAGGTAGAATGGGAAGTAAAGATGACTGGGAGGTGGGGAGGCCGCCCAAGACGATTAAGCAGTACTAGAAAGATTTGAAAATGCTTACGGAGAGTGCTGGAAGGGATAGAGGAAGAGTAATGAGTTGTTGATGGGGGTTAATGTGAAGCGATAGTTTGGTAGCTGGTAGAGAGGTGACTAACGGTCCAATATGTAAGCCTTCTCGTTGATCAGCCGAGCATGAAACCATGGTCGACGCCCTCGCTTTTCGAATATATTTTCCATTTCAACTTAAAGATAAACACGCATCACAGCAAGCTTCCCATTATCTTACATTGGAACTTACAAATACCACAGCAACATCGCCCCAAGACAATTCTGCGAGACCACTTTGCAAGCATGTCCAGCATATCACTCGAACCACTGTGTCCAAAGCGCCCACAAGCAATCCAAATAGATCTCACCATGACGCAAGAGCTCCTCCGCGTCTTGTCTCGCGGTGGAAACGGTCATCCTCTCCACCACGACTCCCTCTACCAATCGATCTATCTATCCAGCGCTTGCGCCTCACCCGTTCCCGACGGTTGCCCAGTTCTCCAAGCTCACGCACTCGCCCCTCTCTTTCTCAGCCTCAAGCAGAGATTCGAAGTACAAGCCAGGCACTACCGAACTTGGAGGATGCTGGTAGCCAATGGCCTTGCAACCGAAGAAGCGATTCACCTTGCGATTCATGAAAGCAGTTCGGTGAACAAATCTGCGGTTTGGAGGTTGATTGATAGGCTTTCTGGTTTTCCAGCGTTCACGGCCGTGGATATATTGGAGGTGGGAGGGTTCAAGTGTCGATGCTGGAACTGCTCTGGATTGGCATTGGCATTGGAACAAGAAAGGGGGGATGTGTTTGTGCAGCCGGGGTACTGGTTTGCGGCGGTTGTACTCAGGTCAGAATGTGATGTTGACAGTGTGATAGAAGCGCTGAAGACGTGGGATGAGGCGCATATGCGCTATGTGCCTGATGAGAAGTTGAATGAGGAGGGCGTATATGTTGAGAAGGTCAAAAAAGAGGAAGACACCCTTGAAAGAGGAAGTATAGGTATACTGTTCCGTGAGGAGATAGAAGAGGCAGAGGAATAGGAAGACAACGGTGTTGAGCATACTGAAGATATCGATGAGTTATCTCGACTGCAAATCGAAATCGACAGTGAGGGTGAAAGCTCCACAGGCATCGAAACACCGCCTTCGACAACCGAGGAGCTTATAGATCCTACACTCACGCTATCACACATCTGGATACCAACAGATCCCTGTCCAGAACACTGTCCCTCCCGCCGCCGCCGCCACCTCTACGACAACATCCGCAATCCGAAACACTCATCGTGTAAATACCAGTGCCTCACCACTCCACACGCTCCTTTCGAATTCGAGCCAAGCGGCGACCAGGTCGGCTCTGGCTTCCCCATGGACTGCAAGATAAACAGGCACGGAAAGAATGGGCAGTGGCGACTAACAATAGAATGACGGAGTTTAGGGGGGCATGGAAAAATCTGTTTGGAAATGACCGTGCGGGTGTAAAGGCTACCATAGAGGTTCAGCGGTGTATGCGGGATTTCGTCAGAGCGGCTTATGGGTATGATGAGCGGAGGAATAGAAAAGTTGCTTCTAAGGAGGTTTACGTATGTGATGAGTTGTAGAATGCGATGAATAAGTGTCACACAATATGGTTCGGCTTGAGTATGTGTTAGTGTTCAGTCCGTCCAATGAGGGAAATATCTAAGGTTGTGTTCTGAGCTCCTCGTATCCGTCAAGACTCTTAACCCATGCGAGGGATTTGCAGCTACCGATCGAAGAATATTGAATTCACTAAGCGTCTCGGGTAAGGTTCTGGATGGAGGGACTCTGAAGGTCGGTTCGGAGCTCGGTAGCGCGTGGCCGGGAGCCTGCAGGATTTACCCGCCAGACATGTTCATGCTGCAGTGTAGATTTTACATCCCGCTAGGATGTGCCGCTGTGGTGGTTCAAAAGCGTCTCATGGTGTGATGTAGTACTCGGTAGCTCTTGCATCAGATGTCAGTCAACGTCGCCCCTCACTGTGCTCTAGCTTACTTAGTGTCTTGGCGTCCTGTCATCCTCACGGGCTTGGGCCGAGCCCAAATCTCCAGTCTCAACTCACTCTTCGCAAGATCCATCTCACCATTTGTACTCCATGATCGCAGGCACTACCCAGGTACATATGGAACCTCTCCCGGTGGCTCGATCCGCTTTTGTGCAGAGGAGCGTGTCCCTCCGTTCAGCCGCAAGCCAATCAGCCACGTCGCTAGGGTATGGGTGCAGCTGCAATCTCACGAGGCCTGGTTCGCGAAGTCGAGAATCCTCGCTTTTGACAGGCGAGCGTCACGCCATCGCGCTACAGACGAATAGAGGCCTTCATCCGACTAACCGACAAGGAAGACCTAACTCCAATGGTGCGGACCGCTCCCGGTACTGCTTTAGTGCAGAGATCGTATCATCGTGTCGCTCCAAGACCTGATACTCCCTGCATACCTTGATCAAACCTGTATTGCGCCCCGAGGCTTTGGGTAATCGCCGTCTGACCTGACTACTGGCGTCAAGGAGACGTCCAACAAGCGCGCACCTTGAACCACCTCCGGATCAGTCAATTCCTAAGACAACGCCGTACACGTGGCTGTGTTGGTGTGCCCATTTCGCACCAGTTGCAGCACACGAACACAACCAAAACGATAGGCCACACTCTGTGCCCCTTCGAGCTCTCCGTGAGATCGTGAGGCTGCGCGAGTACTCCATCGACTGTGTTAGCAGAAACATACGAGGTGTCGAGCGTTCTGTGAGGTAATGTAAAGCTCTTTTAGCCGGCATGCCAGCCGCTTTATGCTCAACGCGACATTGCCACTACGGTCTCCCAACTCCTATACTTTTGCGCAGCTGCATGTGGCACAACTCTGCTGTGCTACTCATCACGAGAAGAACCGCACTGGCGGGTCCGTACCTGATCCATCCACCCTTCTTGTTGCTACCCTCGCCGCTCACCCCACATTCCATACAACATGTCCGTTCTCGCAGTAGCCGTCGATCGGCTTCCATTCACCAGTCCTCCTAGCGTATGTCTAAGACGATGAATCAAGTCATTCTGTCGGACTTGAATCGAACGCCCATCGTTCAGATCATCACTTGGTTCACTCTTGTTACCAGCCTTTTAGCGTTCTTCACGCATGCTGGCATCAAGTTCTATGTGTTTCGAACATTGACGATCGAGTCATGGCTGGTACTTGCAGCCTTGGTAAGTTAAGCATCAACATATTCGGCAACGTTTGCTAATATATATTGCCAGATCTTTTGCGTCGCACAATCTGTGGCCGTATTGCTGCAAGCACACTACGGTTTCGGGAAACCGATCGCGACTTTGAGTGGATATCAGATTGAGTCGAACCTCAAAGTAACCTCTTACCTCCGCTTAAGTACCTGGTCCGGAGCGCTGACATGAGCGAAGAGCGAATATGCCGCAATGATACTATTCGTCGTCTCCCTTGGCTTCTCGAAGCTTGCTGTCGTAGCATTCGTCCATCATCTGACTCCCTCCGAGCTCCACCGTAGAATCAACTTTGGCGTCTTGGCTCTTATAACTCTGTGGTTGGTTTGTTCTGTGTTGGTCGCAGCATTCGAGTGCCGGCTGCCACGGCCATGGGACAGAACATTGGATCGATGCATCGACCGTGTCAGTAATCTGCGCAGATGCGTATTCAGCAATTGGCTGACACTGGACAGTTGACCTGGTGGAATATCGTCTCATGCTTCAACATCATGACAGAGCTCGCGATCGTGGCTCTGGAGTTGGGTATAACAGCGCAACTTCACATGCGACGGCAACGGAAGGCAGCGGTCATGGCTTTGTTCTCGTGTCGGTTACTGTAAGTGTGAATCCCAAAATGCATCCTAAGTACTGACAAACTGTACATAGAGTCCTCGTTTCTGCTGCGACCCAGCTTGGCTTCTTCAATCGCGACAGCATAGATGCCGTTTCGAAAGACGATCTAACACTCGGTTACTGGCGGTCGTCTATCTGCAACCAGATCGTGCAATGTTTTGCCATTGTTACTACATGTCTTCCCTATACCAAGCTATTCATGGAGGGCTTTGAGTCGGGTCTCATGCGATTGGACGACCTGCGCCGTCGAGGAGAGCAGACCTCCAAAGACGACAGCAAAGGATACCAACTCATGGACATATCGCGATCGGGACGCTCTGAAAATTCTAGACCCTCATACAGCGGGCCGGATAGGAGCATCCAAGTATCGAAGAGTTGGACAGTGCAAGTAGAACCAGTAGCCCGCATGCCAGCTACAACAATACTGCAGTAAATCTATCTCGATAGTGTGTACCCAGTCCCGAAAGCACAAGCCAACGCATGCAAAAATTGGCGCGCAATTCACAGGATCAAACCCATGCTGTGCCCTCGTTTCGCAGTGCATGTGGCACGGCACGCAGCATATGCGCCTAGCTTTCTTCCAGCAGGTCGTCCGGATTGGGACACATGGTGGTGCGATCCTATTGGCGAACAGGCTATAGGTCAACGGTCAGGATCAGGTACGGGGATCATCTCGGCTACAATGTTCTGCATAAGCGGCCCTAGTTCTTCATCTATGCGGCTACTTGTTGCTAACGGCATATCGGTTCTTTCCCTTTATCCTTCTGCTTATTCTCTCTTTCGTTTCTTCCATCATCGGTTGTCTCACGAGTTCCGCTTTTATTGCTGTATTTCACGTTCTCGCTCGTACTCGTATTGGTGGCACGATGGCGTTCTCCTCGACTAAAGGCAGTGAGCCTGAACTCAGTACTGGAAGGCCGCGGTCTAGCGATAAACACGATGATCTTGCGCTGGCAAGATTAGGGAAGAAAGCTGTTCTGAAGGTATGTATCCCTCTACATTGATCACGAACATGGCTGATGCTAGTACAGCGTCGATTCGGCTTCCTCTCCATCCTAGGTTTCAGCTGCACCGTCTTGATCACCTGGGAAGGATCTCTTGTGTACGTCGTACTACCTCGTACTACGCGTTGTCACGTCGCTGACAGTTTCTCAGGCTGTTCCTGGTCGGCTTCCAGAAGTGAGTACACAGCATAACACAACATATCGACCATGAGACAGTTGTGCTGAAAGAAGCAGTGGCGGTCCCGCTGGTGTCATCTATGGCTACCTTACCGTGTGGCTCGGCACCGTATCTGTGTTCATGGTGCTCAGTGAGCTTGTTTCAATGTGAGTTACGATCGGAGTTCGGGTTCTCTTGACACTGAGGCGATTGCTAACACTCTTCAAAGGGCGCCCACATCCGGTGGTCAATACCACTGGGTGGCTATGCTCGCACCAAAAAGCTCTCGAAAACTGTTGAGTTACATCTCAGGTGTGTGAACCTTAAACTCGACGATCTCTATCGATAGCTTGTGCTAACGCGACTTCCCCGCAGGATGGCTCACTCTATGTGGCTGGCTAGCATCACTCGGGTCCGGCGCTTTCCTCACCGGTGGCCTCATTCAAGGCCTCCTCATGCTCTGCCAACCGGATACCTATGTCCCGCAAAACTGGCATGTCACCCTCCTTTATTGGGCCATCATCGCCTTTTGCGTCTTCATCAACATCGCCGCGGGATGGCTTCTACCCAAGTTCGAAGGAGCGCTATTGGTGCTGCATATCCTTGGTTTCTTCGCTATCTTGATTCCTTTGCTGGTCCTTGGGCCACAGGGTAATGCGAAAGAGATCTTTACCACATTTATGAACTTGGGAGGGTGGCAAACGCAAGGGTTGAGCTTTTGCATTGGGATCATGGGGAGTGTCTTTGCGTTTGTTGGTGGTGATGGGCCCATTCATGTGAGTGCACTTGGATATGGATCTAGATCATATCATCCTTTCACTGTCAGCACTAACACATCATTATAGCTGTCCGAGGAGATTCAAAACGCGCAGATCGTCGTACCTCGCTCCATCATGACCGGCATCGCCATTAACGGCTCTCTCGGTTTTGTCATGATGGTCACCGTCCTCTTACGGATGGGCGATCTCGATGCTGTACTTGAAGAGAACCCTGCGTTCCCTTTCATGGCTATCTTTCATCGTGCCGTTCAATCACGCTCCGGTGCCGCTGTCATGGCATCCATCGTCATGGTGCTAACCATCAGTGCGAACGTAGGCTTCTCCGCATCGACGTCAAGAATCTGCTGGGCGTTTGCTAGAGATAGAGGATTACCTGGGTGGAGAACTTTGAGCAAGGTACATATAAGCTTGAGCCTTGCGTATGAAGTGTATTGACATCCACCAGGTCAGCGATCGTACGTCCATCCCCGTTTACGCCGTAGCCTTCACAAGCTTCATCGCCTGCCTCCTCGCACTGGTCAACATCGGATCCATCGCCGCCTTCAACGGCGTAATCTCCGTTGCTATCGCCGGCCTCTTCTCCTCCTACCTCCTCACGTCATCCCTGCTCCTCTACCGCCGTTGCACCGGCGCCATCCTCCCACCTAGCGAAAGCTTCGACACAGACACCATCTCCACAACCAGCGACGGCATGGTCCGCGCTGTATGGGGCCCCTGGCGTCTTCCTGGTGCTATAGGCATCGCCAACAACGTCTTTGCCTGCGCCTATCTTAGCTTCGTTTTCTTTTTCAGTTTCTGGCCTACGTTTGCGGAGGTGACGCCTGCGAATATGAATTGGGCGATTTTGGTCACGGGCGCGATTGCGATTATCAGTGCGGTTTATTATGCCGTTTGGGCGAGGAAGACTTATCATGGGCCTGTTGTTGAGATTGATGAGAGGGATCTGAGTGGGAGGGTTAGTGTGGTGGCGCAGCGTGTTGAGATGGGGAGTAAGTAGATGGGTTGAATTCGATTTATGAGGCCATACGTGACTGGCGGCCGGAGTATTTTATTAGCGGGACTGAGTATGTATTCAGATGTCCGAGACGTTACATAGAAATAGTTCTTGTCATCCTAACCAACGTAGGCATCTGCTGTAGGACCAGTTTCGCTACGACTACTTCGAAGTAATACAACGTCACCTACAATGCCCCGACTATATGGCCTTCACATATTCCGCTTACGGATACTCATTATCCAAAAGCTCAATCCTCACATCTTCATCCCCACGTTCCTCCCAAAAGATCCCCAACTCCTCTCGAAACTGCCAAAGTGTGACCTCCTTCTCTCGCGCTCTCATATTACCAGCATCCCTCAACACAACGAGCTTTAATATTGGCAGCGAACAAAGCATGATGTAGTCAATGTATAGAAATCCTCCGCGGCTCATGAGTGTAGTCGGTAAGAACAACCTCGATCCTATTCCTCTGGCCGATAGTCAATTTGCGCAGCATTTGATGTAAACCCGAGCGTTCTATCAGAGTGCCGAAGGAGTTGTGGGCGAAAGGATAGTATGCGCCAATTTCACATCGTATCTGCCTGCAGGCGAGCGGTAAATGGATGGCCATCATCTCCTGGATGGGGTTGAGTTCCCATTTTTGTTGGTGATCAGGGCGACATCGTCATATCGTTTTCTCATAGCTGACCCTAGAGCGTACGAAATACATCTCATGACCACCTAGGGCGGAGTGGTAAATTTGGTTTAGGATTTCGCTGGGGAGGCGTAGGAAGGGGGAAGTGAGTTGATTTGGTAAGGCGATGGCTTGGCGTACAGCTGAAGCGGTGTCTGAGTTGGTTGGTGGCATGGTGAAGGTACTGAGATGCTCGAGGAGGAATTGGTGTTGGAGGGTGGGATCAAGATGTTAAGCTATATAATCCCGTGTTAAAGATACGTTATTTTGGAGTGGAAGGTGCCGAGAGTAAGATCCATGGGTGGCCAGAATCATACTTCTCAGAGTGAGTCACTACCAAATTATCACTACAGGAGAACGAATCAACGGCTCTGCATGTCCATTCGGGAACTCAAAACTTCCTCATAGCATCGTTAACCAAATCCGCACCAAACGTCGCTCCAGCCCCATAAACCGCCGCATTTCCAAACTTATGCGCCAGTTTACTCGCCCACTCGTGGTGCTGATTTTATAGTCAGCTTCCTCATATTGCGCACATGAAATACTCTCAAACCATGCTCCTTTTTCTATACCTTGCCTTCCGAAAGCTACTCTCCCAAACATGACAGAAAGGGTTGCCAGGAAAGACACATACCTTTGGATGATTCGGATTCGCCGGATGCGCCGGATCCTGGGCCTGTTGCGCGACCAACGCGGGGTTGAATTGGTTTCCACCGTCTACATACTTCGGATCGATATACTGTGACTGCTGGCCGTTCGGTTGCTGTTGAATCATCACCTCGCGTTAGCAAACCATGCTCCTCCGTTCTGCTACCAATCCACAAAACATGAAAAAAGGTAACATGCTATTGAATGACTTGATGAAGAGTAGCGGGAACGTACAGGTAACTGCGCTTGAATAGACTGCAACTGCGGCGGGGCCAAAACACCACTTGAGACTAGATACTCCAGTTCCGTCTTGATGGTACTGATAGAACGGTTGATCTGCGCTGCGTCTGGCATTGTAATTGATTGTTTGCGTAGGAAACGACTTTGGAGCAAGATGGACACAGTTGAATTGTAGGGAAAGCAGTAGAGAGAGTAGTTCACTGCCAAGTTGACAATGAAGCTTGGCAGGAAGCTTGATCAGGATCGAGATAAGAACGGGAGGGGCGGGGGATGTGCGGGTAGGAGGGACGCATGACGTCAATATTCTAGAACTTTGAAGCTCTGGCACTGGGTCGGGGGGAAAACAAATCAGGTGCGCTGCAGTCTACGTTGGTAAAGAACAAATCCTAACCAAATTGAAGGTAATTTAGACCGATTCATTTACAGCAGTGATGCATTATGGGACGTGGGCGTTTAACATTTCATTTGGATGGGCTGAAAGCAACATCTTTTAAAATGAAGACATAGTAACAACAGCTCGATATATAGCTCTCATTCAACAGCTTTATACTAACGAGCATGATCTCGCATCTCTATACGATATACAATTCTATAGTCCTTCCCATCCAACAGTGAGGAACAGGGTATTTTCTATGGACCTTTCTTTCGGGACGCCAATGACAAGGGATTTCGTAGCTATACACAACAAAAGTAGAGAAGTGGTCTTTGCTGGGTGCCTTTGCTTTTTTACTCCTTCTTGGCTTCAGCGGGCTTCTCGCCCTTGCCAGTGGGGTCATCCATCTTCAAGGCTCGCTCATCTTGTTCGGCACGCTCGGCGCTTCCACCGGCGGCATCACCGGCGCTGGCCTCGGCTTCTTTGCTCTCCTCTTCGGCTTTAGCTTCCTTTGCCTCCTGTGCGTCTCTGGCAGGCTTCTCGTCGATGTCCTCGTGATCCTTGGGCGAGGCAGTGGCCTTGTTCTCAACAGTCTCGGTTTGTTCGTTCTCCTCGTTGATGAGTTCTTGCTGCTCCTTGAGGACCTCAAGACGCTGCTTGTTGGTTGCGGCACCTTCGGCGTTGCGGACCTCGAGATCCATTTCGTGGTACAGCTCCTCAGGGATACTGGAGAGGACGGCTTCCAAAGCATCGATTTGAGAGGTCATTTCGGTCTCCTTACCCTGGGCGTAGACGAATGCATTGGAGAGCACTAGGAGGGTTGATGGAACGCCGTGCTTCAGGCGGAGATCGAGCCAGCTAGTGAGGTCGTCCCGTAACCGGCCAGGAGAAACTCCGTAGGTTCGTAGACCGCGGCTTGCACAGGCGGTCTGGAGTTCAGGAACGGAAAGGGATTCGACACCTTCGTAGGCAATGGCTCGGTCGTCACGCTTAATCTGGCGCATGCGCACGCGGACCTGGTAGCGCAGGAAGTTGTCTGTACCGAAAGAGGTGATGTTCATGTAGCGGCAGATGGAAACCAGTTGGGGACGAGACAAGTTGTCCAGGGTGAGGTCGTCCTTGAAAATCTTGCACACTTTGATGATCTCGTCTGGTGTTGGCTTCTCCCCAGTGGTGCGCACTTTGCGGAAGAATTCAGCAAATTCCTCCGTCTGCGCGTTCTCAGCAGAGACTGGCAGACCAGTTTCCTTGAGTGTTTGACGCAGGAAGTCGCTGACGTCCTTTCGGGTCGCTCGGAGCGTCTGGGCTTTGGTGTCCTTGGCCGACTGACCCTCGTATGTGCTGGGCAGCATGTTGGGGAAGAGCTTGAGAGCTACGGGAAGCAGCAGTTCGGCGAAGGGAACAATGACGAAGGGCAGGAAAGGTACCAAGCGGGCAAGATCCTGTACGGTACGTTGCAACTAGGTTTGTTAGTAGAATTCACGAATAGTAGCTTCAAACACATACTTGTCGACGCTCACGGCGGGTAAGCTCGTACCCAGCTGCCATCTTGAGAGCGAGTTTGGAGCTAATCCGGACCTCGAAGCCTAGCAGCTTGGTGCCGTCCCAGTAGTGGACCAATTCCTTCTTGACCTTTTGCCAGACGGTAAGCTTCTTCTTCTCTGCATCCTTCTTCGCTAGAATCTTCTTCTCGTCCTTGGACTCAGCAGCCGACTTGTCCATCTTCAGCTCGCTCAATGTTTGGACATCTTGCGCAGGTGTCTTCGGGTTGGAGGTTGCGCCAGACTTGGGGATGATGGGGTCTGATTTCTCGACAGACTGTTTTGACTGTTGCTGAGGCTTGAGAAGGTGCTGGTTGGCCTGCTTGGGGTCGAAACCAGGAGGCGGGTAGTTTTGCGCATTGTTCGATGTCGACTCGGTTTGTAGGGCGCGTAGCGGAATGAGGATGCGGATCGCGGGTGAGTTCCTCAGCATAGGGCGATGAGCTCTGGTAGTGGTCCTGATGCCCGCTCGGAATACTGCGGGCGCTGCCCTGGAGGCAGTGCGACCGGCGTACATTGCGCCGGGTGAAATGTAGGGAGTGACGTATATAGTACAACGATTAAAGTAGTCTTGGTAGTGAATCGATAGATGAAGGGTAGTAAAGAGATGGGCGAAGTGTGTGTTGGGAAATTGATGCAAGGAGTGGAGTGATGCAGCTCTGAGAAAATGGGTTCCTCTGACGTTGCGTCTTCGGACTTAGTCTCAGGGACCGCCGGGCGATCTGCTGGGTAAAGCTTGGTCGCCACCAACGGGCGCATAAGTCATTTGACTGACGCGCATCATGGTGACAGCTAGGAAGAAACCGGATGGACGCATGACATGTGCGCCATGGGACGCTACAGGCAGCAACATGTGTACCTCGGATTTGTACGAAGAGACGTGAAGGACCAATAGGTATTTTCTATGTCGGCATATTGTCGCCAATTGGCCGAGGCGTTGGGGTCTCCGATGTCCGCAAGAACGACAGCGCGGCTTGCGAATGGCATGCCATGAATCCTGGGCCGTCCCCTCACCTCCACGCCTATCCGACGGCAATCGTCCCTCTGTCATCTTAACCCGGGTTTTGTGGCTGGGCACTCCATAATTCCTCGCATCACTTCCTCCCGTACCCTAGTTCACGATCCTCCATTTCATTTCACACAATTTTCGCTATGGATTTGTTTTAGTAACTACGAGCCTTCGGCGGAGCCCTCGAGCTTTATTCACCGTACCGACCTGGACTATACCTAGCAGCATATACCTAGAGTCGCTTCTATAGTATACATCAGCGACAACACACATTACAACAATGACTGTCCAACGGTTGTCCAAGGCCGCCAGGATCATACTGGTCGGCGCGCCTGGCGTCGGGAAGGGAACTCAGACGGAGCGCATGATGAAAAAATTCCCTGAGCTCTCGTCAATCAGCTCTGGCGATTTGCTGAGGAAGAATGTTCGTGAGCGGACACCTCTCGGTAGGCGCGTTGCTCTCTCGATATCGAAAAAACGCTGACTCAGGCAGGCATACACGCCGAATCCACGATGAAGTCTGGCAAATTAGTCCCCGACGCCATGATCCTGCGCCTCATCATCAACGAACTCACCACCCGCGGCTGGATACGAGACAACGCTTTGCGCCCATATGCGCTCAACTTCAGCTCCATGGACATGCCAGAGACTACGGTAGATGCAGTCATGATTCCCTCGGCGGTACGGGCTCCGCGCTACACCTTCTCCAACAGGCCGTCGGCCTCATTCATACTCGACGGCTTCCCAAGAACCGCCGTGCAAGCGATACAACTCGACAACATCGTGCCCATCAACATGGTAGTCAACCTCAACACTCCGAGTGACATAATCATCGATCGCATATGCAACCGCTGGGTACACGAGGCATCGGGGCGTGTCTACAACACCACATTCAATGCACCAAAGGTCGATGGCAAAGATGATATCACGGGCGAGCCGCTGACACGGAGAGCCGACGACGACCCAGAGGTGTGGAAGGCACGGTTGAGAAACTTCAAGGAAAACAGCGAGCCTCTGCTGGAGCATTACGACAAGCTTGGCGTGCTCTGGACGGTCAACGGGAACAGCAGCGACGAAATTACCCCGCAGCTTTTCGAAGAGTTTAGCAAGCGCTTCGGCGCTCATGACGATTGATGTGTTATTCATGTCTCGGTTTAGGTTAGGTCTTGGTTGGTTAAAGGTCACTTACGATACCTATGTTTTCTCGCGTCAAGGCGGGCTATGTTTGGCGGTATTCAGTGTGGACGCGGCAATTGCGCGTGTTTGTTAGACAAGTCGCGCGTTCTCCATTCACTGTAGATGCTTGATGACCCGCCATGGGTATGGCGGTTAGGTGCATTCACTATACACTATTAATGATTCTTGCAAAACCCACTCACTATATCATGGCCGTCGTAAAGGATTCTCGTCCGCTTTATAAGAGCACTGACGACATTGAAGCCATGCACGAGCGCGTCAGGCATCGTGTGCCCGCTTTGGAGGAGGGCGCTAAGGCCGGGTACTCAGCCGACGTCACCGATACACCTCCGAGCTGTCCAACACAGCCCACGCCAGCAAGCCCGCCGTGCCAGTTTGACGATCTACTCGACGACCCCGAATACGACCGGATTAGCGACTTCGACGAGCTTGAAGACAGCCGCCTCATACACATCCGCGATCCACAGGCTGTCCGTAGACGCGCAATGGCGGCCGACTTCAGCGAAGGGCGCCTGGAGACGTTTGTTGGCAGCCCGCAGAAAGAGCTGCCAGGCACACCGAACCAATATGTCTCGTACCTAGTAACCACAAAGGTGTGCTTCTACCTGTAGCTTTACCACTTCTACGTGTTTGGGGTCTAACATATTTCCCCCGCAGTCCGACTTCCAGTCCTTCCAGAAACCCGAATTCTCCGTCCGCCGCCGCTTCACAGACTTCGTCTTCCTCTGGAAACAGCTCTCAAAAGAGTACCCGCAATGCGCCGTCCCGCCGCTGCCCGACAAGCACAAGATGGAGTATGTGCGTGGAGACCGCTTTGGCCCGGACTTCATGCAGAGACGAGCCCACTCGCTGCACCGCTTCCTCAAACGGATATCACTGCATCCAGTGCTGCGGAGAGCAGCTCTGGTTATCAACTTCCTGGAGAGCCCGGACTGGAATCAGCATATGAAGGGTCGGTCATCAAGAGCTGCAAGCGGCTCCGAACAGGGCGGCGGCGGTTTCGTGGACGCCGTCGCAGACACCTTCCTCAACACCTTTACCAAGATTCACAAGCCGGACCAGCGCTTCATCGAAGTTGTCGAGCGCGCCAACAAGCTCGGTGAGGATCTGAACAACGTAGAGAAGGTTACCGTCAAGGTGGCCAGGCGACAGGGTGATCTGGAGACCGACTACGCCGATCTAGCGACGCAGTGCCAAAAGCTGACGACTATGGAACCCGCGGTTGAAGGAAACCTGACATCCTTCGCTGCTTCTGTAAATACCACCTCACAGGGGTTCAAGTCTATCCGAGACCACACAGACCAGAACTACCTCACCAGTCTGCGCGACATGGACGCCTATATCCAGGCCGTCAAGACACTACTCCGCACACGAGAAGGCAAACAGCTCGATTTCGAACAGCTGAGTGAGTACCTTGCCAAATCTGCCGCGGATCGGGATTCGTTGGCTAGCGCGACAGGGGCCGGCATGGGTGCGTCTGGCTTCCTGCGATCCAAGGTAGAAGACTTCCGGGGCATCGATCACGACCAAGCGCGCCGGCAACGGGTCCGCAAGCTGGAGGTTGAGATTGAGCGACTCACGGGCGAAGTTGAACTGGCTAAGAAATCCAGCGAGGCCTTTGACGAGCACACCGTCAAGGAGGTACAGGATTTTGAGCGCATCAAAGCGGTCGAATTTAAGGATACTCTGGGCGATCTCGCAGATGCGCATGTCGACTTCTTCCAGGGCACCATCGAGACATGGGAGAAATTCCTGGAGGACATGCGCAAGGAGGAGGACCAGAGGAAGGCTGCTGCGGCGTCATAGGACGATGACCGACGCGGACCTACTTTGAAGAAACGACAGGCGCCCACACCCGTTGATGCGCCGTCCGAGTTGAGGTACAGATTTGGTAGTTTTTGAGCGAGTGTACGGAAGGCAGGGCCAGCCTCCAGATGGCAAGGCTCAGCGTAAAGAGCTTGTACAGCAGTTGTTCCGTTGGCATTTGTATGTAATGATAACCCATTGCGTTGCGCATCAGTCGCAGACTAGCTTCTCATTAACTTTGCGGTCTACTTCGAGACGTTCTTCTGAAACTGGGCTGTCATCTTCACGTGCAAGAGCGATTGGAGCCAAGCGATGACGTGCAATCTCGCATGGCACCTAACCCTTGCAGAACGCTCTACCGAGCCGACGGACCCGTACCCTTTAGAAGTTTGACGCCCGCCAGAGCCATCCCGTTGTTCATCCCATCCCACAAGAGACAGGCGGCACCTGCAGCGCATATTCCCCGCTTCACTACATGGCCACGACCCTTATATAAATTAATCCGCCCCGCCAAACTCATGTCTCTCCCACATCCCGTCACACACAATCCCGCCATGCCGCCGAGCAAAGGTACGCCCCTTGACGATCCACGGACGCGCACCCAGCTAACATGGTTAATTGCGCAGAAACCGCGAGGCATGAGTGCGTCTCCGAAGATGCGCTGCAACACCTCAGGACCTACAAATACTCGAGCGTCGACAAATCCTTCATCTCCCGCTATATCCTCAAGCATTACGTACGCACCCTGCACCCGCGCAATCGCAACGCGCCCTGACGTGAACATAGTGGAATGCCTTTGTCGAACTGCTGCCGCTGTGGCTGGCGCCGAACCTCGTCACGTTATTAGGCTTCTTCTTCATCCTGGGGAATGTTGCGCTGCTAGAGCTTTACATCCCGGATCTGGTCGGACCAGCACCCTCATGGGTATACTACAGCTTCGCCTTTGGCATGTGGATGTAAGAAACACAACAATGAAGGGGAGCGAGGGCTGCGCTAATCCCCTGCAGGTACTCCACCATGGACAACGTCGACGGAAAGCAAGCGCGCCGAACCGGCACCTCGAGCCCGCTAGGAGAACTTTTTGAGTACGTGATAAACAAAGCCCAATGCGCCAATATCACGATACTGATTGCGACGTAGCCATGGGATTGACTCTTTGAACTGCACCCTGGCCAGTCTCCTCGAGACGGCAGCTGTTGGATACGGCTCGACCAAGATTGGCGCCTTTACTGCGCTGATCCCTGTGCTGCCCATGTTCTTCTCGACTTGGGAGACATACCATACCCATACGCTATATTTGGGTTACTTCAACGGTCCTACAGGTATGTTGCAGCGAGTCTCGACTTGAAATGCATTGATGCTGACTCTTTGCAGAGGGACTAATCCTTGCATGCACCTTCATCTGCATGTCCGGCTACTTTGGCCCTGAGATCTGGTCGAAACCCCTCGCGACCTACTTCCCATCCTACAAAGCAGAGATCGGCGACGTGACCCTGAAAGAACTCTGGGTCCCCATCATCCTCTTCACCTTCTTCGCTGCCCACCTCCCCGCCTGCATCGTCAACGTAGCGAAAGCGCGTCGCTCCAGGAACGAGCCTCTGCTGCCCCTGCTCAAGGAATGGACACCGCTAGTCATCTTCGTCGTCTCCACCATGGCCTGGCTCGGATCGCCCTACTCAAAGCTCCTAGAAGACAACCACCTCGTCCTCTACTGTCTGACCATGTCACTAGTCTTCGGACGCATGACAACCAAGATCATCCTGGCGCATCTCACACACCAGCCCTTCCCTTACTGGACCATCATGCTCGCACCGATGATCGGAGGCGCCCTGCTCATCAACCACCCCTACTTCACCATCCCCGGCACGACCTTCGGACCCATCTCCGCCAGCTTCGAACTCTGGTACCTACGCGCTTACTTCGTCTTCGCTGCTGTTGTGTACGGTAAATGGGCGCATCTGGTCATCACTAGCATCTGCAATTACCTGGGCATCAACTGCCTCACTATCCCCAAGAAGACGGCGGAGAAGAACGGGAGGTCAAATGGTGTTGTGGATGGGAAGGGGAGGACTGACTAAACATCCCTTGATTCAGCATCAGAATCCGCGACGACAAATCATCCTCACACCCTATAGACTGGGCGGCACGTCTCCGATCGATTTTAGCGTTCATCCGCATTACATCGCAACGCAGTGCAGCGCAAGCGATACTTCACGACTATCCGACAAAGACCGTATACTTGACGTTTTTGACGACCTGCTTTGGATATACACATTTTTATTAAGCCTTGTAATTAGCAATGCTGGATCGTATGGTGCGATTCAGGCTTGTTCTCACTTATTCATCATCAGTAGACTTTTTAATCGCGTTTTCAACAACGTTTACAATAGAAAAGCACCAGGGGTGGTGCTGGGAAAGAAAGAAGACGGAGGGGTTGTACAGGGGTGGGAGAGGGTAGATGGAGAGCGAAGGTGTGGAAATAAAGTAATGCATATCGAGACTCGGAGTCTTTGATCGTTGAACGCGTGGCGATGCATGTGATACTTACATTTGATTCTAATTGAAGGGTGTGGGGCAAGCAAGCATGCGAGGAATGACTGCTGGCTGGATGGGTCGGGGAGGCAAAGGGACAGTGTTGGAGGTCTCGTCTCTCTTTCCCTCTCCAAGTCTATGCGAGCGAGAGTGCGTGTACATGTGTGTTTGTGCATGTAAGTGGACTTAAAGCTTTATCGCCTCTATACCTGGCGTGTTCTGTCCTTGGATTGTATTGCGCACGTAGGATAGATGTCCGAAATGTAGCGAGATATGTTGAGTGCGAATCAGTCAAAATGCATGCCTAGAATCAGGGCATATGTCATGTTATGCTTGTTTATCGTTTACTGCCAGATCAAACGGGCATTTCTGTCTACTTGTGAATCAAGGTGTTTGGAACAAGCACATTCGAGATGCTTATCATGGCTTACCTGCTTGTGTCCATGAGCATCAGATTGAGCCAGTTCACCGTTGTATTCCTATGGTGCTACCAAAAGAAAACACGAACATGTCCACAAAATATCACATATTCAATTCTTTGTCATCTAAAGCCACTAATAGTCCGCTCACTACACAAAACCGTCTCAACTCCCCTCTCCTCCGTCTGCCTGGTGAACTAAGAAACCTAATCTACGATTACGCCTTGACCGAACAGAGTATCCTAGTCCGCCCCTCCGTCTCTCCCCGCTACCAATTTCGCGTAAAGCCCTCAGGTTACCCAAAAGCACATCCTGCTGCTACCCACTATATCACCTTCTCAACAGGCGAACAACATGCCGACAAACCTACCTCGAGACCGCGGGCTTAAGCTTTCGACCAAACGAGTTCCGCTTCCACCACATCGAGACGATAACTCAATTCGTAAAAGACGTGTCGCGCATACATCGCAGTCAAGTTGAGAACTTACGACTTGCATTTTATGAGTTCCCCAGTGCGGCATTGTTGCGTGAGTTTGGAAACTGTGGAGTGCGCAGGTTCACGGGGCTGAAGAGGGTGGTCGTTGAGACGGGAGCTTGGGAGGTAGATGAGGTAACGAACAGGGCGATAAGGCGGTAGGTTGAGGGCTTGTTTTAGAAGGGTAGGTTTGTGGTTGAGGTTGACTTCGAGTATCCACATATTGGGGATGAGGAGCCAGAGGTGTGATTGGGGGCGCACGTCGTAGTTGCGCTTTCTCTCCCTGATTGTCTTCCTAGCACAAGACGAATTCATGCTTTGTAACGAGTCCTTCCTGCTCTTGATTGAGTATTTCTCCATTCATGAGCCCTTGAATGTAGCATTCTCCGATAATTCGGTAGAGACCATCATCGCACGGCCTTAAGACAACTGGACAGTTACAACCGAGTAAGATAGCAATGACGTCTCCTGATCGAGTCGCTACCGGAGCCATACCGAAATAGCCACTTGTTGTCGTTATCAGAGCTCTGTGATCCAGAGAAAGTAGAGCTAAACGCATACACCGTAGAGTAAACGCGATATCCACACTGTGGTCATCGGATTGTGGGAAGAAAGTTTGAAATTTCTGGCCGCCGATTCGAAAGTCTTTATTGTGCTCTCTGAAGTTGTTGAATCGCTCAAAATAACTCGATTGAGAGAGTTCAAGCCAATCCGGATTTGAGGTGAAATTGGCATGGCTGTCATCAGTGTCGCGGATAATATTCCACGGGACTTTGAATAGTAGCTCAGTCTGCATTGCAGGATGGCCCATACGGAAGCTCTGATGGAGGGCTTCTGATGTTCGACCGCCATATCTATCCGAGGTAGTTGTTGACTTGGTAGCGTGACAGTCTAGCGAAGGCTCGGCTGCGATGCCATCGACTGTGTCAACCCAGAACCCGTTGCAGGCAAGAGAAGTAAGGCCCTTCCCTTTCTTGATAAACCTGAATTGAGCAGCTGGATTTCCGCTCGCTTGTCGAGACCTCAAATATCGGATGTGATGACGCTGGAAAAGCTCTCTCCAGTCGGGTACCCATGATGACCAGCCATCCTCAGCCGGAATACCTCTAAAGACGATTTGATCTAGTCTTTCTGATGCATCGATAACAGATTTCATGAAGTCTGTATAGACTTGCTGCACCGGGAGCGAGTAGTTTGGTGTAATACGTGAGGAGATGCTAGGGTCCAACAAGCCGAGTATGCTGTAAACTTTGTCCTTCTTGTCAGTTGCGTCGGCTCGACGAACAAGATTCAACAAAGGGTCCAATCCTAATCCAACATCGGCATCGAATACAAGACTTGCTAAGCGATACATGCGACCAGCCATAGCCCAAGCAGCAAGTTCCAAGTCGTGCTTGGATTGATAATTTCGGTCCTCTGATACCTGCAAAAATTCCTGACAGTAAAGAGCACCCAAACGTAACATCCGCCGTGTCAGCTTGTATTTTCCGCACATGAACAAAGTCGAATTATGGTTCATGGCGAGCTCCTGAATGATCCAACATCGATTCCAATATGGTTTTTGGGTAAAGGCGAAAAGGGCGGACCATCCGTCAAGCAGAACGGCTGGGAGTTGCAACGTGTTTTTGACACAGGGATTCCGGCAAAGATGGTGCATTGTCTGGACTGCAATCCTGTCCATCTCCTCTTCTTGACCCAACCAGACTACGACAGCTCTAGCTCGACCGTATATATCTTTCATGCGCTTGACCTGTTCATTCCGCTCTTCGATATTTCCCTGATCAATGCACAAAGAATCTACCCAGTAACACATGCTAGAACGTGTTTCTTGAAGGCCTCGCAGGGCTCTCAACGCTTCCTCGAGGTTTCGTGGAACGTCTTTAGGAATTCCGTTTACGATGATTCCTTTTTTATCGTCTGCGTCGCCCCATGTATACGACAGGGCTTCGAAGTCTCCCCATGTGTAACGAGAGTTGCTATGCTGATCAAGACTTCGACGTAGGCCAGTATGTGTGGCCTTATCGAGGGTCGTCTGTTCAAGGGTTGAGTCTCGGAGATCTACAGACTTGGTAAATCTATCCCATGCTATCGGAGATTTCTGACCCTGCGAGGAGTCTTGGTGCGATTGAAAGTGGCGAGAAATTCCCAGCGAGACGTTTCCGATAGAGCATCGAATGGTGTCTTCGCTTGAGACTGGGCTGGAAGAATTCATAAACTTGAGAACACGGATCTCGTTCTTCGTCTTGTCGAGAGGTTTGTACTGCATCTTGTGTAGACAGAAGGAGGTAAAATCGCGAAACGGATAAGATGCGAAACGATCTGGCTCTTAATAATCTTGGGAATTGTGTTGAAGCTGGATGTGCCAACGAAGCCAAATCTGTATTTGGACACTTTCAGGCGGAGCAAAGCCTATAAATGCATAGTCAAGTCGCTTCTCGAAGGACGTAGAAACTTGGCTCTCTGTTGTTTCACTCACCGGTTTCCGAAGACGTGGGAGGATCCGAAAAGGCAGGGGACTTATTGGCTCATGTACCTGTGGCTACATGGCGCAGATGCTGTCTCCTCAGGTTCTGTGTGGGGTGTGGGATGCATGAACTCCCCAGCACCTACCTATAAATTCGTTCTTCGCCGCAGCAATACCGTCGTTATCTAGCGAGAGATGTATCAACGTACCAATCACCGTTTGGCACATGGCTGAGTCTGGTGTCTGCATTGTGCATCTTCCTCACCGGAACGCCATCTCTATATGTACGTCCATGGCGGTTGTAGAGAGATGAGATGAATGGGAAATTCCGCGTATAGTGCTTTACAGTCTGCATAGAGATATGAGAATAGTCGCGTGTTCAATATCGCAAAGGCAGAAGTGCGACGTAGCCAACCAAGTGTAATCCGGGAAATGATATGAACAGATAAGAACAAATAAGGAAAGAAGGTCCGAGATACTGTTAGACTGTACGGGCTTTAATGTCGGTGGGTGATGGCATCCAGCGCTTAGTGCTGGTGAGGGTTGAGTGAAGGTGAGCGCGGGGTAGGAACTTGGAATTTCGTTTCGTTAGCGCCGAATCTGACTGCCCACATAATTTCTGTGCGGCAACAACCAGCGCCCAGCATTACCGCAACTTCACAAAATGGCACCCGCATCACTACTGGACCTTGTGTCCGCGCTGCCCGACACTGCAGGATGGGGCCCGCCTGTCACCAGCGAGTCGATGCTCGACGGCGTGCCGTTCGCGCCTTACTCCAAGGCCGACAAGCTGGGGCGCATGGCCGACTGGACTGAGGGCAAGGACCGCGAGCGGGGAGGACGCCAGCAGTACGGCAACCGCAACTACAGGGGTGAGTTTGTATTGGTAAAAGAGAAGGACACGGATGCTAATGAGATTCTATAGACCAGCAGGTATACGGCGCGAACCAGCAGACCAACCCCTTCGCCATCCAGGCCGCCGAAGAGGAGGCTACCTTCTCCGTCGTCGACAACACACGCACATCAGCCCGCGGCCGAGGATTTGGACGAGGCGGCGGCACCGTCTTCCGTGGACGTGGAGGAGCGCGGGGCGGGCAGGCGCAACGCGGCGGGCGGGGCACCTTCCAGCGTGTTGGTGGCCGTGGTGGAAACCAGTACGACAACCAGCGCGGTGGACGTGGCGGCAGGGGAGGACGTCGCTTTGGCTGGAGGGACGACAAGCCTCAGCGCAACCGCGATGCCTCCGTCCAGGTCAAGCCCGAGTGGAACGTCATGGAGGAGATTGACTTCTCCCGTCTCAGCAAGCTCAATCTCGACACCCACGAGGGCGAGGACATCGACAACTACGGATTCCTCTACTACTACGACCGCAGCTACGACAAGCAGCCCGGTGCCAGGACCTCGGAGCGCAAACTCAACGTCCTCGACCGTGCCGCCTACAATGTCACCACCTCCAGCGATCCTATCCTCCAGGAGCTCGCCGACAAGGACGAAGGCACTGTATTCGCTACCGATGGTGTTCTATCCATGCTCATGTGCGCCACCAAGTCGGTATACTCCTGGGATTTGGTTTTCACCAAGCGGGGCAACAAGGTCTTCATCGACAAGCGCGATGGATCAAGTCTGGACATGGTCACTGTCAACGAGAACGCCGCAGACGCGCCGCTTGAGATTTCCGAGGGCAACAAGGACTCTATCAACAGTCCTGGTGCTCTGATGCTGGAAGCCACACACATCAACAACATTTTCCCCCTCCAGGTCGTTACCGAGTCCGAGAGCCAGAAGGTCAGCATGCCCCACGAGCATCCCTTCTACAACGAGGAGGTCGAGACCGATCCACCAGCCTCCAAGGCCTACAGGTACCGCCGCTTCGATCTGTCCCTGGACAAGGACGAGGAGCCTCTGCACTTGGTTGTCCGAACAGAGTTGGACGCTGTTGTTAAGAACAACATCAACGGCGAGGACCAATACCTTACCATCAAGGCCCTGAACGAGTTCGACAACAAGGCGCAAGGTGCCGGTGGAGCGCTCGACTGGAGGTCCAAGTTGGCAAGCCAGAGGGGTGCTGTTCTCGCCACTGAGATGAAGAACAACTCCTGCAAGCTTGCACGATGGACTACCCAGAGTATCTTGGCCAAGGCCGACACCATGAAGCTTGGGTATGTATTTCAATCTTTCATGGCGAGCTCAGCTAACACAACTACAGTTTCGTCTCCCGTACCAACCCCAAGAACAACAACGACCACGTCATCCTCGGTGTACTCACAGCCAAGCCCCGCGACTTCGCCGCCCAGATGGCACTCAACCTCAACAACGGATGGGCTATCGTCCGTACCATTGTTGACATGGTTCTTCGCATGGACGAGGGCAAATACGTCCTGGTCAAGGACCCCAACAAGTCTCTTCTCCGCCTATACTCGGTACCCATGCACACTTTCGAGGAGGAGGATATCGAGGAGATGCAGGCCCCGAACGAGGATGACGAGGAGTAATTTTTGGGTCACAAAAAGGGAAGCGGTTCTTTTCTTCAGCGATATCCGTAGGGATGGTTACATGATAGCATGCATGATAGACGACATACCATTGAATGACGACGCTGGACGATGCTGTCCTCGAGCTGAACTGTTGTTTTCATGTGATCTTACTCTCTGATTGAGGAAGGATATGAACTGCCTAATTCCGTCACATGCAAATGGACAACTCTGGTGATGCAATCGTAAGAACGTGCACAGACCTTATTTGTACCTGCCAAGTCGCGTCAATGGTCCCGCTGAACCCTTCTTCGTCTACACTTGACCTCTTCCGTCGTCGTCTCACGCAACAACAATCCGTACGCGCTTTACCTGGATCGCTCGTGTATATCTCTCTTACAATGGATTTTGAAAAACTCAAAATCTACCTGTTCGCACTCAACTATGGACGATGAACACGAGCTCTTGGTTCACATCTCTGCACCGGCGACTCGACAAAACGATCAACTTTACCGTTCCTTAGCCGACGCTTATCTTGACTTTGAACCGCATCGGAACAACGTAGAGGAATCACCACAACACGATGTGTCGAGTCAGTTTGCTACTTCCAGAGTGAGCGACCCTTCGCCACCAAACAAAGGAAGTTCATTCCGTGGATCCATCAACACGTCAATATTATCGACCAGCAAAGATTCATACGGCAGTTTCCCGTCTTACTTATCGTCCGATGGAAATTCCAAAGGAAACGCTGGTGCGTCTTCCGAATGGGCGGCAGAAGACGACTTTGCGCCAACGTCCAGTCGGCTTGCACAATTAGAACGTATCCATCAGAACTGGAGAGTGCAATCGACACCCAAGTCAAGCGCTGCTAGCAAACGGCGGTCTACAAAAGATGTCGCCAGCAGTCCGGAAGATGCTGATACGGCGTTTATTGAGGATACGCAAGCTGCGGTTCAGGCATTACAGAGTCAATTGCAGGATAGCTTTTCCATGACTTCAGAGAACACATCCGGAGACGAGTCAGATGCTGGAGATGTTACGCAGGAAGTCTCTTCGTCGCCTGTTGAGCCGGCGGAACACACGATTGTCGCTACTGCAGAAGAGCCGGGTTCGCCTAGCGCTACATCTTCCCCCGAGGTACCTATCACAAATATGAACCTTCTGGAAAGTACGCGCCCGGAGATCGCTAGCGATATACCAGACGCCAAGACCCCTGCTTCGCAAGAACCACATCCCGAGTCCAGCAGCGTAGCAGAGGAACAGCAAGATAGTTTCCGCTCAGATGATGTGTCAAAGCCAGCATCCTCATTAGCAGAAGACAAAGCCAGCGAGAACAGCAAGGTGCAAGAAATTGACAATTCCGGTCCGCCCATAGACTTCACCAAATATCCGGAAATGGTAGAATCTCCACCACCAAAGATAGGAGTGGAGAGTCCAAAGACCTGGCCTACCCAAGTCACACCCTATCTGGAAGCCCTCAAGGAACAGTATCCAGACAAGTTCAAACCAATCAGAAAGTCACGCAATCCCGTGCGCAATGAAAAAGGTCATTGGCTCATTGACTTTTCGACTTGGCCTGCGCAGGCTCAAAAGGACCTCTGGGATGGCGTGTGTGAGCCGCTTAAGGACGGCAGACTTAGTTGGGGAGCATTCTTATACCGAGAGAAGGGTTCTTCTGAAACTCTTGGGAGAGTGCAGCTGTTTAATTGGGGAGAGCTTGCAGAGCATATGTGGTTGTTGTTGTGGGTTTGTTCTAAGGGGAAGATAGTCGGCGCGGGTCTCAAGTGGATGGTCGGCCGCGACGTGATCTTGGTGATGGATTGAATTGATATGGAACGTCCAAGATGATCTAAGGTTTTGACCAATATGAGAGGACATCTGGCTTGAAATCTACTAAATGCACAAATTGAAGTCAAATTTTCTGTTCACCCCAGTTTATAGATGAAGGTCTAGTGAAAGTAAATTACCGAATAGCGCCTTTACGCGACCGACATAACCGTCCTGCACGCGTGAAACATGGATGCCAAGCGACACGTCTGGGGTCGCTGACCCCCAACATATTGAGCACCGTAGCGGCGCAACGTTTCTTTTCCACCTAGCTATGTAATATATCGCCCGAAGACGCGATCATGTCTTCGCAACCGCAAAACGAATCGCAAAGAGTGCCTAGCTCCGATGCTGGCACCGACGAGCGCACCCTGTACGACCACACCTCCGACGACGAAGGCTACGACGGCAGACCTTCCGGCGAACTTGACGAACGCGATCACGACATTCTAGATTCAGAAGATGAGCGCGAGAAGCTTCTTACGCAGAAAGATGGCGGCAAGGGCCTACTGGGGCGCAGAGCCTCGAGCGTCAAGGTCGGAAAGTGGGATAAGAGGAAGGAGATGAAGGAGCGCAGGAAAGGCGGCAATGAAGAGTCGAGTGCGCTCATGTACGAAATGGAAGAAGGCATTGGCGCTTCCAGTACGAGTTTCCGATCGGGAAGAAGTTCATTGAGCGATGAACAACGGTTGCTTGCGAGCGAGTCGCAGAGGAAGGTGTGTAGAGTCTACGGATGCGCGAACGAAGCTAATGGACCACAGGTACGCAGGAAGAGTCTTTACCGCCGAATAGCCATATACGTATCCATCATCGTCCTCTTCGTCGTTCTCCTCGCAGCCACGTACAATCTCTCCACCCCCAAAGATGTCAAAGAAGCGGCAGCCATGCTCTCTAATGGCACCTCACTCTTTGCGCCGACAACAATCCTCATATCGCTCGACGGCTTCCGCGCCGACTTCCTATACCGAAACCTCACACCTACGCTCAACCAGTTTGTAGCAGAGGGAATATCGCCAAAATACATGATGCCCAGCTTCCCCAGCGTCACGTTCCCCAACCACTACACAATGGCTACCGGCATGTATCCCGAAGCGCACGGCGTAGTAGGAAACACATTCTGGGACCCAGAACTAGAGCAGGAGTTCTACTACACGGACCCCAAACGTAGTCTACAACCGCACTGGTGGGGCGGCGAGCCTCTCTGGGTGACGGCCGAGAAGCAGGGAGTCAGAACAGCAGTCCACATGTGGCCAGGTTCCGAAGCGCATATCCTGAACCAAGAGATTGCCTACATCGACAAGTACAACGGCTCAGAAGTCTTGCCTACAAAGGTCGACCGCATAATGGAACTTCTCGATCTCCCCGGCCCCAAAGACATCGGCGCAAGCGCAAATACACCGCGACCTCAGCTAATCGCAGCATACGTACCTGATGTAGACGGCGACGGCCATCGCTTCGGACCCAACAGCACTGAGATTCGCAAGACAATCGCTAACGCCGACACAATGATGGCAGGCATCCTAGCCGGTCTCCACGCGCGCAACCTAACAAACATCGTCAACGTAATCGTTGTCTCAGACCACGGCATGGCCACCACAGACACAACCCGCCTCATTCAACTCGAGGACCTCATTGACCCCGCTGAACTCTCCCACACAGACGGCTGGCCCCTCTATGGTCTCCGTCCTAAAGACCCAGCCTCCCTCCATCGTCTCTACAACCAGCTCTTAGAACGTACAAAGGATAATCCCAACTTGGATGTCTATCTGCGGGATGAGAATATGCCTGAACGCTACCACTTCAGCAAGAATGAGAGGATTGCACCGCTGTGGATTGTACCGAAAACAGGCTGGGCGATTGTAACGAAAGATGAGTTTAATGTCGAGGTGGGGAAGAAGACGGGTGAGGAGTATCATCCGAAGGGACTTCATGGATACGATCACGAACATCCGCTTATGCGTGCCGTCTTCATCGCCAGGGGTCCCGCGTTCCCGCATAAAGCCGGGAGTCGCATGGAACCTTTCCGTAAGTCTCAATCTCATTCATACCAACCATTCATGCGTACACAAAAGAAAAGTAACTAACACTACCCAAACAGAGAACATTGAACTCTACAACATCGTCTGCGATTCCATCGGTCTCAACCCCGCGCCCAACAACGGTACGCTGCGCTTGCCGTTAAAGCCAGTCGGCCTGCATTCAGACGAAGACTCGGTATCTGGCAACGAGAAGGAAATACCCGAAGATCCCGTGTCTTCTTATACCCTCTCTTCTTCCACAACCCTCCCCTCTGCCCGACCATCACCATCGCACCTCGCCTCCATGCCCGCAACACCCGACTTGAATTCCCTCTCCAGTATTGCGGCGTCAGCGTCGGGGCTGGAAGACACGAGTCCCAGTCTTGAGGATGTGCCTAGTCGACCTACGCCGCCGAGTGGAGGGAAAGACGAGTTGAAAGATGGGGAGAAGAGTGATGGAGAAGATGGGGAAAAAGGAGGTAAGAAGGAGAGTTGGTGGGAGTGGTTGACGCATAAGGCGGATGGGGTGAAGGATTGGGTTGATGAATTTATTCATGATCATGTTCCGCAGGATGGAAAGGGGGAGGGAAAGAAAGATAGTTAGAAACTTGTGGGCTCTGGCGTTTTTTTCGGACTCGGTATAGATGGAGCTTTTCTTTTGCCAAGGACTTCGTCGAGGTCTTTTGAACCGAGGCATGTGTGATAGATTTCTGGTTTTGCAGTTTGACTTTTGCTACTTGATAGCTGGACAGAATGATACCCAATCCTTTCTTTACCAAAGTGTTCCAAGATCCATTGAGATGCAAGTAATGTTTTGTTAGTCCAACTTAGATAATCACTAACAAATCTACACATGTTTCTATCCAACGTATAGATTGGATAGTCCATTCCGTCATCATAGGTCAAGCTACGATGGTCGAACTGATGAAGGTATTACTTTATTTCATTTATCTCGTCTCGCAGCTGTCTAAACAAGGGGAAGATAGAGAGCGGAAGAAAAAGGAAGACAAACATCTACATGATATCGCACTTTGCAGGCAATCCACACGGACCCTCCTTATCCTTCTCTTCCGGCCCCCTCTGCTGAGGCTGGGACGAAGAAGCAGCGGGCGCGGTGGTAGAAGTAGCAGCAGGCGCCGCCGCAGCAGCACTACCGTTCGTTCCATTCGCAGCCTCCACGCTCTTCTCACCCACAGCATCGCCAGCAGTCTTTCCGCCATCTAGTCACTGGTGGGCCTTAGCAACCGCCTCGTAGAACGCCTTACCCTGAGCCTTGGCAATGTTAAGCTCAAGCTCAGAGGGCTGCCTGCTACCATCACCAGCGGAGAAAGTACCAGCGCCCCACGGGCTACCACCGTGGACCTCATCGAGGTTAGCCAGCATGCTGAACGCCGTCTTGTATCCGAGCGGGACGTAGATGAAACCGTGGTGCACAAGCGTGCTCATGCTGGTAATAGCAGTAGTCTCCTGGCCGCCACCGAGGGTACCGGTCGAAACGAAGACACCGGCGTATTTGCCCCAGAAGGCACCTTGTTGCCATTGCTTGCCGGTCTTGTCCCAGAAGGTCTTGAATTGTGCGGGGAAGTTGCCGTAGCGGGTGGGAATACCGAAGAGGATTCCGTCGAATTCTTCGAGAACGGCGGGGTCGTCGAGGGTTGGGATGGAGGCGTCCTTGGCGGGCGCGTACATCTTGTCGAGGACGTCTTGGGGAAGGGTCTCGGCGACTCTGGGGGTGGGTTAGTGAATGGTCTTGAGGGAGGATGAAGGGAACGTCTGGACAGCGGCTGCAATTGCAATTGCCAGCAGGAAGATCTTGGGGTTGAGCACATGGAGAAGGGAATACATACTGGAAGAGCTTGGCGTCACCACCAGCCTCCTTGATACCCTCCAACTCAGCATCGGCCTACTCATCTCTGTTAGCAGAAGTCCTCATTTTAAAAGAGCCAATCGAGTGGGGAGCCGTTGAGCAACCATCGCCAGCTCCCCATCCCAACACAGTCGCAACATACCATCTTCTTGATGTGGCCGTACATGGAGTAGTAAACAATCGCGATCTTGGGAGCCATCTTGAATAACTTCCGGGGGGGTATCACAAAGAACGAGTAGAGTAGCTAGGCAGTAGTACGACGATGAGAGAGATAGATGCGTAGTGAAGAAGGAGAGCTGTCGAAGGTGGGGTACACACCTTCTACTTATACCCAGCAGCAGCACCACCCGGGGGCTGGCATGTGCATGTGCATGAGATAACTAACCTAGACCCCTTGTCAACGGTCTTCGATCCCCATATCGTGTCTCGCAATACATCATGCCACGGCTACTACATCATCCACCGGCCCAATCGCACCGAGCGAGCTTAGCTACCTAGCTGTCCTGTAAACAACTGCTTTGCGCCATTCTGCCCCTCATAGCGCTCGGTGCTATACTATTTCAGGAAAGGTGCGACCCACATATATACCCGGTGCAGTAGCGTCATAGGCGTTTTTGATGATTACATGAGCCTTTGGTAAGAGATTGTCAATGGGTTTTTTTCGTTCGCTGGGGAAGCTGTACGTTGTTGGTAAATTTCCACCGGCACACCTGCTGCATCGCGAGTCAATTGCAAAGGAACCCACCATCCCGGGCCCGGCAAGTACTTTTCGCTGGGGCGGACATCTTCCGCGATGCCGTGTCTCTTATTCAGCAGACACTCGGTCGGTGTTCGGCATGTACGGGTTGCAACTTTACTCTAGGTTGGTAAGCTCCATATCTCGGATAGAGCAAGAGATTGGCTTCCGGCGTACTTAACGGATGACCATGCGGTGTGTAAGCAAAAAGTGCGGAAAGGTACCTGGGCTTGTCTGCTTCGGGAGGGTGTGGGTGCGTGGACTGCAGGTGCGGGGTGTTGGTCTTCGATCGCCAAGGTGGAACCCGTTGGCAAAATTGGAGCTTTCGCGAAATTTCTTATCAAGCTGGTGTTGCTATTCTCGTGATCGGGTGTGGAAGCAAGTTTCCTACATCGAACATGCGCGAAGACTGTTTGCACACACGAGCGATGAGACGGTTGTCAGATGAGTGTGAAACTTGATTCATTATACTGATTGAAGGTTGAACGCTAAAATGCTAACAAACTGCAAGATGGAAAAAAGCAATAGACACCCCGCCATCCCATTGAATCAATACGCAGTATTCGCTTTTTCGGAACATCGCCGTGTTCTCGTTATGAATTTCCCAAATGCATGAATACAATGTGGCTGCTCCAGCCTGGTATCTCTTTGGCTCCAGGCCTGTCGCTCATGCATGTGGTCGTGATTTCGTAAGTATAGGTTCGCAATAAAAAGGTACAGTTGAAGTGAAGTCGGCCGTTATTCGTGGTTTTACCCACAATCAGGTTTGGATGGAGAGGAGCCTCCTGCGGACGCCAGCTAGGAATTCGGCCTCGTCAATGCGCTGGAACTGCGCCTCCTCTTCTTTTCCGTAAAGCCCGGTGCTGCCGTAGGGTCCCTTGCCGCTGAACTCAACGTTCTGTGGCCAGTGCCCATCGGACGAGACCTGCGCCAGCGAAAAGTCACCATGGACGGACTGGAAGCCGGGCTCGAAGATGCACTCTGCAAAGAAGAGCTCGACGTACAGTTCGCGAGGAATGGCGCTTTGCGCACGGAGGCGGATGAAGCGACGGGCTTGCTCAAGAAGCTTCTGCAGGGCATCGGTAGCCTCGTGGGTGGAGCGGCCGTCCTCATGCTCACACAAGTGCAAAGCACGCACCTGCAGGTCGCCAGCAAACTTGGCATTGTCGTTGGAGAAGAGATGGGAGCACACGGAAGGTAGCGAGATGGACAGAGTCTCAAGCTTTGGGCAGTTCCGGAAAGTGTCGCAGAGATGCTCGCAGTCGCTCGGCGATCCCGGATGCGGGTGCCAGAAGCCATCCTGTGACCGCGGGCTGTGCTCAAGGACCCGGAGTGTCTTGCGAGATGCCTTGACAATGGCCATGACACCATCAATGGTGATGGAAGAGTTGCAGGTCAAGTGGAACTCCTCCAGCTGAGTGGCCGTGCGAGCGATGGCGAAAAGATCATCATCGGTGATGGGCATGAAGCTAGTGTCGCCAAAGATCTTCAGTCGCCGCAGCTGGCTGAAGTTTACCGACTGCAGTGGCTCCAGATCAACAAGGTTATCTTTGTCTGTTGCTTGCTGCGAAGTAGGGTCGACGCATTGGAGTTCCAGCGACTGGAGTGGTTTGCCGGTGCCGGTGAGCACAGTGCGCCAGGCCTTGGCATCCACGTGACGGATGGCGGTCCATGGAAGAGAGAGCGAGGTGATGTTGGTGCAGTTCTTGAGCGACTGGAATACCAGACGGTCGGTCTCGGCGGTGTAGAAGCCGTGCACCCACATGCGCTTGATCTTGGCGGCCACCTGTGGGTAGTCGTTGCAGATGCTCACAGTCCGCTTGAGGGAGGCAAAGGGGTCGCGGTAGACAGCTGTGCCAGTTGGACGGTCAATGAGCTCGTACAGCGGGTAGCTCTCTCGCCTGTTGGAGAGTTCGGCCCATCGCTATGCCATGTTAGCATCATGTCGATTGGAGGTGTGTCGATTTTGCTTACCTCTCCGCCCTTCCAGCGACGGATGTAGACGTCCTTGATGGAGTGCTCCAAAGCCCACTCGTGCCACTTCCAGCAAACCGATCGCAGAGTGGCAGTTGCGTCCCACTTGAGGAGCTCTGGCGGGACCGGGCCTCTCACATAGCGCTGGAGCTTGGCCCTCTCGAGAGGCAGTGGCGCCTGCTGGAGACCAAATGTATACGTGGGGCCATCACGTATATTGGCCTTGGTAACCTCCTCGAGGATCTGGGTAAGTACTTCGTAGGGGAAGTCGTTGATGTGCATTGAATGATTGACGGTGGTGACGGTAGGGTGACTCGTTGTCTGGTGGTGTGAGAGCAGGTGAGGAATCCGTGGGTTTATGTATTAGGTGACAGGTTAGGCAGTTATTTCTAGAATGAAGGCATTCCGGGGCTCTTATAGTCAGGCAGCACCTACCGCAGAGATTTATTTGGACAAAGAGCACCATGGTTCATTGTTAGTCAGACGTCTTGTGTCTTCCCCAGGTCCATGCACAAGCGCCAACGACTCGGACGCTGGGCCGGCATGGCTCTGAGCTAGAAGGATCACTTCACAGCCCAACCGAGCCAATAGGGCAGTAAGCAGCACGTCGCACGCGTATAGTTTTGCGATGGAAAGTGGTTGTGAGGTTAGGTTCTCTTTACGTCACGGACGCTTGGCGGGCTCGGGTTTGCTGGGGCGGCGAAGCAAAGCAGAAAATTGGCTTCACGTGGCTCGTGGCTGGCGTTTCGATTACCCCCAGGAAATTCAATCCGCAGGCCACCTGACCACCAATGACACATGGAAATCTCTGACGAGACCCTCCGACCATCTTTCATCATCCCCGTGCCTGCATGGCGCCCTTCTGCTGGGTCTAACCTCCGTTGCTTCCATGCTGTCGCGTCGCGTCGCCTGGTTGTGATGCCGTACACACGCTTCTTCTCACGACATCTCGAGCATGTGGCTTGCTGTGCCATATTACATCCGACGCACCGGGCACTTTCAACATCTCCGCTTCTCCAGGCGTTTACGGCTGCGGCTGCGGCTGCCGGTGTCGCCATCTATGTCACGTCTCGCACCTTCTGTCGTCAAACTGCCAGCGTCTTAGCCAACGTCTTATGCAGCACAGCACATACGCGACCAGCCTTGCAACACCCATTTCCATTGAAAACTACGAATCCAGAACGTGCTGGATTTTCTTGCTCTCCATGCAAGGCACGTCGCACGCTATGCCATACGCACACCTCATGTCATGACCTTCACACCCAAGTGGATCATGCAAATTCTCCTCCTGCATGGGCTCATCCTCCTGGTGACACGTATTTTCCGGTCTGTTGCATGAGTTGGAGCTTAGGCCTCTCACCATCGTGTTCATCTGGGCTTATTTGGTAATATCTTACGTCTTCGAAACTTCCCCGCTATGCGACTTCTCCACAACCAAGAATCGATACCGTTACGGGAACTACTCTAGCTCACTACTTGAACCGAGCACACTACACAGCGATCCCCAAACAGCGGAAGTAATCAGCGTACGAGATGCTGACATTGATTAGAATGACGCAACCACGAGATGGCATAGTCGGCGGGTGTCTGCGCAAACGAGCACAGCAGACCGATCACTATATCGACTGTGTCTCTCCACAGCACCCCAGTGTCTATCTTCATACCCCTAATTTCCTTTCTCGGTTTCTATGAGCTAAGGAAATACGCTACCCCGCAAAGATCTCAAAACCCCTGGACAGCTCGCTTCCACGAAGCTCATCTAGCTCAGAGACGATCACACCGGCAAGCTAGGCTTCGGGATAGGCATTCCGTTTCCACTAGAGCGTCGGCTTTGCCTGCTATGCCGCTGCGAGCCTGCTCGCCCATGGATGCCGGCTTCGCTGTTCGTCCGTCTGGACGTGCGCCACCGATAGTCACGGGGCTGTACGACTCAGCTGACATGGTCTTGCCCAGCGCTAGGAGCCGCAACACCACCGAGAAAGTATCGTGACCTTCCTTTTTCGCCCCTGAGTCGAGAAGTGCCAGACGCAGGCTTCATGCTGCCACGTCGGTGCCTCCCGGATGCTGAGTCGGGCGTCGTGTCCGTGCTTCCCGGTCGGTGCGGTGGCAGCGCATCAACAGCATCACACGACGTTCTGACGATCAAAGCAGGAAGTTGCCGTTTTGTGGAAAGAATCATAGCTGAGTACACGCCCTGTGTTCAGCTCTCCTAAACGGCCGTCAAACTGGCTACTGGCATCATGCTGGACCTCTAAGCTCGCCGTTTCCTATCTTGAGCCACGGGAGATATCTCCCAGTGCTACCTGCCGCAAGATATGTTCACGTACGCAACGCTTAATGCGAGTAAGCTCAGAGTACAGCTCAACGGGACCACGGACCTACTATTGCCTATAGACCTTCAATCCAAATGCTAGCCTCGAAGAAGCTCTCGATCCTTATCTCGTAGCGGTGAGGTTAAAGGTAGCTCAAAACCACCATCACACGGGATCTCTGCACAACCTCGTATATCTTGCAGTAGGACTAACACCCGCAGCGTAGCATTGTTATCTGAAGTAAGTGCAACACGAGATAGGGATATTGGACATTGGGAACACGAAAGAGCCTCATGCACACACGTTCCCGTTGTTGGCGCTGTATCACATGAGATAGGAACACGCCGTGCGCAAGGATTCACGGGTAGTCGTTTGTGCGGTGCATGGCTTTCGACGATGCAACGTTAGATAAGGGTTTTGAATGTTGAGGGCGCTTTATCAGGATACTCAACCGGTAGTACCCAAAAGGAACGTAAGTAGACGTACAAGACTAGCGTATCAATTTACCAAATCGTAGCTACCCGATGAACATCATTCGTCGTCGCAGGGAGAACATGTAAAGTCTGTAAATACAAGAAATATCAATGGGGTATCTAATCTCTCAAAACCAAGCTCACAAAACACACTCCCCTCATTCCTACCTTCTCCTCGCCCCCAAACTCTCCACATTATTCGCATGCGCAAGCAAATACTTACAACACGTCAACGTATACTTGCATGCCTTCGTCCATCCCTCATCCTTATTCAAAGCCAACTTGATACTCTGATCATGAATGCGATCTTTCTGTATCTCATACGGCATCTTGACGCCGCCGGGTGGTCCACCTCCTGGGGCCCCTATACTAGCGCCACCTAGAGCATGTGACGGAGCAGCAGCAGAGTTCTCTACAAACTCGCCCAGTTGACGTAGACATTCCAGAAACGCTACCATGGCCGTATCGAACTTTCTATGTAGGAAACCAAAGTTTATGGGGAAGTCGCCGGAGGAGTAGAGTTCGAGTTTCTGTTTTGTTACTTGGGGTGAGTTGCCGCTTGTGGAGTGGGGTTGGCGTGTTGATTCAGTGATTGCGTTTCCAGCGCCGCCTTTGGTTTCGATTCGGGTGATGGTGGATGTAGAGCCCATGGGACAGAGTTCGTAGCCGTCGAACTTGTAGTTTAGTCGGTCGGCTAGTGTGGCGAGGAGCAGACATGTTTGGCCCCATGCGGCGTTGATTTCCGGCCAATCGACGTAGGGGTTTGGCAGGCGGCCGAGACGGAGGCCGTTGATGGTGGCGAAGTGGTTGTCGTGCGTTATGTTGAAGGTGTCGTTGTACACACTTCTTCTTTGTAGCTGGTTTAGGATTTGCGCATCGTGCGCATATCGCGTCGCTAGAGCGTCGCGGTCGTTTTGGATGGTGGTCAGGGTGGTGTTGAAGGCGTTTCTGCTCTTCCAGAACTCGCTTTCTTCTTGATCAAGGATGCGCGCTTCGACTTCTAGGGCGGCGAGCTGGGCGTCTAGTTCGGCCTTTTCGGCTTCGAGGTTCTCGAGCTGCGTGATGGCGGTGCTTTCGGCTTTCTTGGCTGCTTTGAGGGCGGCTTCGGCGGCTTTGACTTCTTCGGCGCTGGGCACGTCGGTGTTGGCGCGACGGAGGTAGTCGACGTATGCGTCGCGTTCGCGGGTCGCTACGCCTAGACGCTTCTGCAGACCTTCGATGAGTAGCTCGGTGCACTCTACGCAAATAGGGTGGTCGACGTCGGAGCGTGCTGATAATATCTCGAACATGCGGTTCGTTGTTTCCAGTGTATCGGCCAAACTTGCACCCCCCGGCATGTTCAGCCCATTTGTGAAGCTCTTCCGTCGTGTCTTGTCATTCGCATTCGGCTTCGTCTCGCCTGCTTGTGCTTTGCGATCTGGACTACGGACGGCTGAAGAGGGTGGGTCTATCATCGACTCGGACATGTGTACGTCGATGAAGGACATGGCGGGGTTTTGAGGGCCATTTGAGAGTCCTGAAGGCGGTGCGCCTTGGATGTTGCGCTTGAAGGTAGGGTTCCGGGCGTCTTTGGCCGCATCTTGATATGTCTTCAGGTGTTCGGGCGGGTTCGGAGGGCGCGACTGGCGGTTGGGTGATATTCTCGAGGCCGGCTGTTGGCCTGATACTGTCGAGTCTATAACATGTTAGTACGATGCGTGGTAGTCTACAGAACAGACATGTACCAGTCAACAGCTTGAAGGCGGCCGGGTTGAGCTGGTCGATGGAGGCGTCGATGTCTATGGGCGTCCGGCATTTCTGACAGGCCAGGGCTGTCTGTTTCTTGTCGTTGGCCATACTGTCATGAGCTGTGGTTCTTCATCCTTGGAGGAAGGTTGTGCATTCCAAGGTGACGGAATGACGGCTGCGGTTCACTGGCGATCACCTGCATGCGGGTGGGGCTGCCGCTAAGTGTCGGGTGCCTGCCGAGGAAACCGCGTCGCGTCTTGCTGCTCGCGTCATTCACGGCAACCCAATCACATTTTGTCTCCCGCGCAAACCCCGACCACCCACACACCGGTCGCCCTTATCTCCGCTCTCACGCTGGCAGAGACACATGCTCGCTGTCAAGAAGTGTGGCAATGCGTGCCATGGAACCGCCGGCAAAGCGCATGCGCATACTGCAATCAGTCGAAGTCGACGAAGACAATGCCGAATACATCAAGGCCAAGCAGAAACAACAGCAAAAGCTCAAAAGCCGGTTTGAGTCTATCTTCGACAAGTTCGCCAATATGAACGACTCCCAGAGTGACGAAATCGACATGAAGACAAACCGGGTGGTTGTGGATAGAGGCCATCTGCGAAGACTAAAGCGTCAGGCCAATGGCAAAGAGAAGACGTTACTAGAATCGATTGTCATGGGATCTGGGAGCCATCTGGAGGAGGAGGAAGAAGACGACGAGGAAGAGGGAGATGGCGATGATTCGGAAGATGAACTGGCACCCCCGCAGCTGGTCAAGCCCAAGGCTGCTGGACCGACTGAGCAAGACACGAGCATACAACCCACCGAAGTCACAGAGACCAATGCGCAACTACCTGCGATACCGCAAACAGACCTACAAGCAACATCCATACCGCAATTCAGCGTCCCGCATACGCCCAATTCAACGAACACCGCTGACCTCCTACGCCATGTCCAGTTTCCACAAACACCTGCGGGACAGCAAGCACAAAGCGCCTTCCACGCCAGTCTACTGCAGACAATCAACCAAGCTATTCAACAAGCCGTAACCGGCTTCATACTGCCAAGCGCTCCGATACTCTTCGCAAACGCTGCTCCTCCGCCGATTACTCCAATAACAACGGATGACAAAGTGGCGCCCGCAACGGACCCGAAATGGTTCTTCCCCCCTCTATCTGCACAACCACGCCGATTTCCAGTCGCCCAGTCGAGCCCTCTCCCAACCCATACAACGACACCAATAGCAAAAGAGACGGGCCCACAACATTCACACACTGTCTCAAGGGATGTCGCTGATGAAAGACCCTGCGCCTCGATTCGTACAAGACCGGATGAAAGCTCACCAACGAGACCCCGTCGAACCAGTCCCCGTGTCGAAATTCAGAGGCGCATCCCCAGGACTACGAGGAAATACCACTTCACTCACGAAGATGATGTGTACATAACCAAGCGCAAGAGAATAGACGGTGTTTCGTGGGCAGCCATCAAAGACGGCCAACAAAAGTGGAAGGAGTGGCCAATGACCGCACTTCACAACCGCTGGGATTTGATCAAGAATCAGAATCTACACCTTCAAAAGCCTGCTGTAGCTCCTATGAGTGGTCGCGTTGTCGGAGAAGATCAGGTCTCCAAGGAACACTATTCCGCCGTAGCAAAGCCGCCGCATCATCTGCCGACACCAATTTCTTCTGAGCATGAAGATTATCACCATGGCCTTGTCCAGTCGACGGAAGATGGTGTCCAAAATTTGCCGTCGTCGAGTACGCATTTCGATGACGATGACCGTGATCTGTTATCTCTTGCTGGCGATGATTCTGACGAGGATCAACTACCGATGAACCACAATGACGACGATACACTTGTAGATGTACCTGAAGATGTGGTACTGCCGTCCATCGAGACGAGAGATCTGATCAATGAAGATACACTACAAAGCGACTTGCTTGCAGACTTACCAACGCAAGACGATATCGCAACACCAGTCCGGGAATCTTCCTGCATAGCAATAAAAGCCGAGCCTGCCTTCTCTTCGCCAACCACACTTCGAACACGGAAGCATGCCACACCACCCGCCGAAGTGATACCTGACTTGCAAGAAGCCGAAGACGAGTTGCAGGACGATCTTACCCTATCATCCCCTCACAACATTGACAACAAATCTTTGGGAACTGTCAAACACGCCACTGTCGAACAGGCAAATCAGCAAAACACGCATACGACCTCACAACGGAAAAGCCCATCTCTTGACCTCATTGGCACCTCCACCGAAGACGAACTCCTCCCCTCACCACCCAACCCAACAACTCCATCACTAAAGCGTACCCACGAACCAGCCACCCCGCGAACCGCTGTCCCCTTCACCACCTATCAAACACCCAAGATCCGCAATACAGACGGCAGTAGTGACAAAGGCAGTAAGTCCACATCGAAAGCCGATCGGAAAGCATTCCATAAACGGATCAAGAGGGAGTGGACGAGGAAGGGTACGCCAGCGAAGGAGAGTGCGGTAAAGAGAAAGAGTTTAGGGGGGCTGGAAGTGAGGAAACGGAGGTGGGTGGATGTAGATGGGGATGGGAGTGAGGATGAACTTGCTGCATTCTGATCGTGTGGGAGAAAAGAAGTAGTAGCTAAAGCTGACAATAATGTTGTCTTCTCTATCTATATCTATGTCTATACGTATAAAACACATACACATGCGATTTAGTCCTTTGACCGATCCGAAGACTGAGAGCTGGCTAGCATCGATCCTACCATGTCACACCTCTACCTCCCCATCCCTCATTCACATTCTGTCCCCACGTTCCCACCGCCTCTTTCTCCTTCCTCTCCTTATCTTCCTTCTCGCCCATCCCTTTAGCGACCCCACTCTTCGCCCTCACACTCGGATCTCGCGAATGCCGCTCAACCCATTGTTCGGTAAAGTCCTTCATCCGGCCGTCGCCATGCGCATCCGTTTTCTTACTTGACCGCATCTGCTTGTGTTTCAGTTTCTCCTTCTCCTTGTCAACACTTTTCTTGCTACGTTTCTTCTCCTTCCCACCACCAGCAACAGTAATATCTTTCTCATCGTCTCTGCCTTCCAACCTCCGCTCCAAAGCCAACATCTTCGCAATCAGTTCGTCTTGCGGCACACGCTTCAACTTTTCCACTTTCTCCTTCTCCTTTCCTTTCTCGCCACCGTCGCCCTCCGCATAAATACCCAGACCCCTCAACACCCTCTCACTCCGATACTTGAACCGAAATACCGCATACGGCTTCTCCAGTCTATCCAGATACTCAGGTCGTCCTACTACATGACCATACTCCATCGCTTTACCCGCACGGACGGCGTGGGCAATACCTTTCGTGCTGGCAGTCTTGTGGTCGATAGTGAGACGTGGTTCTGCGGGTGCAATGTATGTGTCTTTTGGGGAGGAGGCGTGGAGTGTGTTTTTGGTAGTGGAAGTAGATGGGGGAGGAGGAAATTGCCAGTGTGGTTGCGCTGTGAAGTTTGGTGGGGATTTGGGAACGGTGAGAGAAGGGTGGTTATGGTTGGGACGGTATTTCGAGAGGGTTTTGTTGCTCATGCGTTGGGTAGGTAATCTGCCCTTCTCCGGTACCGGAGCTGGCGGTGCTGGGGCGTAAGTAAAGGGTGCGGGAGCAGGCTGTTGGACAGCGGGCTTTTCGGCGTCGTTGTTGGCGGGGAAGCTCCATGGTTGATTTTGCCAGGGGACTTCTGGTGCTGGTGCTGGTGTTGGCGAAATGTTGAAGGAGGTTGCCAGGGCGGAATTGAGACCGGCCCAGTCGTTCATCTTATCCACTCGCTCTTGTTTGGGGGATGATGAAGGGTTACCCCAGCCAGCGTCTTTCGAGTTCCAGCCATGATCATCAGCTTGGACCTTCTTGTCGTCGTCTGGTATGGTCCAGTCTCCGGCTTGGTCGTCATCGGTCGAGTACCAAACTTTATGGTTCCCCGTAGAGTTCTTTTCTTGCCAACCATTGTCGCTGCCGTTACCCCAACCGGAATCCTTCTCAACGTCCTTGCCCCATGAAGGTTTGACAGTGTGATCTTTCTTCTCATTACCCCAAGACACAACCGAAGGTGGTCGATTATATCCTAGTTTCTCATCCACAGCACTCTGAACAAAGTTCTTCATCAATGGTGCGTATGGGGCTGGGAATATGTTACTTGGAACATTACTAGGCTTCTTCATCGCCTCATGAACAGCAGCGCCCCACTCTGGAGTGGGTATCTTCAAAGCGGGTGGACCAGTATAAGCACTAGGCTGCCGTAATCGCGCTTGTTCCGGGGCAGCAGAAGGGGGTGCGTTCATCACAGTCGGTGCCATTCGCGTGATGACCGATGGCGCAGGCCCAGCGGCTGGAACTTCATCCGCGGGTCTCGAAGTCGGGATTCGGTGAGAATGCTTTGATGGTTTTCGCTCCTGGTCGCGCTGTAGTGACTTAGAACGCCGAGAACGGCTCTTGGATCTCCGTTGTGAGGGCTGTATCCGGCTTCGAGAACGCGATGGCTGAATGGTATCATCTGAACTACTCAGTGAGACCACAGAGTCTGAAGGCCGTTCGAGACGATCCCAACTTCCGTTGTCTTCCTCTGAAGAAGTCACCTCTCGGTCCCGGCGTGAACGTCTTGATCGGGATTTAGAGCGTGAACTTCGTACTGACTCATGCTTTGAGCGTTGTCGTTCGGATCTACGTGAGGTAATTGGAGAGTCAGACCTCACATGATAGTGGCTAGGAGGGTTAGTCGCCCATAGTTTACCCTTTTGACTGGAAGCATCCCATTCAGCTGCCTTATCGGTCGGCCAAGTATCTCCAGTGTCCCAGGCATCGGACGGGGTCTCTTCCCGCGCGTTCCATCCGCCGACACTTGAGGAGTCGGTCTTTAACGCCGGCTCAGCATTCCAGGTAACACGAGTTCCTGCTCTACTCCGTGGAGGTCGGTCGCCCCAGCCCGGTTGGAACTTTGCCCATTTTGAGCCATGTTCACTCTGGTGATCGCGTGAGGAGAAAGGTGGCTGCTCCGTGCGTTGATAAGGTATTGTGGGAGCATCGAATGGAGATTCTGGCCATGCTCCCGGTGTCTGACTTGCGGACTTTGCATCTGGATGTGTTTCCTTGTACCTCGCCTGCCCTTCTGACTGTGTGTCTATCCGTCGTGACTCTTCCACTCCCTGCTTCACTGCCGTCGTGAGAAGGTTGTTCAACCACACTGGATCCACAGTAGGAAGTTTCGCTGCTCCAACATGAGGAGGATGTGTGTTATATGGCTCATCATTGCGTGGGATGGGACCACTGCCATACTGGAAACCAGACGGGGGAAGGTCGTTGGTGCGCCGCGCCCCCGGACTGATCGGCTCAGAGTATCTCGAATGTGGCCGCGAGTGGTTTACGATAGCCGCCGGAGGGAAGAGCTCCTGAGGATTATATGCAGTTCGGTGAGTTCTTGATGTCGAGCCTTGCGGACTACGTAGCGTTTCGGCATATGGTGATCGATGAGACGGAATCGGCGGCGGTGGACCGTGGCGATTGCCAAAGTTGTTAAAGAATGGCCCTCGGTCATCGTACATGGACTTCTCGTTGGATGGCGATGAGCTATCGTCTACACCAGACCGGTGATCTGGGAAGTCTCCTGCTCCATCAAAGTTCATCATCGACGCCGATTTGACATTGCGCGTACCAGCACATCGTAGAACAATGACTTCAATACAGCCTATATTGTCGAGAATGTTTGGCGAACAAAGATTCGGTGCATCGTCCGCCGAAGCTGTGACTAGTCAGCAAACCACAACTCTGTAGTGTCCTCACAGCGCCTACCAATGTTAAGCCTATCAAACGCCCACTCCCTCGCAATCATCGAACCATCCCTCTGCCTCTCTTCCTTCTGGCGTACACGAAAGTCAACAAGCGAGCGACTGCCGGAAGGCTTCCGAAGCTTCAAGTCCTGCCTATTGCGGTTGCACTGGTAAACGCCGTCGACGTAGACGAAGATCGCGACGCCCGGAGCAATGAATCTGTTGGAGGTCAGGTGAATTGAGAAAGACTGTGGCTTGTTGGGTACGGGGACGAAGGTCTCTACGAAACCGTCGCCATATATGGTGCCGAGCTCTCGTAATGCTTGTTGACTCCCGGATAGCTCGATGGCGCAATTGAGGTCCTTTAGTGAAGGCATGGTGGGTGAGCCTTCACGGAAGTCGCCGTCAAGTCGCAGGAGAAGGAGAAATTGTCTGGGATGGGTATGCGAGTCGCTAAGCTGTGGACGTGGTGTGTAAGTGACTGCTGGTCGTCACAGTGACCGGTGAGATGTGAAGTGGAGGCGGAAGCTTGAAGAAAGCCAATCGATTCCGCACTCAGCCCGGGAAGTACCGCATACAGACCTCTCACATTACATTGGGACGGGATTCCTGAAGACGAAGACGAAGACAAGGCTTGATGCACGAAACGCATTGAGTGAAGGAACTCATCATATACTTGACACTGGACACCGCTGACACGCGACATCGGCGCCCGCCCGCCCACTCTACGAACACCCTACCTTCACGCTCCCGAGGCCGCTACATTAAATAATGAACAACGTTGCTTGAATTCACGCGTCAACCAGACCTTTCCGAAAGCGCGCGGTCTCGTTGGCTGCGGAGCCTGTGCCCTTGGCTGGCGCGGACAAACATGGACTTGCCGTCGTGTACACAGTGAGTGCTGCTATGTTTGGCATACGTGAAATCCGCTCAGAGATAGAGCGGCAAAGTGAACAGCATTATTGTATCCGTTGTTCGTGGTGGTTGATAAATGGGGAAGGGAAACGTTGGGTGAAGATAGGACGACGGAAGGTGCATTGGTCAAACAAGCTAACACACCCAACGGCTCAATTGCTGCCCAGGTTATGCATGTACTCTCAGCTTTGAAAAGTAGTGGCTTTGACGTGATAGGCAAGATCCATATCAGCAGAACCTACTCACGTGTAATACCATGTAGGCTCTAAACCTCTAATGCTCAAACACATTTGCGTAGGCGTGTTTTCAATGTGAGCTTCAGCATCTTCAAAGTCATCACCAATCAAACACACGCGCGTAATTGTTAATCTTCAACTTTCAATTTCCTCCCTTCCACACACCCGTCATCAGGTATGAAGGAAGAGACTTTGCTTGCTAGCTAGCTTAGCTCGGGGATATCAACAGAGGAAAAACCACCCTATTCACAGCCTTTGTAATCCCGAATCCCTTTTTCTTGCCAAATAGAAAGCAGCCGTGACCCCATGTTCGACCAAGGAGAGATGCCCAAAGGCCCGGAATCGAACGTTGCTTTCTCTCGCCAGCCTAGCCCAGCCCAGGTACACCAGTACCGGTAAATTAGACTTTACGTACACATGGACTCTTCGAGTCCATTCGAGATAAGAGAAAAAGAAAGGAAATGGCGACCCATGGGCACACCAAAGCAAACGCACAATGGTATAAACAAAGGAAACGAATGAAAAAACCGAGACGAAAGGAAAGGTAGGTGGTACATCGACATGTCGAAGATATTCGATCAAAAACGCGGAGGTCCAAAAAGGTAATGTCGCTGAAGCGCGGGGGTGGCCAAAGTAAGTAAAGAGTAAAAGCGGCCAAGCCTATGCGCCGGGCAAAGGTGATTTCGTTAATATGGGGTATTCGAAAGGCAAAAATGTTTTGACCTCCAAAGCATATGCTTAAACCCAGACGCCGTGCGCGAGAACAGACTGTGAAAGGAAAGGTTCGTGGACACATGTACAAGGCGAGATGGTGGTGGGATCAAGCCATAGGAGGGAGAGGTTCAGCCGCGCTCTTCTTGCGGCCGAAGATGGTGCGAGTCCTGCTTTTGTCGCGAGCCTTCTTGTCTTTGGAGTGGTCTTTGGTGGCGGAACGACCTGATCGAACAGAACGCTCATCCGAGGCGGTGGAGCCGTCGTCCATGTATTTGTCTTTGTAGATCCAGCTGTTGCCCACCATGCTGACGCCCTTGGCTTCGGCTGCGCGGTAGAACTTGGCTGCTTTCTTCATGTTCTTCTTGCAACCAACGCCTTCTGCGTAACAGTATCCAGCTTCAACTAGGGCATCGGCATCGCCCCAATTTCCAGCGATCTCGTAGCATCGCAGTGCGAGGGATTTATCTTGAGGAGCGCCCCAGCCGTTTCCGTAGCACTTGCCGAGCTCGTAGATGGCTACGGCGTATTGGGCGCGGTGTCGCTTCTTCTTGGTGAGGTCAGTCAGTTGCCCGTGCTTGGACTGGTCCTCGTCGTCGGCTACTTCTAGCTGTCCAGAGTCGACGGCGCGGCGCAACCATTGCAGCGCTTCGGACTTGTTCTCGCGCATGCCCCATCCGTGGCGGCAAGCGAGGCCATACCAGAACATGGCTTCTGGAAGACCAGCGCGAGCTGCGAGACGGAGATGGTAGGTGGACTTGAGTAGTTCACCGGCTTCGTGGAGCTCCAGTCCCATGTCGCAGTGCTGTTGCGCTGTGACCTCCCCAACGGACCCAGCTGTTCGCGCGCGGATAGTGCTATTGCTGGATGTAAGGGACGGCGCGCCGTGGTCGAAAGAAACGTCGCGTCTTGCCTCTGGCTGTTGCTGGCGTGTCTGGTCGAAAGAACGGGGCGGTGATTCAGGTGAAGGTGGTCGCGGCTGGGTCTGGTTGGGCTGGCCTCCTGGTTGATCCCATTTGATCTCCCGTTTGAAGAAGTCCTCAATGCCGACAGACTTGCGGTCGACGGCCCTGCCGCGAGGAAGGTTGAACCTGGTGTATGTGTAGGACGGGGCTGGGTTGTTGGCGAATTCGCCAGACCGGCGGAAGTCCTCGCTTACCATGCTGACGGGAGTGTGGACCTGCTCGTTGGCGTAGTGAGCAGTAGGGATATCGTTAGAGTCCTGTCGGCGGAGCTGGTCGTCGAACGAGGGCCTCATGTTCACGCTCTCCTCGGACGGCTGTCGCGAGGGTCCAGCATCTGACCTTACGTCCAATGATGGACGGACGCTTTGGCGACTTGTGGGGCGTGAGAAGTTGGGTCTCGAGAAGTTGTAGGCAGGGCGTGGGAGACTGCCGCCATCGACCGAGTAGTTGGAAGCGGCTGATGGTGACCGGGGGATCATGGTAGGACCGGTGGCAGGTGTGAATGGAGAATGGGCTCTCGACAGGCTGGAGCTGGGAGACAGGTTGCGCGTCTGGTGCAGGGAGTCGTAGGATCCGCTGAGGGACATGTCCTCGACGTCGTCGTATGTGCCAGCGGCGGAGCGGATGCTTGGCGAGCGGTTGGAGTGAAGGGAGCTGGATGAGCGCGGCGGGAGCAGGTTGGAGCGTGGTGCCGAGCGGGGCTGCGATTGCTGCGAGTGTTGGGAATGCTGCGAGTCGCCAGAGCGCTTCCGCTGTGGGCTGAGGAACATGTGGGACGTGGCAGCGGCGGGGACATGGGGACTGACGGGCGTGGCCTCGCGCAGTCCAATGTGCGGCTCTACCGAATCGGGCGAGCGCGACCTGGGGATGTCGAAGTAGCTCTGGGGAGGCGTCGCAGGGCTGGCCTCGGCGATGGTGGCCATGGGGCTCTGCAGCGGCCCAATGGCATACTGGGGCTCGGGCTCGTCCATGCCGAACTGCGGGTAGTAGGACTGGTGTCTCTTGTCCGACGATATCTCCTGGCGCGGAGAGGCCTCGGGGCGCGGGGAGCGGACGGGGCCTGCATCTTCGTTGGGCGAGTTGACGGTCGAGTTGGAGAGGGACGAGAAGTAGCCGCCGCGGTTGCCGAACTCGTTCTGGATGGTGAGGGGCGCGAGGCGACTGAGGCGGCGGCCCGTCTTGTCCTGCTGCTCGAAGCGCTTCGCGAGCAGGCGGCCCTGGAGGGCGAGGGCATCCAGAGGGGAGAGGGCGGGCGGTGCTTCGCCGGTGCGCGGGCTGGGCAGGTCGGAGCCGAGGGACAGATTGCTCATGCTGGCGCTGGCGAGGTTTCCGAGGCCAAGGTGGTTGGAGGTGAGCGAGTTCGCGGTGGTGGGAGGTTCGAAGGACTGGGAGCGGAAGTCGAGGCCGCCCGGGCGTTGGTGTCGGTTTGCCATGGTGAAGGGACAGGCAGGCGGGCTAGTGGTTCATGGAATGTGCGGCGGAAGATTGATGACGCTGGGCCGTCATGCGCGCGACCGGGCAAAAGAAGCCGTCGAAGCCGCCTGGAGGGATGAATGCGGGAGACACGGGGCTGAGCAGAGCGTGCGGGAAAAGCAACCGTGATAAGAGCGGTGGGTGGTATTTTGGGCAGTCGGCACCATGGGAGAATGAAAGCAGCGCGAAGGAGCGGATACGACAGCAAGCGTCGAGTGAGCAGTGATGGACTGCAGGCCTCGAGCAGTGTCCGGGGCGTCGCGATGTTCTATGCTGCCCTTGGCTGCCCGTCGCGTGCAAGAATAGCTAAACCTACACCTCCTGAAACCACAGGTGGGCCGGGGATGCTCCCTGCTCGCCAATAGGGTCCGCTACCACCAGTCGGCCCTGCATCGCGACGACGTTGACCCACCGCGCCGTCGCCCTGACACGCAGCCACTCGATGCACGCATGCACGCCTGGCAGCAATTGGCGGCCCTAACCAGCCCTCATCTTGCATTGCCATTGCTTTTCACTTCTGCATGCTCCCAGCTACCAAACTCATCTCTTTCACCCACCTACCATCTACGACGCCACCACCCAGCTATTACTGCCTTGTCGCCTCCAGCTGCCTCTACTCCCTCCGGTGCCTCGTTTCACTAGTCTATCCGCACGCCATCCGTATTCCCCTCTCGGCCTGCCTCCGTTTCGGGCGCTGGCCGTCAGTAGGGTGGCACATGCTTCGCGTCACTTCATTTGCTCATGGCACTTGTGGAGCGGAACATGTTCCAGACTTTTGCTCATTTAATTGCTGCCCGTCCTGCGAACCACTGTTCCTGCAACGCTTCATGTCAAGAGCGCGCTGTTTCTGCCTATATCGCCGTGACTATATACTGCTCGTCGACTGGATTCCCAGCGTGCCTGCAAATCTAACCATGCAGGGAACACTCGCTGAGACCCGTGCCGGCAAGGGGCTCAGGGTCTTTTACGTGATGCCATCGGCCACTACGCTCGCCCTGCGTGCTCGTCCTTGGGCCAATACACCATCTCAATCTCGTGATCTCGCAGCGCCAGGCGCGATCTTCAGGTCACGCCGATGCCACGCACTCCCGCAGGCACAGTCCGTCTATGACGTTGCGCATCGTGATCATCTCAGTGATTCTCCACATCGTCGACTTGTTGTCTAGGTTCTGGGGTCCGTCGTCTAGGCGATCGCATCGATCCTCTCCCACGACTGCAGTTGCACGCTATCCTCTAGCTTCGGCTCGGACGCCGTGTCCAGGGACACACGTTTTAACCCCATCATCCACCCAACAATCCCAGCCGGCACCCAGTTGCCGACCAGATCATATGTCACACTACCACGTCCGACGCGCCATACCTTCCTTGGCCGCTTTTGCGTAAGTGCATCGAATACGCCGTTGTGCAATTCCCGAAGACTTGAGCCGCTGTGATTTAACAACCCCCGGTTCTGCGCGACACGCGTTTGCGCTTCGAAGTTGTTGGCATACAGCGCTCTGGTAGTTGCTGGCCAAGCGTGTGGGCTCCCAAGTCCCCTGGTCTGGAGATGATGTTTCGGACCCACGTTTGTGAGATCGAAAGTCCCCAGATGAAATTGCAAAACTTCAATGCCAAGGGTTCCCAGTTCCGCCCTGAGAGATGCTAGGAACCCCTCGAGTGCGCTCACGATCGCAGTCTCTACGCTATGAAATGGTGGCCGTAATGACGCAATGATGCTGGGCGTAAGCATCAGGACCCTGGATTTGAACTCACACACTGTCGGCAGCAGCGCTTGAGTCACTGCGATGGTGTTGAGCACTTTGGCATTCAGCGCGTCTGACCAAAGTTCGGGGGTCACCGTTTCTACAGGCCCGGTAGGGTAGATGAGGTCCGGCACCAGTATGACACCACTAAGATTGAGGTTGTGCGGGCTCGTCCCCGGGACAGCGACGTGCGGTTTCACAAGAAGCTCGTTGAAGTTCTGAATGGCCTGTTTGGTGCCCATCGTGTCCACAACGTCCAGGTGCAGCGGCCGCACGTCTGCTCTTGATTCGCTAAGTACCTGCTGCTCTTCATCCATGGTAGAGCACACAATGTATACAATGAAGCCGCGTCTTTCAAGGTCAAGGGCTAGCGATCGGACGATGGGCGAGTTGGGTGGTCCGGCAAGGACTGTTGGTGTTAGTCAGAGCGACTGCCATGCGCCTTCCTCAAGCACTCACCAACGACCTCCGTTCTTGCCCCATTGCTCGCTCGGCGCACTCTTCGCTTGCGGTTGTATTTCTTCTGTTCTCTCCATACCAAGAAACTCCCAGTGCCGATAAAGGCGACGATGGCTGCCGTCAAAGCCCGATTTCGCGACACCCAGTCTTGCAGGCGATGTAGGTAGGCGCCGGTGATGGGATGCGGGGGCGGCGGTGGCGCGCGTGGTCGAGCGCGTTCTGGCAACCACCCTTCAGGGAGGCTCTTCTTGATGTATCCGGCGACATGCGCAAAATGCGCATCAGTGGCGTCCCATATCGATCCCGTGAAGTTGCGGACGTCTTTCGTGTACTCAGCGAGCTTCACCCACGTCAGCGAGGCGCGCAGAGTCCAAATCCGTTGTCTTACTCACCACGCCCAGGATCTGCTGGTCGTCGTTGGACATGTCTTACAGAGAAATAATGTATTAAGGACTCGAAAGTGTGCGATGCTTCAAGGTTCAAAGTCTTTGACAGCTGACTGTGACGACTCCGCCAGTGCACTACGTCAGGCACTTCAGGACTGACTCGCGGAACGGGATCCGCACACGGTCGCACGTGAGAGGCACAACCAGCCTCTGAGCTGTTGCGCCACTCTCTCGGTGAAGTCTAACATTAGATCTTCCCACAAAATATGCGCGCTTGCTGACCCTGCAGACGATCGCCCTTTACCTTGTTTAATCAAGAACAGTGAGCTATTACTTTGTCTGAGTGAAGTACTCTAATCATCGACCTGGCCTTGCCATCGTCAAGCAGCGAAGGCCGCGTGAAGTGCTTACGTGGCTGGCCTCGTCCTTCGCTTCTTTCTTCAGTCTTTCTTTACTTTTCACTTTCATTCACGGCTCTGCCGCCAGTTTCCTACATCTTCTGTGCAAAGTCGGTCGCAGCATATAGTTTTATTCCACCGGGTCAGTTACTGCAATTCTCTGCTACACCAACAGTTGATCTACCACGTAGCGCGCACGAATCCTCTCACACAACGCAACCATGAAAGAGATTGACGCGCATTTCGATGCCTACGAGCATCTGAAGCATCTGCCTAGGGAGAAAGAGGCGTTGCACATGCTCCGCAAGGCAGCTTCCATGGTGAAGCCGATTATGAGGAAGCGCGGTTGGAAAGTAAGAACACTGTGCGAGTTCCTGCCCGAATCAGCTCGACTACTAGGTAAGATAACGAAAGTCATGGGTATGAAGATGTACTAACCTCCGAAGGTCTGAATGTCAATCGCACAGAAAGAATTCTCGTCCGCATGAGGTATCACTATGATGCCAGGCAATTCCTACCCTTCGAAGAAATCATGGACACATTACTACATGAACTTTGCCACATCGTATTTGGCCCCCACGACGGTAACTTCCACAACCTCTGGAATGAGCTCCGCGACGAACACCAGACGCTTCTCATGAAAGGCTACACTGGCGAAGGCTTCCTAGGACAGGGCAAAAAACTGGGTGGTAAAAGAGTATCACTTGACGAGATGCGCCGTAATGCCAGAAAGGCTGCCGAGAAGCGACACGCCACATCTAAACCCGGTGATGGAGGACATCGCTTAGGCGGCTCACGTCCTGTACAGCGCGGCATCGATATGCGAAAGGTCATCGCCGACGCAGCGTCACGTAGAATCAGCATCACCGACGGCTGCGCGAGCGGAAGTGCCAACGCAGGAACATTAGTCAATCAGCAAGCACAGAATGGATTCCGAACGACCGCCGAACAAGACGACGCCAACGACTGGGCCATTGCCCAGGCCCTGCAAGACCTCATGTACGACGAGGAAATGCAGAGGCTAGGTGCACCAACAGGAAACGGCGGTCTAGCCTGGGATCCCGAGAACGGGTTGTCCGTCGACAATTACCCTGCTCAACCTCCCCGTCCGCCAGGAAGCGGTACCACACAGCCGGATTGGTACTATGATAAAAATGGTGTCCTCCTTAATGATGGGCAAGCATGGGGGCTGAAACCTGATGGGAAGGGGGGATATTACATGCCCGAACATCCAGAGGATGAACCATCAATGAAAGCCCCGCCTACACGCAGCACGGCACAACCTCCACAAGGAAAACCCATATCGCGACTCGTCACCCAATCATCATCACGGCCTTCGAATCCCAAGTCCTCTTCTTCCTCGCGAATACCTTCACGTTTTCATCCTCGCGAGGAGCAGGAGCGACGAAACAAGAGTCTGCCTTCCACACCACCTCCCTCATCTACACTCTATTCTCCTGACCCCTCTCCGCACCCCCCATCCCAACAACCCCCGCACATCCCTCCCCCCGACCACTGGTCCTGCCCCTACTGCACCCTCGACAACCCCCTCGCCCACCTCGCCTGCTCCATCTGCGGTACTGAACAACCACCCCAACCCATCCCTGAACACCGGCGCTTCGCCTCTTCCTCCTCTAGTTCCTCCATTCCCAACCTGCCTAGGCCCCCTCCTAGGACTGATCTGAGGGGAAATGGGGCGACAACGCCGTTTGAACCTGCGAGGGGGCGGTTGGGCTGGAATTGCCTGGTTTGTGGGACGTTTATGGAGAGGGAGTGGTGGACTTGTAGTTGTTGTGGGACTATGAAGGCGGAGAGTTAGTGGTGGGTGGGGTGAGTGAGAGGGATGGGGTGGGTGAGGGGGGTTGTGGTGGTTGTGTAGTTCTTCGGTGTCTTTCTCTCTCTTTTCTTTTGGGTTTCTAATTTGAATAGAACGGGATGGATTTGATGGGGAGTTCACGTACATATACCCGCGCAGAAGGAAGCGCATGATGGACGTACATCCACATTGCATGTTGGATGTTCTGGTATTTCACGGCTATTGGATCGAGAATAAGTTCTGTCACATCTTGAATGTAGTAGTAGTAATAAACATTCCATCCGACTCAGTCTGAACCTTTATCTCTTCCGTCCTGGGTGGAGGAGGCGGAGGGGAGGAGGTGGAAGGCTCGCTCTTTTCTGATTAGAGGTAGTCGACTATTCAACTAACATTACATCTTCGATTTCGCATCTACAGATCTTCCATCCGAATTGGTTCGCGAAGTTATCCTCCTGGGTGGGTGGAAGAGGTGAGGAGGAGGAGGAGGAGGAGGAGGAGGAGGAGGAGGAGGAGGAGGAGGAGGAGGAGGAGGAGGAGGAGGAGGAGGAGGAGGAGGAGGAGGAGGAGGAGGAGGAGGAGGTGGAGGTTCAAGACCCTTTCACCATATTAAATCTTGAACGTAGTAGTAACAAACATCCCGTCTGACTTAGTCTGCATCTCGATACTTTCCGTCCCCCACGGCGCCCTCCGGGATGGGCTCTCTGGTTTCGGAACCGGTGGCGTCTGGGCTCTATCTACAGACTCTTCTCCAGACGCTAATTGCTGTTCACGCCTCTTTTCCTTATCTATCTCGTCATAGTATTCCTTCTCTCTTCTTCGCATATCAATCAAGAGCCTTCGACACTTGGCACGTTGAAAGTTGCGCAAGTCGGGCCAGTGGCATTGATGGTAGATGGCTTTGGCCTCCTGGTTTTGTTAGTTATTGGGTTGTGTATGCATGATTTGTATGTTACCTTAATCCATGGTAGAAGATAGTGATTCGGATACTCCTTCTCGTTCACGTCTTCCCACATCTCCCAGTAAGGGTTGTTGGTATCATTCGTGAGCGGTATTAACCTTAGTGACTTTAGGTCCTCACACAAGCCATCGAAGTAAGCGACCGCTGGTACAGGGCGAGATGAACGCCATTGCTCGTCTTCCGGTACCTCATCTGGCGGCCGTGTAATAAGCCCGCTACACGGAGTAAGCTCACCTAAAATATGCACTAGGTCAGAGATAATAATAAGGCGCAGACCAGATGCCAGAGCCTCTTCGGTCGTCATCGTCGTCAAACTCACCATTATTAGTATCCAACATCCACCACGTTCCATACTGCGCCGAATGCAGCTGCTGTGACAATGGCAGAACACCCTCTGTCATCTTCTCGTCACGTGGCCACATGTTCGCCATAATCGGATCATCTCTTTGGTAATCCTCCTCGGGATATCGATCAAAATGGGAGTGATAGTATATCAGCACATCTGTGTCCGGGAACACGGGCACAAGGCCGTTGAGCACGAATGGTACGTGACGCACAAAGTCTATCATTCGGTCGTTGAAGCCTAGACGACGCAGTTTCGCCAAGGGGATCTTGGAGTCGGGACGCCGCCCGTTATGGGGTAGGGCGATGTCGTCCAGATCTATGGATACCATCTTGGAGAGGAGGGTGTAGTAGCGGGTCATGCTTGCTACGATCGCGTCGCGGTCGTAGCCGGAGTTTGCATCCGCGTCCGAAGATGCGGATGTGTCGGCTGGCATGGTAACAGCCTTTGAGATGCGTTTTCGTCCTTGATAATCATTCATAGAGGCCGTTGTTACGGCCTTTCTTCGATATTCACGATCGATAACGCGTTACTCCACGCTGCTGGATATTACTGCTGTCGGAAATCGTAGCACGTAATCACGGCTTCATAACTAGACTACAAAGTCAGGCGGTCGTCGTCGCAGAGAGTACTGCATTTAGGATTGCTATCGCGAAAAGGAGATGCACGTGGAAGCGACGCGATGTATTTGGGACGGATTAGGCATGGCGTTGCCCCCGCCTGCCTCTAAACTTCTTGAATCCGGTCACGGTCGTTCCTATACGAACGCATCGCTCACGAGGAGGCATCTACGACTTTAGCTCAATTCTTGCCTGCGCTCGTCATTGAAGCTGCGTTGTGGTAGGCGGAATTATTGCCATCTGGCATCAACACGACAAGACGACAAGCTATTGTTAACCACCGGATGAACTGCGGCTCTATGGCCACGTGATCGGACCTTCGCCGAAAATCTACCTGTCTCCGGATGCTATGATCGACCCGGTGGCCCAAGATTTCGAAGGCGACTCTGCGAGATTCGATGATCGCAGCCACCACATCTTTAGTGTGAAAAAGATACAGCGTTGCCACCTCATATTGCTTTGCTCGGAGCGCGCTCCAGGGTGTAGATGACGAATCGACGGTACGGGTCGAGAAAGACATGGGCGATCTGCTCGTTTACACATACGCACTAGGCAAACAGCCTAAAACAGATGCTAGTGCCTATCACGAACAGGCACGAACGAATGGTCAAGGAAAGGTAGACGGAAAAACCAAGATGGCCGTTACCCCAGATAGATTGCACTCTCTACGAACCCCGGTCGACGAACATTTTCCCCAGCTTTCGGCTCCACACGACGGGCTTGGTGGAACCAGGTAAGGAATGACTATAAAGAATGAGTAGTCCGCAGCAGGAATTGGGGAGCTACCGTTGTCAAGCATCCACCACCACAATGCGTTCCATCCTCCTCGCCGGCGCTGCTCTCGTAGCCACAGCATTGGCTCGAACCGTCCCTCACCGTTCGTTGGCTACCAGACAGAATGGAGGCCTTCCCAGCACTTTCAGCTGGACATCTAGCGACATCCTAGTCAGGCCCAAGAACGATGGTCGCAACCTCGCTGGTATCAAAGATCCCTCAATCATCGAGTATGAGGGCGTATACCACGTTTTTGCCAGTACAGCGAAGGAGGAAGGGTACAACCTGATGTACTTCAACTTCACCGACTTCGACAAGGCACAAGAGGCGCCATTCTACTATCTTGACCAGAGCGCCATTGGTACCGGCTACAGGGCTGCACCTGAAGTCTGTAAGTAAACCGTTCTTCCAAATCCGTACATACCAGGATAAGAATAGAAAGAGTCCCCTACTAACACTTCGCAGTCTACTTTGCTCCCCAGAAGCTCTGGTACCTCGTCTACCAGAACGGCAATGCGGCATACAGCACCAACCCAGACATCTCCAACCCCGCTGGCTGGACTGCCCCGGAAGTCTTCTACCCCAACGGCACTCCCGCTCTCATTGCCCAGGGCCTTCTCACCCCTCAGCAAGGCTACTGGGTCGACATGTGGGTCGTATGCGACGACGCCAACTGCCATCTCTTCTCCCACGATGACAACGGCCGCCTCTACCGCAGCCAAACGACCGTTGCCCAGTTCCCCCGCGGAATGAGCGAGCCTGTCATCACCCTCTCAGAGCCCAACAAGAACGATCTCTTCGAAGCGGCGACTGTGTACCGCGTCGACGACAGCACTTATCTCCTACTTGTCGAGTGCATCGGCCAAGGAGATTCCCCCGGTGGCCTACGTTACTTCCGCTCCTGGACGTCTTCCTCGCTCGAGGCCGACGAGTGGAAGCCGCTTGCTGCTACCCAGCAGAACCCCTTCATGGGTGAGGCGAATGTCGAGTTTGCCAATGGAAACAGGTGGTCGGACAGTATCAGCCATGGAGAGTTGATCAGGTCGCAGGTTGACCAGACGCTCTCGATCAAGCCGTGTGGTATGAGGTTCTTGTACCAGGGTATCGACCCTAATGCGAGCGGGAGCTACAATGCGCTGCCGTGGAACCTGGGCCTGTTGACCCAGAATGGCAACACCACCTGCTAAGTAGACGTGTAAGAAGGCGGGATAAGAATGGATGATATGTGCCTATGCATGGATAATTGTATATAGCTTCGAGCACATGTCCATGTCAGCGCTACAAGTAAAAGAAATCACAGTAAATATTATCGTTCAAACTTGAACTACTCTCAGATCTATTGCACCATCTTTACAGATCTTCACACATGTTCTTACATGCCCATTTCACAGCCCATTTCATTTTACCACACCCCATTACCAACCGCTGCCGTCACACCGGAGCCCTCCAAACACGATCTTCGCCCCCTTGTCACAAAAGGTCCCCTGCAAACCCACGATCTGCACAAAACGGTACGGTCTCATCTCGGCACCACCCACGCCCCAACATGACGACTTCCATCGTCGTCATCGTTCGTCACCCGCCGCGTCCCGTCTAACGCGCTTTCCAACGAGAAAAGAAGGAACTTTCCGGGACGCGTGGTCGTGGAAGATGCACGTTCCTGGTCGTGGAAGCTGTGAAAGGTTGGTGCGAGGGATATGCATGTTGGCATGTGCGTGTGGTCTGCGCTTTGCGATGGAATGGGCGAATGCACCGACCGTGCTGTATGGTAATATGTCGTCGCGCGACTTTCCATAATGGCGTGGAGGCCGGTGAGATGGGGGTATCGTGAGTTTCCTAAATGGGTGAGTGTCTGAGCGTACCTAGATGGTGATGCCTGCATCGCAGCCGCTTCCCCGGTTAGGGTACTAGGTCTATGTGCCGGCGTAAGCCTTTCATTCGCGTGGGTGTTATGCTGACAGTAGATGACGTTGTGCCGAGTGGGATACAAACGGTTATTGTTGTATCACTCATCAGGCTGTTCGATGGGCGTAACAATCAGCTACATCATACCTTCAAGGAGCTGGTGACTTACTGGTTTGGCGACTATTATTGTTGTCGTCTTCGTCAGTCAAACAATTCCACACGCTGAGAATGGCTCTATAGATGATCAAGTTCGCTGTGTGTTTCGTCGTCACCGCCCAGTCTCATGCTGTCCGTGTGATATGTCAAGTCGTCCGTGTTTATGAGAGGTCTCTGCTTATCGCGACTATGCCATTGCACACCGAATCATGCCGTTGCGACTGCTGTAGTCGAGCCATGTTGTCGCGGCGAGCCAGGCCGGAGCATTTACGGGGAACCGGGATGGGTGCATGCTCGTTGCTGGGAACAGAAAGAGGCATGTATCATCACACGATACCATGCTTCCCATGAAACCTGTTCTCGTTGACGGATGAAGGTAATGCGAAGGACGATAACGGAGCTGTAGATCTTCCCATGACGTGAATGCCAACGTCCGTTGCGTAAGAGTCCCGCTTGCGTATAGACTCGTCCATGGCGAAGACGGGGAGAGTAAGGTCTGCCGTTTCGAAAGAGCTACTCAGACCTGAAAGTGTGAAACGGATCTTGAATTCGAAAAGGTCACGACAACTGTTCCGATGGATCTGAATTACTGGATACGCAGAGCTCCTGCTAGAGCATGATCACACCCGAGGTTGCATTACAACATCGTACTTACAACCATACATAGACTCGAAGACCGGAGAACATCGGAGAAACAGCATCAAACCGCGACGATCCTCGATCCCAATGAATTAACCCCTTCCTAACTGCATGCGCACGCCGCAGGAACACGAGCGCCTCCCTGCGCAGTCAGTACGTCAACACTTGGCGAACACTCTCGTACGAAAGGATCTCAACACACGCGCGACATCAAAATGATGGTGTGCTACCCCACGATTTGCGTAAAGGGAACTAGGGTTGTTTGCTAAAGGATTCAAACATGGTCAAGCGAGCGAGTTGTTGAGCTAGTGTCTCGGTTAAGATTCCGATGTGACTGGATTGGCGGGATAGGGTGGATTGGTGGAACATCTAGGGTTTTCTCGGACCGACTAAGGGAATGTTATGTCATGGGGAGGGTTTGGGAGGGTGTTGTTGAGGAGGGCGGGTTGTGATCGAGGACTGATACCTTGGCTATAGTATGGGGTGTTAAGAAAGATGATTGCGGGATGTCGGTCGTTGTACATGCCTGGACGCGGGGTTTCTGTGAAGCGGTCTTGGTAAGCAATGAATTCGTGACGAATTGTTAAACCGGGATTGAGGCTCGCGGATTGTTGAGAGTACATGTTGTTTTCCTGGATCAAAATAAGTTACAGTCACCAACAGATCGACTCTGGGAAGCGATACGTGGGGTCATGAAGGCCGCATCAAATGCCGCATTCTCTACCGCTGTCATAGGGTCCGCGTCTCCGCTACCTCAGGCAACGTTCGTGGATGTATTAGGCCTCGAGCAGCCTATTCTTCTCACAAAGAGTGCCTCTGTATGTTTACTAGAGTATATTTCCGTGGCCGCGGAAAGAGTCAAGCATTTCCACGTAAAAGTGACGATTCCCGTATTGTTGAGAAAGCTGCGATGCGAATTGCGGACCTTAGCGCACTATGTGTACACGCCGCAAACGCGGCGTTGCTGATGGAATCCGCATGGCCTACCTTAACAGGCTCGCGTCCGGATCCAGGATACCTTGCTCGCTTGAACCGTAGTGCATATCGGTGGCGTGAGCCATTGTCGTGAACACTATGTCTCATCAACACTGCCTGTTTACTTGTGTGCATGCAGTTGACGGCCTTGAGGACCCTTCTCTAGGCATGGAGGAATGACATAGCTCATTCCTCCTATCATGGTTGCGAAAGACCCATAGGTCTTACCGCAAAGCTCGGCGTAGAGTAATGTGACGTCTCGGGGACGCTGCAGACAACCCTGGGTGGCCATCGCAAAGCGCGCATACGACGTGGGTTTTTATGAATCGTGGATCACAACCACGCGATTCGTAGGGTCGAGACAAGGCCGCCTCTTTTGCTGATAACTAAGATGTATCAGTACACCGTCAGACATTCAAGGGCAAAATCTGCAATTCGTGGAACCTTAGAACCGTCAGGCGTGGGATGATCGGTAGTCTTCTCACCTTCTCACCGTTCAGATATTCCGATCAATTACCATGATCAATGTTGAGGAGGCGAGAGCGTCCGAAAAGATCTCAACTACGGGACTGAGGTTGAGTCGGAAGCGCCTGGATATACTTGGCATCCCACGTTCATGGCTGTATCAGGTAGAAGAGCGTGCGACCAGGTACGAGAATCCCACACGATCGACTCGGTGCGATCGGTTGTGGCTCTTCAGACCGAATCAGGAACGAACGGCATGGCGTGGCAAACAGGCTGTGCTGCAACTGCCGTTGTACGGTGAGCCTTTGCTACTGTGGACCGTGAATAGCAGACGACCCCCACGGTCGACAAGAGATCGACGAACTATAGCTAAAGCAGACGGCACGGTAGCTGTACCCATCGTTTTCTTGGTAGTTGCTGTTAACCGAGGCTAGTGCAGAGTCCAACGGTGTATTCGATGATGTATCGGACATGTCCGCTACCATGCATACGCTCGTCACGACGTCTGAGTTTTGCAGCCCAAGCTGACTTCTGCTGATCCCATATGTGATGATAGAGAAGTAATTGTTGGACTGAACTGTGCCACAGTGACGTCTACTCAATCATTCCTGGAGTATCACCTGCTGACAGAGCTAGAACTCGATCAGACCACATACTCCTTGCTCACTGCATCGGTCTCGGAAGGGGCGAGCGAGGGCCTGGTCCCAGTGAATCGCATATGACCCGCATGGTGTGGGCTGACCCCTCACCCCTCATCAGCACTAAATCCGGTGCGGCGATGTTGCCGAGATGTCGGACGAAGTTGCTTGAGGTGAGCTTTTCAGATGCTGAAGTGGATCTTTCATATTTTCCTTGCTCTTTTGCTGCGTTTGTGTGTGACTAGAATCGTATTGTGGAGAAAGAAAAGGAATTCTGGCCAAGAAACTATCCTCAGGACCCACCCCTTGATACCCGTGACTGCAGCGTTACCCTGGTCGGTACACGAGATACTTCAAGGGCATCATCACAAGACCGCGGATGCTGATGGAAATGGGCGTAACTGACGTACACCCTGCAAGATGAGCGGATGGCTTAAACCTCCACAGACCTCGGGCATCATCCAAGACGGCAGTACCCAGTATTACGTGCATGATTCCAGGGCCTCAGTGCATGAAAAGGCAATACAACGACGCACAAGACGTGATCGCGAGGGCAACTGGGCATCATGCAAGTCAGAGGCCTGGTGCGGCGGCAGGTCGAAGGTGTGCGGCTTGTGGTCGAACGTGGTAAGAAGGCGGGGAACCAAGTCTCCAGGATCGCCAATTTGTGGGGTAATAGCGTCGTCGTTGATGGCCGCATGGTCGGCTCACGCTCGGTTTGCGACGAGGCTGTGTGCGTCCGCGCGAACATCCATGGATTACAGTTGTTTTGCAGAAGAGAATGCCATCGAGAGATCCATTAATGCCGCTACGGAACCACTGCATACAGCTTGCGGCAACGCCAGTAAAACTCTTCATCCTCGTGCCGCTAGATTGTGGATTTCGCATGACTTGAACGTCGCGGAATACACTTTCGGGTCATTGTAATCGGAACCGATTGGATAGAGCGAGACATCGAGGGTGTCGGGCGAAAGAGATCAGTCCAAGTATTCGACGATGCGGATTAAAGTTCGCAGTGTTTTCGAGTGCCGAAGCGAATTGCCACGGCATCGCGTGGGGGCACGACCAGACAAAGATCCACCGAAAATCAGGTACGATGAGCGAGGCGTCTCAAGCATCATCCTTCTCGCATTTGAACCCAAGTCGTGGAAACAAAAGCAATACGCGAGAACATGCTGAGGGCTTTTGTCCCTGCTGCAGTTGCCGGAACGGCGCTCGGCACATTGCGGCAATGCTTTTGCTCATGGTGGCACTGGATTGATGCTTTTCGCGTTGGAATGTGGTCGTTGGCTTGCACATGCAGCAGTGCAAACACCTTCCATGTGCGGATTGGTGGGTATACGAACCAGATAATGTCGTGTACACAGCACGACTCGTACACAATCGCCCTTGCGGAAACATGTTGTGTGAAGAGCCTCAAGGTTTGAGCTATGGCCAGACCCCGCCACCAAGAGTAATGGGCGTGGGGTGAGATATCTCGAGCGATCGGCGTCGTCATCCTGGCCAGGCTCTGTAATGATGAGACATGGGCTGCCTCTGATAAGTTCGCTATTTTGGTCCGTTTTTGGTGGCCCTATGGCGGTCGGCTATGGATGACTGCCTCGGTGCGGATATTGCATGGCCTTGTGACGAGCTTCTCCTTCATGCTGTCTGCCACGTCTTGCAGCACCGCTGGAATCCTTTCATTTCTCTTACCCTTTGCATTGCTCTACTGCACGTCCGAGTGGTCGCCGAGCTCGACGGCTGAACCGACTGGGACCACGATGGGCAAGACGGGGCGGCCGGGGTTGCTGAACGGAATCAGATGATGCGAATAGGCCGGCCACGATTCCCCCACCCCCACACTAACACCCCCGAACGGTATCCGTTAACGCTCTTTCGAGCCCGCCGACCCTTCGCATGGTGCCAGCTGTGGCGAGAATTACCCTATCAGCATGCAGCCAGGATTCCAAAAGATCGTCACAAGGCGTGCCCCCCTTGCACTTCACGTCCGGCCAAGATCCGATGTTCACAGCCTCTCACCCCCTGCTCGCTTGCTGCAACGTGAGCAAAAAAGCAAACGCCGCTTCAATCAGCAATCCTCGCTGCGTTTATTGGCCACGCGCAACCCCTACAGCTAAGCGCAAACAGCTGTGCCTGGTATCGGCTACGTGCAGAGCAGTGCCTCGAGCAGGCTGCGGAAGTCACCGCCCCTTTGGTCGTCACCAAAGATGCCTGCTCATCTCTTACGGATGCACTTCACGCACCTTGCTTTGCCTGCCGTCACTAGCACTCCTGACAACGCCGTCAGCTGGACCCCCACACTCCCCATTGCAAGGTCAAGTGTCCGGCGTTTGAAAATATTTAAGTACCTGTACTATCCTCGGGGTGTTACCAAACATCGATCAACCATTGACGTATTCGTTCCGTTCGTCGTTGCTGCGTTCCGCTTATTCTTTGTCAAAAGTCCCGCTTCTCTCTGCAAGCTTTTGTTAGTATAAAAGTCTACTAGACCTCCACGTTCGAACTCTTCTTATCATGTCACCGCACACCGACGCACCTTCTCCTGCAAATAGCTTCGTTCAAGATTCTGGCTTCCACCATCCTGTCCAATCCGTCTACACCATGAACCGATACACCGACTTCGATACCAGCTCGATGGAGTCTACTGATGTTGGCATTCGGCGATCATTGATTCCTGGCATCTACGTTCCTACCGTAGCGTTCTTTGAACCAACCTCGGATAACGTAGACGTCGAGACTACCGCCAGCCACGCCGTTCGTCTAGCCAAAGCCGGTGTTGCTGGTATCACTACTCAAGGATCCAATGGCGAGGCTGTCCACCTCTCTCACAAGGAACGCGATCTCATTACAAACACCACCCGCAAAGCTCTCGATGACGCAGGCTTTGGTTACATGCCTGTAATCGTCGGATGTGGTGCTCAGTCGACCCGGGAATGCATCGAGCTCTGCGAAGAGGCAGCCTCCGCTGGCGGAGACTATGCCTTGGTGCTTCCACCAGCATACTACCAGGGCTTGTTCTCGAAGGAGACCGTAAAGGAATTCTTCCAGGATGTAGCCACTGCTTCGCCCATCCCCATACTCATTTACAACTACCCTGGTGCCGTTTCTGGAATGGATCTCAACTCAGATATCATCATCGAGCTGGCTCAACATCCCAACATTGTCGGTTGCAAGTTAACCTGTGGCAACACAGGAAAACTCAACCGCATCGCAGCGGCGACACGAGCAGCCACTGTCTCTGATCCTGGATCTGGTTTCATGTGCATGGGCGGATCCGTCGACTTCACACTGCAAACATTGGTCGGAGGCGGTTCCGGTATCATTGGCGGCATGGCCAACATCGCACCCAAGACATGCGTCAAGCTTGTGGAGTTATTCGAAGCTGGCAAGCTCGCGGAGGCCCGTAAGCTCCAAGCGATAGTAGCCCGAGGCGACTGGGCTGCCATCCAGGGTGGTATCATCGGCACCAAGGCCGGATTGATGGCTCACTTCGGCTACGGAGGATATGCTCGCAAGCCCCTCCCCAGGCCTGGCAAGGACGAAGTCCGCAGGTGGCGAGATGCATTTGACGAACTCGTCAAGACTGAGAACTCTCTCTGAGTTATGCACGCAAACACGATGTCTCCCTCTTTCTATCAAAAGAGGTCATGACGCCGCGGTGCACACACTGTTGTTTCCGAGCATCCTCTCGCATTGCTCTTGGCGTTGAGCGCACTTTTGCATATTTCTAGCGGCGTTGTCTCAATTTGGTCGTTGCTTTGTTCACAGTCAGTATGGTGGGCGTTATCTGTCGTTACGAGGCTGCAAAAAGCAATTTGGTATCCCTGCAGACGTCATTACCAGCAGCGCCTGTGCGACGCTCCGAGCCTTCCAGTGGCTACTTCTCGTTTTCTGTAAGCGTCCGTTTAGCTTCGCATAGCAGTCAGTGGGTGGATATTTGATCAAGTTGTATTCCCGGTCTGTTCGGACCTGTCAGTATTGTAGCAAAGTTGAATCCAAAACCTTCATGAATCGCCCTTCATGGTAATCGCACGACAATGCAATGCTCGTCCGTGCTGTCATCCTGTCTTGCGCACTCGTCCATAATCTCTCTGCTCATCCAATAGCAGCGCAGTAGGTCTTTGCGAGAGCTCGGCCTTGATGTTTGCCATGATTGGAGTGGCGTATTTGCATGATCCTTAAGCCACTGACCAATGTAGCACATGGAACGGCTGGTACTACCCCCACGAAAGAGGGCGAACAAACTTTCCGATACATCTTCTCAGCCACATCCGAAGAGCCGGGGAGTGTGTCAGGCTTATGCACTTTCTGCTCAAAAGACATGCATCCTGCCGTTATGGTTCGCCCAAATTCTGCGACGTTCAGAAAGTATCAGTGCCGACTTCCGCCGTGGAACGACGTTTCACTAAACAGAGACCACGAAACGTCCTGAGATTGTATTCCGAGAAGGCTGCAGTGACCGGGTGGCCAGTCGCTGACAAGCATCGCAGACGAGCCTGCTTTGAGGATGGTTATGCCATACCTCGCCAACACGATACTCGATGGCGAGTGCGACCACTCATAATAGCGACGACATTGAGAATCTGCAGTCAGCCGTGTAAGCCAATCGGTGTCTTTACATCGTGCCCTATCCGCGTGGCGTTGGTGTTGCTTCTGCCTAAAAGTAGCGAATACAATTCGCAGATAACGGTGTCGCTGTGCTCTGTCTCAGTCCGCTACGGAATTGAGCGGCTGACAGCACTATCGCTACCCAAAGATTGTGATAGGAACCTTGCTGAAACTTGTACGTCTGACAACATCGTCCGGTGAGCAAGCCTTGATCATCAGCAGTCCCAGTCACCGCTACTCTGGCCTCATCCCACGTTCAGGCGCTTAGCGTTCCAGCATGATGGTAGGGCAACATGGCACGTCCCGTCTTACACACGCCTGACGGGACCGTATCTCGTGTAACATCCCACGGCGCTGAGTGCATGGAAATACTTGAACTCTGCATAGCTGAGGCTTTCGATGCGATGCGCGCGTGCAGTGAGGCGAGCCAGGGCTGACGCAGGCTACCGTTGAGGATTGGGGTAGGTGCGGTGTGTTGCTTGCATGCTGAGAGCCGTTGTGTGCGACGGTCATATGAGAGCTGAAGGAAAATGAGTGGGTTGGATGAGGACAGGAAGCAAATCAGCGAGTTAAGGAGAGACCCCCAGATGTCAGAATGGTGTGATCGTCTCGTACGGTGCCTGATTGGGAATGGTCAGAGCAGGTCAGCAACAGACGCGGCAGCGATGTTCAGCAGTCATGACCTTGCATACAGAACATGGATGTCATGATCGACTAAGCATGAAGTATTAAAGATGCTCTTTTGTATGTTACACTATTTACAAGGCGTTTACCTGCCTTGGCCCTTGGACTTTCCACCGAAGCCAGGACCCCGCTTAGCTCCGCGACCCTTAGCGAGCTTGACGGTGAACGCACCACGCTCGATGGTGTTGACTAGGATGTATCCAGAGGGGAACAAGAAGTGAGACCAGGTACCAACGAACTGAACGATTCCACCAACAGAGTCATCCTCGGGGTAGATATCGAAGAAGCCCTCGGTCTTCACGCCCTTGCCGGTGGGGTCCTTGCTAATGCTGCGGACATCGTGTACCCAGATACCAGCGCCGTAGTTACTCTGGTAGGCGAGTCCATCGACAATGTAGAGGTTGTGGTCGATACCCTTGCTGTCGGTGGCGTAGAAAGTGCCCGTGGCCTTGGGGTTGCGGAGGTCGGTGAGGTCGATGATGTGGGTGACGGGGCGGCCGGACGCAGCGGGACCGACAGCTTCCTGCTCATCAAGCTCGTCGTTCAAGAGAACGTACTGGTGCCAGTTGCGCTCAGTCCACCATCCTTGATGGCAGTAGGTAGCACCGGGGTAAGAGAGGGTGGAGATGACCTCGGAGGCGGGGTTTCCGTTCTTCATGGTAGAGTCGTAGACGGTCATGGTGTCCTCGTTGTAGCCGATGCAGATGTTGCGGCCGCGGAACTTTCGGTCAGGGCCGTTGTAGGTCACACACTGGGCGTCGTGAACATATCCGTCCTGGCTAGCACAACCGGGAGAGGTTGGCTTGCTGGGGTTCTTGAGGTCAATGTACTGGAGACCAGCCTTGCAGGTCTGGTTTCGGGGCTGGGCACCGACAGCGAGGATGTACTCGTTATCCCAGTCAACAACAACGTTGTGGGTGCGGCCGATGGGCAGTTCGTCCCACAGACCAACGAGGTCGGCCTTGGGGTCGAATGTCTTGGGGGTCTTTGGGTCGACATCCAAGAGCTTCTTCATGTCGAAGATCTGAACGTTGTGACCAACGGCCTCTGAGCCGATGATGACATAGTCGTTCAGTACGCGAATCTCGCGCCATCGCGAACCCACACTTTGTGCGGGGAGACGACCCATGTACTGGATTTGACCGTCCTTGAGAATCTCAACGAACGCAGCACCGGAGAATTGGCCTACGATACCGAACTCGCGGCCGTTGCGAGCGGTCCAGCCCCATGAAGAGCTACCTTGGCCTTCAGGGCCTCCCATGTCGGCGTGATTGACAAAGTCGTAGAGGTCCATGTTGTTACACCTGAACGTCTGGTTCGCATTGCCCTGCTCGACGATGGCGAGACCATCCTTGCATTGAACACGCTTGGCCTTGTCGGGTCCATGAGGTCCCTTCTTCAAGTTCTTGAAAGACTTCCACTGCTGGGAGTCTTGCTTGCCTTGGGCTGCGTCAACTTCCCATTGGTCCTAGAAGTTGTTAGTAGCTGATCGTCAGGCGAATGAAGCAAAGTATAAACATACACTCTTCAACTTCATCAATTTCTGATGAATTGCGCCAGAGGCATACTCCGACTTGGAGTAGTGCGCAGCCTGGACCGCAACTGGGAGTGCCAACACAGCGAGTGAGAACTTCATCTTGACGAGCTAAGAGAAGGATTGAGCTGGAATGAGCACGTTTCCTATGCAGCTTAACAGGTATATATATGAGTGTGGTACCCTCATGATGCAAGATTTCGCCCTTGACCATTGCCATGCCACACGACCATTCAGTACCATGTTACCGTCTTGGTACAGCAATATACTCTGGGCATCCGTTGGCATCCATACTCCATGCGGAAGGTCAGGACTACCATTCCGCTAACTTGATAGGGAAGGTGTCTATACACTCCTTGAGTGGAGTACTGTCGCCAAGCAGCGAAATCCGTATACACATGGTGCGCCACAGATATCCGGCTTGGTACTCTCGGGACTGTCAAGAGGCGGCCTCGGGAAAGGAGCGAACATCATTGCCACGGCCCGCTAGCGGAGTCCAAGAACTTCCAAGGCGTCTGGGCATGCGGACTAATATACAACACCTGGACGAGAGGTGTTCGCAGCCAGACCCTAGAGGAGATAAGAGGAAGGGGATCATAGAAAAGGGAATGTGCGAACTTAGTCTGCGCATGGTGGTGCTCGGCGGCATGAGATCTTGAATTGAACCTACCACGAGCGGAAAGCGTCCGTGCCAAAGAAACGCCTCTGCGATATACGGTCGAGCGCGAGCGGGACCAGAGAGGGCCTTCGTACTCGCTGCAAACGCGCGGAAGAAAGAAACAATTATTCGCGCAACTCCGACAGGGGCGATAGTCAACAAGCGCATGAACGCCGTAATAGGCAGGGGCAAGCAGACGCTGGGCTTGGGGATGCGCGCCCTACAGAGGCCACAACAGTTGTTAGCAGAGAGCAACGTCTATTCGGAAATATGTTGTATTCTCGTATCTTTGTTTGGCAAGTAATGCACGAATGTTGAGATGTCGGGGTCGTAGTGCTGTCGCGTGAAGGGAGAAGAAACGAGCCTGAAATCAAAATCAGTATTACGTCATCAGGCTGCAGGACGCGACGCGACGCCGCTCCCCTCAACTTTCTTGACGATTGATGCCACCCTCCCAGGCGGATGTTGACCGCCGTGCACATGCAGCGAAATCCATCATCGCAACCAGCTCAATCAATTGCGTGCTCAGCTAGTGATTGCACTCCCGTACAACGACGCTTCTGCGACTGGCTACCTTGCTGCTGTCACACTCCGACAGAGACGCGCCCAGGATATGTGTAGGCAAAGCCGGGAAGGGCACTGGTAACGGGGTAATCGACAAGCATCTTACATTGTTACTGAACTACTAACTTGGAGAAGACGCTCCTTCATTACACACCAGGCCCAAAACGCAGTCAGGTCAATATTAAGACTCTAGCACACACCGAAAGTTACAAACAACTTGATGTACTCCCCGTCATAAACCTCGCCGTGAAAGATACGTAACGAATCTCCATACCAAACCAGCGTTCAAAAACTGCATTTACAGCATGGACGCTTCGGCGCGACCTTGGTGCCAGCCTTTCCCACTTGCGGTGGTAGATACAATGAGAGATCGCTTTCACCAGTCCTAGGATCAAGGAATGCCTCTACCGGAACATGGCAACACTTTAGCCTCGGAAAGTCTCGGAAAGATCCCAGGGTATCAATTTCTCGACCGTCAGGATACACCAGGTCTAGGATGTCTTTGTCGCTATCGTCGGTCGCATACACTGCTTCTAAGGAGTGTTGGTGTCTCCTAAACGCATTACCCAGGAGTTTCCAGGAATGCTTGGGCCATATTGATAAAGGATTGCCTTCTACGGCGAATGGCTCCCACCTCTCGGTACTGCGGTGGTACTCAAAGCTGTGGAGGGCCTTGACCGCGAGCAGCGTTTGCGCAAGAGCAGAAATATCCATCATGGCGTCGTCCAGGCAAAGTTTCCGTATGGAGCTGCTCGACTCGGGAACCGACCAGTTCTTGAAAGGTGTTGTTTGATATACCTCCCTGAGGGTAAGTGATTCGAGAGAGGGAAGACGGAACACACAGGAAAGCTCATCCACCGAGAGATTGCTGGCTATGATGGTAAGGCCCTTAAGCTTAGCGAATCGATTGACATTGCCAAGGACGGGTCGCGCAACAGCGCTGTTCAGGGTCTGCAACCATCCCAAGGTGTGCGCAAGCTCATCATGTTTGGTGGGCCGGTCACGCCACTCTGTCAAGCGAATGTATCGGACGTCGTGTGCGTTGGCAAGGATCTTGATGAATGTTTCCCTTTTGACGCTCTCAACTGATTTTTCGTAAAAATCGAGACCAATATAGCGAGCATGCCTGGGGAGCAGAGCGTTTCTAGCGATCGCCGCTGCTCTGACACATTCCGACTCAGATTCATCGACGTCTATAATCTTGTACAACACCACCTCTGCGATTCGCTTGCAGCGCTTATCCGTGAGACACAGCATCGAGAGTGCCTTGTCACCGCCGTTCTCTTTCACATCCTCCATGATCTCCAGGACAAGCTCTTCCGGTAAACCACCCAGACGCGCTTGTCGATTCTTGGGTACGATATAGAGGCCTGGGCTGCTGGGGCCTTCGTGGTTCGTTGCTTCATGGGAGACCTTGACGGAGATGGAGACGGATCGTGTGCGCTTGGACGCTGAGGCTTGCGCGAGTGAAGCCTTGCGCTTCTGCGGCGTCGAGACGGTAGCTGGCGCCATGGCGGTGGCGGGTTCGAGCGGATGTGCACCTCCTACAGCGCCGATGCAGGCTCCGGGGTGAGGTATGCAAGTGTTGTAAGGGGTACAATTAATCTGGCAAAGCTGTATAACCGACCAACACTTGCGTGGAAAGAGTTGGTCGCCGACACGAAAGTGAATGGTCGTGGTGGTGAGAGGAAGTCAAGAACTTGGAACACGAACGGGAAGAAAACAACAACAAAACGCGTCGATGCGCGCCCTTCACGCGCGTCACCGGGTGCATGATCACTCACGGTGAGGACCCCGAGTGCGCGCGGAGGTGCGAGAGGAAAACGCGGCGCTGGCCAATTGGGAAGTCACAACAGTGATGTGAAGGGGAACATTCACCTCACCGCCGCTGATCGGGCGTTTGGAGAGTGCACAATGTGCGCGCGCATGGTCAAGTCATTAAGAGATGGGTATGTGAAGTGTGTGTAGTATTGACCGCTAATGCATCAGGTTTGCCGATGTCGCTGCTCGGACGATACCTCGATGAGTATCATCTCTGCCATATGCTCATAAAGAAGACATCCAGCCAAAGACAAGGCTGGCGGCCGGATAACCAACTATTCCCAGACCCATCCTAGTTTTTCTGCCCAGTACTCTCCGGTTCCGCGAACATATGTGTATTCATCAATTTCCTCATCATATCCCATGAGCGCCAAACTACCAATGGCGATCAGCTGCTCAACGGATCTCTCTTCGAGAAAATCGTCCACTCGATCTTCTCCCTGCTCTTGGCTCACGTATATCATTCTGAACGTAAACCTTCCCAGCGTGTATGGAAGCAGTGCAGTCTCTGTATGGAGCTGGCGACAGGTGAACAGTAACCCTAGGTCGTTCTCTTTGGCTAAGTTCCTCCGCGCGGCAGGGGTCCAGTTTTCGAACGTCCACTTGTTGCCGCTGAATACATAGGTGTAGATCAAATTACGTAGATCGCCTGGTAAGCGGGGAAGAGGCGAGTTAGTAGCGTTGGCTTCAGTGCTACAAACAATCCTTTAGCTCTCGAAACGGCAGAAATCGGGTGACTTACATCTTGTCGCGACGAGCTTGCTTGGCAGCCCTGTCGTGAGCTTTATCATCGCGCTTCTTCTTTACTGCGGGCTGGGTGTTGAGAGGAGAAAGCATCGCTGAGCGCTTTCATGACATCTTGGTGTGTTGTGCTGCGTGTAGTGTAATATGGGCGAGGGGGTCGGTTGGATGTGGAGGGGAGTAGAAGTGGGTTGGGAGCAGACTGCCAGACTGGTATAGGTGCGGCATTCTCTACTAAGCTAGTGGCTGCAGAGAGCGACGACAATAGAGAGTCACGCATGTGATTTACATTTGCCAGGTTTCACCGTCCCTCGCTACCCCATTCCTTCACTTTGAAGCTTCCCCAATTCAGACATACAGTAGCTCTCTCGTTATGATCTAGAAAGTCTAGAAGAGATCCTATTCATGTTGTCCATACAAGCCTGTCATCCCCTCTAAGGTAATTTCTTGCCAAGATTTAAGACACCCCTCTTATTAGCCCAGTATAGTCCGGATCCATCGAGGATCTTCCAAGGATCTTCATAAGCATACAGATAGGCCTGCAAACTGACGATTGCTTTGATCTGTTGTAACGACCGCTTTTCAAGAAACTTCCCGATGTGTGGAAGCCAGAGCATGTCTGGGTAGCTTCCTTCGAAGTGGAAGCAAATCGTACCAAGCTGATACGGAAGTAAGGCAGTTTCGGCGTGCAGCTGTCGGGAGACGAGGAGAAGACCCATGTTGTTGCGCTTCAAGGATCCTGCACAGATAATAGGGCCAGTGATCCCTGCATCGATGCGGTATTCTTGGAAGCTGAAGACGTAGGTGTAGATCATGGTTCGCAATTCAGCTGGTAGCCGAAGGAGAGGCGAATTGACCGCGTTCAGTTCGGTACTGGAGTTGGCATTAGTCACATTGCTTGCAGCAGTTTCGGTGGTACCTACGTTCGATCGAAGAAGCCTGGATCCCGAGTCGCAGTCCTTCGACAGGCCCTTACATCGCGCCTCTTGTTCGCAGACATCTGACTGGCTGAGGATGGCGCTGCGCGCTTTCGTGACGCCATGATGCACCTAAGTTGATGTGGTAAGAGTGAGGCGACTGCGCGATAGAATGGACCGTGGACGGTGTAAGCAGTTCGGATGTGGAATGCAGCTAGCGTTGTTGTTTGACTAGCTGCCTCAAAGGGGACAGTGCGCGTCCGACCACGTTGCTCATCCCGAGGCGCATGTCAGATTTCACCCTTCATTGCCGTTCTCCGGTCGCCGTCTGATGTTTCATACAGCAAGGCTGGAGAGAAATGAATTGCGTTCGTGGAAGGGTCAACTACTATGGATATTCTCACCATTGTACTTACATGCTTTCAATTGAAAGGGATGCACTACTACAATGACCAACTACGATTGTTGAGATATCATTCATAGGGCCAATTAACCCCGCATGCATGCATTTACGCTCCTCCAAGGGTCTCAGATCTTCCCCAATCTGCGTCTAAAATATTCCGGTGTCTACGCCTTCACATCATTCCTAGCGGATGCGTCAGCCCACTGCACCCCAGTACCACAACACGGCCTATTGTCTTTAATCTCGAGGTCAAACCCAATGCCATCTATCTCACCCATAGCTCTGAGCTGTTCCTTCGATCTTCTGCCAATGAACGCCTTCATGTGAACTTCCCATGGGCTTTCCGGCCTACAGAGATAGAAGGCGAATCTTCCGAGTTTATATGGAAGCGTCGCGGTTTTGGCGTGGAGCTGGCGCGAAGTGGCTAGTAAGGCTAGACTGCACTCTTAGAACAAATATGGCTGATTGGGATCAAAGATTAGGTCGTTGTTGAAACCTTTGAAGACACAGGCTGTATAGCTAAAGACGTAGGTATAGATTGTGTTGCGTAGCTCGGCGGTTAGGTGGAGAAGGGGCGAGTTCGCTGCATTAAGCTCACTTCTACAAAGTATATCAGTCCTGCATTCGTGAGATTGGGGATTGAGACTCTTACATCTGGTTGCGACGAGCTTGGTCTCGAGGAGTTTGGGAGTCTTCAATACGAGTGCGAGATGACGCGTGCGTCGCGGGTCTAGCGTAGACTTGGTTGTAGAACAAATCCTGGGGGGTAGTGAATCTTGAAGGCGCCATGTTGTGCTGCGTTGGGGGCTTCGGCGTCAATGGGAAAAGTACTGGTGAAAGGAGAGGAGAGGAGGTAGAATAGAAGTAGTGTAAGGAGTATTGTTAAAGTGGCATACAAAGGCGCACTCTAGCTGGTAGCTAGCCGAAAAGCTGAGCGAGCTTAAGACTAGAGCGATCGATCAGAGAGGGTCTCTTGTCATTCACTCTTACAATGCGGATGCTCTTCGCCTGCGTTGTATTAACAAAGACACTTTGAGTGGAATTTACACTGTTTGGAAAGGATATGCCTTGGCTGACGCAGGGCACATAGTGTGAATTGATCGAATGGGCTAGTGGCGACGTTGCTGCTCTGATATGACCTCCGAGTGCCGCAATCTTGGTACGCCAACTCAACAAGCTGATGCAAGTACTCAGTGTATGACCGCCAAACACTTACTTCTGATTGCGTCTTCGCGAGGAGCACGTTGCCGCACGCTGTTCAGAGCATGATGCTGGGTTGTTCTCCATGCACTTCCCCATACCCACGTCTCTGATTGCGATAAGCAAAATGACAGACGCTTTAGAATTTGGTGGGACGTCTTGTGAGCTAACCCACGAAGGCCTGATGCTGTGCGATAGAGCGCCATAAGTTGTTGCTGCTTCAGATCTCGAAGTACTGCGCTGACCTCTGTTAACAGAAGCGCCTTCCTGCCTTGCCCGTGACTACTGGCATGCAAGTAGTGACATACATCTGGTATGCAGCACTAAAGGGTAGAACTCCCAGAACTCGCTTGTATGGCGAGTTGTCTTTCCTTCCTGGGCGCACCAATGGGGTCGTAGGGACGCTACGACCTTTTATTTTGCAATCTTTATAGTATCAAAATCGCTGTTGGTGCGAGGGCCAGTGTTTTGATGATTGCGAATCGTTTGGCATCGAGCGAGGCGTATGCGTCGATGCTGGTCGCGTTCGCGAGCGGGGATCTCGATAACGTGGAAGATGGTCAGCTCTGGGGAGCGTGCGGAAGCAATCTAGTAGTTAGTGGCATGAGATGTAACCTTTCAAGGCACAGGCGATGTCCCGTGATGGCTAGACGCCTGCGAGAGCCTGAATCGTCGACGCGTCGACGATGCCGGTTATAACGCGAACGGCGAGCCAAACTTCGCTAGGGCAGATACGGATCATTACCAGATGCGTCATAGCTCTGGCGTAAGGATCTCATTTTAACTCCGTTTGTTCGCCCTTTGCTCTATCGACGTTGCCCAAATAGAGCTCATAGCCTTTCTTCCTACCACCTTAGCCCCCTTCGCATTGTAATCACTTAGTGGAGACGTAGTCCGCACTTCCAGTAACAATGTTGATTAGATCATTCCATCTCTGAAGGAAACGACAGCTCACACAGCCTCGGCGATAGATTTCGCCTTCCTTATTTTGTTATGCCTGGTCTTGTACAAATACCATGCGCCGACGGTGAGCATCGTCAACGGCACCGTCGTTACCACGAAAATCCAGAACTGAGGACTTGCCTGTAAGGAGCCGTCTTCGCTTTTGAAATCGAAAAGATTCATACCAAGGAATGACTAGGTCTTGGAGTCAGAACGCATCAATCATGTGTGTGTCTACTCAGGGGGCTTACAGCCATGAATGAAGCAGGTAGATATATCAAAGTGAAAACAGTGATGACCTTGACGGTAGCATTATCGTCAACACCTTCCTGTGTCAAACGCAGTATTCGCGTGCTTATCTCTCTGGAGTTCGCCTGATTCTCGATATCAAGAAGATTGGTAAGCTGTAGGTAAGTTAGTGGGATTGTATGTTCTGTCAGTTCCCTTCTCCTACCAAACCTAGTGTCGCTTGAACGCGTTGCGCCAGGGTATCTGCTACATTGAGATGACTTTCCAAGCGATGCTCCATGATCTTTAGTTCACGATGTACGCCAATTGACGATTCTCTCAGTGACGGAATATTGGTCGCAAGTGCTGTGTTGATGCTCGTCAAGGTCTGTACAAGAACGATGTTGCTGCGGAGACATTTGCATGCTTTACACGCTATCTTGTCTTCGATGTGCCGAAGCATTTGGAGGCGCTCAGGGTTGATAGCAGGGTTGGCATCTGACTCGCAGATTGCGACTACATCGATGCGTCGTCGCTGTCATGTGTGAGCTTTGCATGTGTTGGGTATGAATCTGCTTACTATCTGCTCCAGATCACTAGCGAGGCTTTCTAGATAATCTTGCCAGTTTGCCAGGTATGACAATAGGATGACGAGATGGACGGTCAATGGATGTTGTGTTAACTGTGCTGTATTCGAAGACTCGACCATTGCTTCCAGCTTTGACTGCGCCACAGCCTCGTCGTTGGGATGGATCACAATAACCTGACTACTACATCGTTCAGATGAGAACTTGTGCGCAACACCCGTTTGCCTGTATGACCAGATGTCCCGTGGAGGTCGTTTCCCATTTCGTTCCACATACATGAACTGATAACATAGCTCTGCAAGAAATCCGTCAGCCTACTTCATACAAGCAATGAGTCCTCACACAAGGTTACAACAGAACGTACCGAAAGATTGATCAGCCGATTGACATATCTGCCGAAAACCTGAAGACTCCTGGAATATCTGAGGCTGATCCCCAAACTTCAGAAGAACATCTACGAACATGCTGGAGATCTGCCAGCTTCTCAATACTGTCAGCATTGTTTCCTTGGAGCACATCAAGGGTGCCAGCGAAAATTCCTGGCATAAGGAACTTTGCTTCGTATCAGCTTAGTCATTCTGTCTGAGATTCCACGGCAACGTACAGAATCCGAAAGTTGTCGTCGCTGGTTTTCATGAGGTGGTCTCCAAGCTCTAACAGGTCTCTCGGACGTAATATTGCATTCCTTCGTGCATCTACATTCCATGAGCATAGTATCCTATTATAGGTGTTAGGGGACATATTGGCTTACCCATGCGGATGAGGCGCACGTCAAATGGCCCCATATCGTCAAATAATCGTTCCTGGTTGGCACATATCCGCTGCAGTGGCACTTCCCAGTCATCAAAAAAAGCATTTCTGCTGGCGAACTCCATGGGCAATTCTGTAAGAAAACCGAGTGAATGAAAGCAGTTGAGCTACTGTCGTTTTCGTCGAGGGGCGCTCGCAGGCTAATGAGATAAGCTGGAAATTCAACAAGGATGAAGCAATGTACGCCTCTGCAGATCGCGGCGGCCAATGGGAACGCTTCCGGTGACCTTCCCAGCATACAGAAGTAACAGTTTGCCCTAATCACATCTTCCCAAAACGCTCGGCTGACTCGCCACGTTTCCGCGAGTCTGCCTTCCTTTCGAGCTCCAATCAGCATTACGAACATCCTCGGGGCCATGTCATACGACAACTGTCATGAGTCCGACTATACGACGAGTTTCAGAGATATATTCGGGAGACTACGTGCGACCACATGTCTTATCTAGGGCAAAAAGGCTATCATGGCTGCGTTCTGTGAGAAGTACAGGTAGCGCTCCGGTGAAGTTTACAAGGTACGATTGCGAGATTGACAAGATCCAGAGGACCACGTGAATTTCCATGACGTAGAGCCAAGACCTTTAGCAAGCCAATCTTTAGCCTAACACCGCCATTCGTCGTTCCACTCGTTAGTCCTACTTCTTCTTCAAGGCGCTACAAAAACCAGTCAGGACATTGGAGTTCGTATTTTCTAAGGAAGGCTCACCGGAGGTCTGCCTGTATTCCATGCCGTCAGTATCCGTGTTGACTGCTACGATAGACTATGCGTATGTACGTACCTCGGGTATCTCCTCTGACGCGTAGAACTCCCACTTATTGCGCTTTTCCTTGGTTGCTCAGCCACCTAAACATATGTGCTTTTACAGCCGAGATATACTTCGATAGCGAACTCATCCACAGACGAGACATTTGGGTACCTCGTCTTCAAGAACGTTTCCAATGTCTTTCTCGATATATATCCCGACGTTCTCTCTTCAACAACATTGTGTATCGGTTGACGAGCCATGTCAGAGTTGTGCTTGGCGCTCAGAGGTCAGCAGGTAATGTTTAGGCGACTGATCAGATAAGGCTGATTCGGACTGCTAACGATGCGGAAAATCAGCCTTGAAAACTAGCCTTAGACATCCGACTGGGCGCATATATATCAGAATGTGACGAACAGAGCCTCAATCGGCTAATGGTTCTGTCATTTGTGCTTCGAGTGTGCGTGGCATGAAGCACGTCGCTGCAACAAGCAGCAGGAGGACTCTCGGTCGCTATTGGCTGACCTGCATCAGGCTGCATATTTGCTTCTTTTCTGGCGTTTTCAGCTCAACCAGCCCGCAATTCGCCTTCCATATCCGGCGGCTGCTGTTCTTACGACGTACCAAGAACATCGCTCGGAGCCTCGTGGGCCGATTCGCAGCCAATCATACGTAGCAGCCCCACACCACACTCTATGCATCATTTATGGTGGAGGCGGAGCCTATGTTGGAGGGCGATAGCTGAGGCATCTGATGTCTGTGGAGTCATCGGTGATTGGGTCCAACGGCTTTCGCATCGCGACACTGCGAAGCAAACGACGGAAAAGCAGCGGAACGTTCTTTGAGGCTGACAGCCTGGAAACCATGACTTGAAAAGAGCGCATATCCCCTGGATCTACCGCGTCTATGCAGTAGGTTTGTAAAACGTTACCCGGCTGTGGCCTGCACTACCTTTCCAACTTCCATTATGGGTCAATGCTTCTCACGCTTGCACGGCAAGCATGATATATCGGCAGCGGTAGCACCTGAGTTCATCCCAGCGACACAAGAACACCCGCGCAACCTTGAACAAACAGACTCAGATTCCACCCGTGCCCAATCGGAAGAGCAGTTCGGTACTGATCCAACAAGCAACGGAACACTACACGCAAAGTCGCAATCTGTCGACATCGACACGATTAGAGGCGACATCTTCGACGCATTGAAGGACGGAATGGTAGGCAAGAGAGGCGAGGACATAATACTCCCTGAGGTTGTGAGAGAGATATGGGCGCAAAACCATCACCGCAAATTCTACATGAACCAAATCTGGTATGACACGAAGTGGGACAAGAACAATTTCATGGAAGAGATGATTCAGATCATGTCAATCTTGATTCGCATCAATTTCCATGATTGGGAGCGCTTTGGCGCAATTTTCATCGACCACAGAGATCGTCGAGATCAGAACCTTCCTTTTGACTTGAAGAGGTTGCAGGAGGAGGGCTTCTTGGGAAGACTCGAGGGAGCGCTCTTCCACGAGACCCAGTTCGCGTTCTGTCCCGTTCTGATCCCAGAGCAGGAAGACGAGTTCATACTGGATAAGGAAAAGCGGCTTCCCTGGATCGATGAACCCAGATTCGTGGAGAAAGGCGGCTATGGAGAAGTCAACAAGCGAACAGTCGCGAAGGGGTTTTTGCGCTTTCAAAATCGCACCACGAATCTCGAAGTAAGTTGCCACTGTCAGGTTAAAGCTTCTCGCGCGTTGCTAATCTCTCCAATAGCCCAGAGCTGTTGCAGTGAAGACATTATCCGGGAATGTTGCACTCAAAGAAGAGTTCAAGAACTTGAAGGAGCTACGCGAATGCCTCAGTGCCCATACACGGATCATGGTCAATCTTGTTACGATGGTAGACAAGTCAGGCCCAACAAACATTTATCACATTGTTTACGAACTCGCCGCGTACGATCTCAATGTCTTCTTAACCACGATGCGCTATAATCTGAGGAAGATACGCCACGCGACAGCCACACCAGAAAGAACAGGTTCCGCCAATATGTGGCCCGGTGATCTGATTTCAGAAAGCGTTAATCTCGCCGATGCATTGGATTATCTTCATAACCGACTGATCTCCTCCAAGCTACATTCGTCGCTCTCCCACAACGACATCAAACCAGAAAATATCTTAGTGGTCTATCCTGAAACAACCAGCGAGAATGATCTGTACCCCGTGGGGCAATGGAAACTCGCGGACTTTGGGCTGTCGAAAATGAAGCCCAAGCGATTATCTGGTGGCCACAGCAGACACTTGAGTGCAGGTAACGCTCCGTTGGTTTCTTCCTATCCACAGAAAACGCACAGAACCGAGAGACCGAAATCTGTTTCCAACGCTATACCTGAAAGATACCCGGGAATGTACACGGCACCGGAGCTGGATCAGGAAACCCCCCAAAAGACAGATTGCAGGAGTGCGGATGTATGGTCTTTCGGATGCGTTCTCTCTGAGATTGTCACCTACGCTGTCAACTTAGACTTTCGTCATGTGGAAACTTTTCGCGAGTCACTGTTGCAGAGTATCCCAGCGGATCCAAAGTTCTATAATAAATCATCCAAGGAAGTCAAGCCGGAGTTCCACAGCCATCTTGCCAGCCTACCGGACAGTGCACCAGAAATCACGCGCATTCCGAGAGATAACCCATGGACAACCCAGTGCGTCGATCTCATCAAACGAATTGTGGTCAAGGAGCCCAATAATCGACTGGGCCCAGGTAAGATCCGACTAGAGCTTAGTCAGATCGGAAAATCCATGTACAGCGGAAAAGAGGAATGGCTAAGCCATAGCTTGCCACCACTAAGTGTGGACACAAGTGCTGCGAACGCGGACACTACGTTTTCTGGTCCAACGAGTGCTGTATCCCAAAGTCCGACTGAGTATCACGATTCCGATTACGAACGAGAAGATCCCATCAGTAGGATACCGAGTATCGCCATCCACCCAGTGGAGCATGCAAGCTCAGACCCTTTGCGAGCTCCACACCTTGGAGAGAATGAAAGACGGAGAGCATCAGCTCCTAGATTAAGTACGGAAGATTAATGTTATGCTGTAACTTTCGCCTGTATTTTCCAACAGTAGATCACCTGACATCTCAACTAGAAAACGCGACTTTGTTCATTTCTCCTCAGTATCACGCTCTTATCTCTTCTAAAATGACCCCACGAAGTCTTACTCGATACGTTCACCTCTATTTGAGTGACTCCTCCGATCGTCTGACAATCAACGCCTTCGCATGAACATCCCATTTATCCTCCTCTAACAAGACATGGATTATTCCAAGCTGATATGCTATAGTAGAAACGGTCACCTCCTATGTATTTGCTGAGCTGACAGACCAAGATCTTATCGTCCATAGCCGGCGCTTGCGCCTTGGTTCTGTTCTCCACAAACCTTTCCACACAGTATGACCATTTGCCCTTGGAAACCTTAAACTTAAAAAGGAAGAAGCCGAGCTGGTACGGGAGAAGCGCTGTCTCAGCATGCAATTGGCGTGACACAGCGAGGAGGCCTAGGACACACTGATCGAATGAATGCAGGTACTGAGTCTCTGGATCCTCCCAGCGGTGTTCGTCAAAGGTACACCTCATGCTGCTGAAGACGTGAGCGAAGATGGCATTTCTGAGTTCGGCCGGGAGACGAAGAAGGGATGAATGGAGTGCGTTGAGTTCGGTACTGGTGCATCTTGTTAGTTGACTATTATCATACACGGGAAAGCGGAGCCTACATATCGTCGCGGCGAGCTTGAGCTTGAAGAGCTTCATCGCGAAGAACTTGACCTGAGTGAACCATGTCGCGAAAGATTCGCTCGCGCGCCCATTCCCTTCATTGAGCTCGAATATCGCGCGCTTTCTTTCTGGTAGACGATGCGTCGGTACAAGGCTTTTGTACGCGCTTCGGAAGCGCCATGATGGTAGATGTGTTTTTGCGGTGTTGAGAATATTAAGAATAGTGTCGATAAACGATGAGGTAGAAGGGAGTCCGGAAGATACGATAGAACATGCGAGGTCTTTTTACTTGGTTAGCATCCACTCCACCCAACGGCACTGTGCCGGTGCGGAGCGGAACGGACCACTCGCAACTTGCGAAATTCATAACCGATCCATAAAAGTAGGTTCGCTTGGATGAGAAGTATTGTCAACACAAGCACTTGCACTCTTTGGTGAAACCTCTCCTTAGCCGGTGGAGTGCACATGATGTATATTGATCAAACATACTGGTGCATATACAAGCGTTCCAAAGCGGCCCCTCATTGCTGTGTTTGACGTGAGTCGATTTGAACAGACGGTCGCTCTCCAGTCCTGGCAAAAGTGGTCCAGGAAAAGATCCGATTCATGACATCCATACAAGTTCAGGTATATTTTCCCCTGACTGGCACTCTTCCGAATCAACACACACACGATTCCATCGCCCAGTCAATCCCAGCCTGAGTCTTGTCCCACATGGTGCCATATATCTGCTGTGTGCTAACTTGTGTTGTAGCAATTGCAGCTATCTGTTTTCGGGACCTAGCGCGGAAGAAGTCTTGCAGTACCTCCTCATACCAGTCGTCTTCGTCGTGGTCGGGTTCCTCAAATTCAAACTGGAAAACGCCGAGCTTGTAAGGAAGCAACGCGGTCTCAGCCTGAAGCTGACAGGAAGCGAGGAGTAGACCAAGAGCGTTGTTTTGCAACATTCGCCAGATAAGTGTGTTCCCTTCGTCTGGCCTTTTGCCGGTAAACAAGTACCCACCGAGCTCGTAGTGATCGCCCTCGAAGACATAGCCGTAAACGATGTTGCGGAGCTCGGCGGGAAGACGAAGAAGAGGGGAATTGGCGGCATAGAGCTTGCTGCTAAAGCGACGTATTACCTGTCGAACATACCCTATGAAGCTGGGGACTTGCATGGTTCGGTGAAGACCTTTCTGGTGAGAGACCTTAGCGGCAGCGGGCTTCTTGAGGCGCGTCTTATCAACTAGCGCTTGATCGCGATGAGCCTGATCGCGAAGATTTTGCTGCTTAAAGGCATGATCCCGAACCGCAGCTCTTTGGCGAGCCCTATCATCGCGCTGCTTCTTAGAAGAGGGCGCCTCGGCTGGAGGCTTTGCCGAGCGCTTGCGAGACGGCATGTTGGTGTCCACTTAAAGTGACGGCAATGTTGAGAAGCGAGTGAGAGAGTAGAGAGAGTAGAGCAGTACAGGTGCAAGGTGCAGGAGTGTGCGGGAGCTCGCTAAGACGGCATGTAAACACCTGTGCACCTTTGTTGCTAGGTTACCGTGATAAGGAAAAACTTCAAGTCGGATCAGGTGAGAACGTGTCTTGGCAAGGGATTGCCTTGTGCACGTCTTAGATCGCTGCTCGAGAATTTGTACGTCAGGAGTGATGATTTGGCATCTCGCTGGAAGCACATCTGCGTACTTTATCTTCTTGCTGTTGCTCAGCACTTCGGCATCACAACATATTCGCAAGACCAATCCAATAACTCAGGGCACTACAATGATTATAGACTGTGGCAGGTATATTCAGTTGACAAGAAGGGCAATCTAAACTGGGTAGCAGTGGAGTCCAATTTTGGAGCAAGACAAGAAGTGAATGCTATCATGCATTGATCTTGGTGAGTGTCAGACTACTATACAAGGCTGTAGCGTTACTATTACAATGTGTTTTGTGACCACCGCAATCTCGATATGCCAATTCAGTGAGCTCGAACAATTGTTCGTTGTAGCATCAGCCAAATATTACTTGTTGTTGAGCTTCAGCCTCTTGACCCAGTTTGAACTAGTCCCCTTAGTGAATCCCTTCAACACCATGGAACAAGGACTAACAGCGAAGTAGCCCATAGCCTTGACTTGTCTGGCAGTACGTCTCTCCATGAAGAGGCTGACATGAGGCACCCATTGTTTCCTAGTCGCGCGGGCAAATCTGAACTGGAATCTCCCTAGCTTATAGGGTAAATCGGCTGTCTCAGCATGGAGTTGACGTGATGCGAGAAGCAAGCCCATGTTGTCCTCTGCGAGAGACTGGAGACACACCAACTCTCCTGTATCGGCCATAATGCTATAGAAATCGTAATAGCAGCTGTCGAAGACGTAATTGTATAACATGTCTCGAACTTCGGCAGGAAGACGAAGGAGCGGGGAAGTGACGGAATTACTCGCGGTACTACATCCAGACGTTAGTCACATCTTTGATAAGAGTAGCCCAAAACTTCACGTACATATGGTCATCGGCGGACGGATCTTGGGGAGCTTCTGTGCCATCTGTGCCGGGAATGCGCTTCTTTTTGGCATCTGGGGCGATAGCAGAAGGCGGCGCCGTACGCTTTCTGGAATTGATGAGGACTTGCGGAAAAGGCATCGTGAGCTCCTGGTGAAATGCAAGCGTAGTTGTAAGAGAGGGAAGCGGACGAGCGTGAGCAAAGCACACGAAAGCGGTAAGATCGGAGTAATTTGGTGGAAGAGAAAGAGTGGCAGAGAATTTACTGAGCCAGTCTGCAAGCAGGCGCGCCTTAGTTGCTGGGTGACCAAGTTGCCCTCGAAATCCGAATTAGGCCAACCATATCGGTAACGCGTTATAGCAAACGGCCATCTTCACCTCCGGCGCAAATTGTCCCGACACGACGCGTACAGTGAGAGAAAAAGGCTTCGCGCCTACACCGATAAGTCGTCTGATGATAGTTCTCAGTAGAAGAGGCAACGCAGTCTAAGCCTTGAGATTGAAAGGAATGAGCATCGTAATGCCGCAGCCTTGATAGGTATCGAACTACTTCCATGAAGACGCTGACTGCTACGAGACATCTTCTCACCGTCAAAATCGTGGTGCATCAACCAGATCGAGCATGATCAAGCGAGTAAGTAATGCAAATACAGCCTTTCAATCCACACCACCCCAGGTTCTGAGATACTGTCGCCAAAACAATATCGCAGCTGCAATTTCCCGAGTGCCTCAATCTGGACCCTAAGTCTCTGATGCAAAAAGACTCCGATGGCGTGTTCCCTTTCACCCCACCCGGTTTCCTCTAGTCCGAAGTCGAAAGTTGCGAGCTTGTAGGGAAGCAATGCGGTTTCTTGATAGAGTTGACGAGAGACACGAACTAGGCCTGGATCCTGGAAGCGAAAAGACATTAGAGTAGGGGTCCGTTTACACGCTGAGTTGTGCAAGAGTAGCCTGAAGACCTTATCGCGGAAAACGTAGTGGTAAACTAGGTTTCAAATCTCGGCGGGAAGACGGAGAAGGGCTGAGCGTGTGGCATTGAGCTTGGTACTGGAATTGAAATCTTAGCTCTATACCAAATTGACAATGATTGGAAAAGAATTCCTCCATATCGTCCAGCCGAGCGCGTTCCCGAAGAAGCCGCTTTCGAGCAGCGGCTTTGAGACGAGCCCTACGGCGAGCCCGGTGAAGCATCTGGACTCCGAAAGATTTGTGAAACATTGCCAGTGAGGGAGCTTCGTGGATGTGAGGCAGAAGAGACCGAGGGGTGTGGGGATGGATGAAAGCGTGGGGCAAGCACGGGAGTGTATGGAGATACGCCAAGGCTACAATGAGGAAGTCGCGTACTTGTTGCGCTAGGTAGCCCGTAATACGTCGCGGAACACGAACATCTTTCCCCGCGGCTTGAACCGCTTCGGTGAGACACGTATAGCGAGAAGGTTTACCATGCAATGCAAAAGTATTTGAACCATCTCTGTTTGAATGGCATCCACCAATAGATGTACCCCACTGCTATATACCCAAGGTCACTATTTGCAAAGCATAGCATTGTACCAGTCATTCGTGCGCTTTCCGGAGGGGATATCATCGCAATCGAGTTCTTCGAAAAGGTCGGCTCCAGTTCCACGACATATCTTTCTGCAATACATGAACTCCATTTGACCGAGTGACGCAAGTTGCGCTTCCGATCTCTTTGCCAAGAATGCGTGTGCCTCTGAAGGAAACAATCGATACCTTAATTGGAAGACGAAGGTCGCTAGTTTGCAGGGAAGCAAGGCGGTTTCGTGGTAAACTTGACGAGAAGCGAGGAGCAGACCAAAACACGGACATTCAGCGCGACAGATGATCAAGAGGTCTTCACTGTCTAATCTGTCATATTCTTAGACCTGATTAATGACTACGTACGCGAAGATCTCGTTCCTGATCTCGGCGGGAAGACGGAGCAGCGGCGAGTTGACGGCGTTGGAAATGCTGCTGAACACATTGTTAGTTACGCATGCGGCCATCAGGATGAATAACTTACATTAGGTCGCGAGGACAGGGACTGTGAGGAAGGTCTTGGACTGGATGAACCTGATCATGAGGAGCTTCAGCCAGAGTTGCAGCCGACTTTCGAGGGGCGTTGGCACGCTTCTTCTTGCCAGGCGAGGAGGTGGGCAGAGACTTCGAGGCGCGCTTGGGCTTGGCCATGGCGACTTGAGGTTGATGTTCTTATAGGAAGACGAAGTGTGTAAGTGACAGAAGAAGGGGATGGTAGAGGATGAGTAGAAGAGTAGAGGAGGCAAAACCTAGGCTATGTATACGCATAAAGCCATACCTTACTCACTGGCTGGTCGAGGTGACCGCGACTGCCAACTTAGGTCCGACGTCCAAAGACGCGGTCACTTCGACTTCCAGAGTGCGCCGGCCGGTTCAAAGACGCGGTCACCTCGCCTTTCAAATTCGACAGCAGGCTGCAAACGGGCGACGTCACCGATGATCGACATGTAGCTCAAGGTCAGGCTATCAAGGGCAATAGATCTTGATAGGCACCGTTCCAGCTCAAAGGACGTTTTCAGAGAAAGTCAATAGCATGCCAATCTCAGCGAGGTATTTTGGCATGCACATAAAACCAATCACGGAAGAGCTCTTGATACGAAATTGAACATGTTTCCGCTAACTTGCTAAACGCCAAAATGAGGTATCTTACAAATTGAGGAGACGAGACAGCTAGAGAAATGCAGATAACTTGAACCAAAAGAGGAAAGACCAAAAGACATATATACCATCCCACACATATCCCATAGCAAATTATCTCCCATTTCGAACAAACAATTTACACCCACTTTTGAGATATCATAACCCTCACCACCTACTGACTTTCTTAATCCCTGTCCGTCGCACCATAGCCCGCAGGCTTCCGGGCACGACCAGTAACATCACTCCACGCAGCACCGAACCTACGTCCAGTGCTAGCCAACAGACCCTCCTCCTCTTCCTCCTCAAGATCACGATCAATCTGTTCCTGGTCCAGACTAGGTGCCTTGAACAGCGTAGTCAAGAAGACGATGAGGTAGACACCCAAAAAGGCGAATTGAGCCCAGAAGAGGACAACGCCGAAGAAGGGGAAGTTGATGGTGACGCGGTTGATGAATGTACTGAGGACCGAGGGCGTGCAGACTTGTTGAGCAGCGGGGTTGGTAGCGAGCTCACTGCAGGGCTTGATGAGGTCTTTGTGCTCTGTGCAGTCGGGTTGTTCGTCTAGGCTGTTGGTCTTCATGTCGCAGTAGGTTTGCGGGCCCCAGGTAGCGTATTGGGGTGCGACGACCATGGCGACGGAGTAGTTGATCGCGAGGGTGATGAGAGTGAGAAGCACGGTAGCCATGAGGAGTGCCTGGGGCGAAGTATGTCCCTTGCGGATCTTGAAGATGGTGATCCAGAGGAAGCGGATACCAGCGGTTGCGATACCGACGACTGAGGCGGAGAAGAAGAACAGGACAAGGAGGAGGAACAGAACGTAGTCGATGGGGAAGACCTTGGCGGACTTGACGAGGATGTAGTTCAGCGGCTGGAAGATGTTGATGTGGCCGAGGATGTAGCCACAGTGGGCGCCGCAGATGGAGTTCTTGGCCTTATCGATGCCGGTGATGAGCATGCTGGCGAAGATGACGAGGGCGAAGACCATGAGGATGAGGCCGCCGATGAGCTTCAGCGGGCGGAAGAAGGCTTCGGTCTTGATCCAGGCCTTGACGATCCAATGGCGGTCCTTGCCGCTGGACTCGGCAGCGAGACGCTCGCGACGGATGAGGGTGCGCTCTTCGCGGACGAGGGCCTCCAGTTCGCGCCTGTCCCTGCTGTCCAGGCCGCCCTCGCTGCCTTCGTTGCGACCTTCAAGCTGTCTCTGACGCTCGCGGTTGTTCTCTAACTGGGATGCGGTGTTTGCGGCGAGCGTGGGGGCTGAGACGGATGGCGCGGACTTGATCATGGCGACGGGGAGGAGAGCCATTCCGGCACCGGTGTAGAGCACGAAGAGGATGGTTCCGACAGTGATGAGGAACCCGAGGCCGAAGGATAGAGCGCGTTCGCCATCTGGTGGAGTTAGTCGATTTCATCAAATAACAGAAGTTGATGCTTACGGTTCTCTGACAGTAGGTGCTTGAAGTAGTCCAGATCAAGACGCTTGTCATCTTTGGCCTGCTTCGCAAAGGGCACGAAGAAGCCGACGAGGAAGATTGCGACCACAAAGATGAGGAAACCGAAAGTCCATTTCAGGGCGCCTCCAATGCGCTGGCCAGCTGTCTGCTCGCCGTGCTCAGCCGCATCCTCATCGTATTCCTCGTACCAGAAGTAGGTAAATGGAATGACGAGAAGACAGAGAAGCGCATCGAGCGAGTAGAGCGTGTAGTAGACGATGCGCAAAGTGTAGACAATGCTATCGACCTTCTCGGGCGTCGCCCAATCCTTCTTGCGGCCCAGGCTGGATCTGGAGGTAGACGAGACGAGTGCGACGTCGACGGGAATGAGGAGGACGGTTGCTAGCAGGGCGAGAGTGGTGAAGATGCAGACAATGGTAACGGCGGCAGCGCGATCGCGCGGCTTCTGGTAGACATAGACGAATGTGGACGCGATGAGGAAGAGAATTCCCACGGCCACGGCGTAGGCGACCCAGATGAGAGAGGTCTGTATCAGCGCCATGTTGATACAGCAGATGCTATCGCGAGGAGGTGAGAAGAGGGGAGCGCAGGTAGACGACCTCGCCCGGGCGATGTTTGAGATGACGTCTAGCTCCGTGGAACCTTGCTTCGATCACCCCCGAAGCGGCTAGCACCAATGCAGCGACCACGCTAAACAGAATCGCGCATGAGCTCTTTCGACGCGACCTCGGTCAACACCACGAATTCGCGTTGAGCTATACCGCCCCACCCAAGGAAGACTGCCATGAGAAGTGTTGTAGCGACCTTCCACCACCACCATGCAGTGCTACACTGAAATAGCCCCACCCACCGCCGTCAGCCATGCCATCAACCTGCCCTTCCTGCACTCTAGGTCAAACAACCTAGTCGTCGCAAAGAACTCGCTGCTCCAGATATTCGAACTCAAGTCGACCACCACCGAGGTTACCCCGGGCGGAGGAAATGAGTCGGAGAATGCAGCTGCCAATCTCGACACAGAGGCGGCCGACGTGCCGTTGCAGCGCACTGAGAACACGGCCAAGCTGGTGCTGGTGGGCGAGTTCCCCCTCGCCGGCACCGTCATATCGCTTGCGCGCGTAAAAGCGCTCAACACAAAGTCAAAGGGCGAGGCGCTGCTGGTGGCGTTTCGGGATGCAAAGCTCAGTTTGGTAGAGTGGGACCCGGAGACGTACAACGTCCATACAATATCAATACACTACTATGAGAACCCAGACTTGCCCGGCATTGCCCCTTGGTCCGCTGATCTCAAAGACACGTACAACTTCTTGACGGCAGACCCCAGCAGCAGATGCGCCGCCTTGAAGTTCGGCACCCACAATCTCGCCATTCTGCCCTTTCGCCAGCGTGATCTCGTCGAAGATGACTATGATTCGGATGCTGAGGCTCCCAAGGAGACCAAGGCTGAGCAGGCGAATGGCGAGCAAAAGACACCGTATTCCTCCTCCTTTGTCCTCCCACTCACCAACCTCGACCCTACCCTCACACACCCCGTCCACCTCGCCTTTCTGCACGAGTACCGCGAACCCACCTTTGGCATAGTCGCTGCCTCGCGAGCCACCGCCCCGTCGTTACTCGCCCACCGAAAAGACATCCTCACCTACTCCGTCTTCACCCTCGATCTCGAACAAAAGGCCTCCACTACGCTCCTCTCGGTCACCGGACTGCCCTACGACATCACGAGAGTTGTACCACTGCCATCTCCAATTGGCGGTGCTCTGTTGGTAGGAGGAAACGAGATCATACACGTCGACCAGGGAGGAAAGACGAATGGGGTGGCTGTGAACGAGTTCGCCAAGGCGTGCACATCGTTCCCACTCAGCGACCAGTCAGATCTGGCCCTGCGATTGGAAGGATGCCAGGTCGAGCTGTTGTCGCAGGACACGGGCGATGTGATGATTGTTCTCAACAGCGGGCGCATCCTCATCCTTACGTTCACCCTCGACGGCCGGACCGTGTCTGGAATGACTATTCAGACTGTCTCGGAAGACCATGGCGGTCAAATCCTCAAAGCTACCGCTTCATGTACGAGTAATCTCGGCAGAGGGCGGCTGTTTGTCGGAAGCGAGGACGGCGAATCAGTAATGCTAGGCTGGACTGGTTCATCTACTCAACTGCGACGGAAGCAAACGAATGCTGACTCGGATGGCGACGAGGACATGTCTGACGAAGAGGATATGGATGATATGGAGGACGACCTCTACAATGACACAGCTCCAGCTGTTCAGAAGATTACCGCAGCTGTGTCCGAGCCCACAGCGCCAGGAACGTACACATTCAGGTTGCACGACATTTTGCCAAGCATAGCGCCGATCAAGACTGCCGTCCTTCACCCTGGCAAGGTCACCGACTCTCTGAACAAGGGCGAGATCATGCTGTCTACGGGTAGAGGGTCGGCTGGAGCCATTACCGCTCTTGACCGCGAACTTCACCCTGTCAGTATTGCGACCAGAGAGCTCCCTTCAGCGCATGGCGTCTGGGCTGTACATGCTCGGAAGCAAGCCCCGGGAGACGTGACTGCTGCGTTTGGCGAAGATACTGAAGCCAACATGGCTACTGATGTTGACTATGACCAGTACTTGGTGGTCTCCAAAACCATCGACGACGGCACTGAGAGCACCGTGGTGTACGAAGTCAACGGCAACGAGCTGACTGAAACCGACAAGGGCGATTTCGAGCGTGAAGAAGGCTCGACTCTCTTTGTGGGTGTGTTGGCCGCTGGCACAAAGGTTGTGCAGGTCATGCGGACAGAGGTCAGGACGTACGATTCAGGTAAGCCAGATCATCCCATTATCCACCTTCTCAGACTAATATTGTTGTATAGAACTTAATATGGACCAAATCCTACCCATGGAAGAGGAAGAGAGCGGAAACGAGATCAACGTCGTCAACGCCAGTTTCGCAGACCCATACCTACTCATCTTGCGCGAGGACTCTAGTGTTAAGATCTTCAAAGCTACCGGTGACGGCGAGCTTGAAGATGTTGAAGCGACTGGGCTGACGGGAACACAATGGCTATCGGCCAGTCTGTTCAAGTCATCTAGCTTCACGGAAGTCTTTGCCTTCCTACTTACGCCAGAAGGTGGTCTTCGCGTGTTTGCCATGTCAGACATGGAAAAGCCGTGTTACGTTGCTGAAGCTTTGAGCTTCCTACCGCCGGTGCTAGCAATGGATTATGTTCCTAAGCGAAGCGCAATCAAAGCTACCATCACCGAGATCTTAGCAGCCGACTTGGGGGACGCGACTACAAAGTCGCCTCA